AAATTTATATATAATAGTATATATTAAAGAGTATAGTTATAAAAGCTTAATTTTCTCTTTATTTAGTTAGAGAGAAAGAGAGTTATTTATAAGTAAAATTTCTAGTAGAGCTACTTATTTAAGTATAGTTAGAAGCTTAAAATTTAGTTTTAGTAGCTTTACTTTTTAAGTAATTTAGTCTCTATAGCTATTAGCTTTTTTAATAGTTTCTAAGTAGTTTTTTTTTTTTTTTTTTACCAGAAGTCAGAAGATAGAGCAGGCGAGTAGGCAGGAGCGAGATAGCCTCAGCGTAGGGCCGGAGGCAGGCTTGATTTGTAAGGGCTGTTTGCCCCTCTAGAACACAGCCGGCAAAGCCGGCGACACTCACGCACGCGCAGGAGACAGGCGGATTCCGGCCGGCATAGAGCCAGAGCCGGCCTGGGAAGTGTAAACAGAAGCAGGCAGAGTTTTTCTTTCTATTAGAGGGTTTTCTAGGTCTAATATAAGACGAAGAAGTACTAGTTATATAGCTCTATAGCTATCTAGAGTATTTAATATAAGTAGTTTTTTCTTTAACTTTAATTATATATATAAAGAAATATAAGCTTAAATTTTATTAAAATTTTATATATAAAATATATATAATGTCTTTTTATAAGGAATTTATATAGAGTTATTATTTTCTTAGTTTTTTATATATATTTTTGCTGTTTTTGCTGTTAATATACCTCCTTAGCTATAAGTTAATTATAGCTAGATAAGTTAAAATAAATAAAAAATACATAGATAATAAATTAAAAGTAGAAAAAATAGATAATAAATAAATATAGCTGTAATAAACTAGCCCTATTAGGCTATAGCGGGTGCCAGCCGCAGTCATCCCGGTGGTATGCCGGACCCTATTGAGCTAAAAGGGTACGTAATAAACAAGCTGCGTACGGCTTGCTCAATGTGGCACTATATAGGTCTCTCTCTAGCACGGGCTTATGTCCCCTATTGCGTATCGCAGTGCAGCGCATCTATTGCATTGCATCTTTAAGGTCGAGCATAGCTCAGACTATAACAAAAACTAAGAGAAAAACTATTATATATAAATTACTTATAAGAAAAATTATATATATATATTATATATAATTTTTTATAAAATTTAAGCTTATATTTCTTTATATATAGAAATTAAGTTAAGAAAAAAGTACTAGCTAAAAACTATTAAAAAGCTAATAAGCTATAAAGACTAAACTACTTTAAAAAATAAATATGTTCACTACTAATTACTAAAATAGCACGGTTCCGGGATTTCAGTTGTCTTTTTGTGCTACCGAGAAACAGTCTATACATAGTTATAGGCGAGCCGAAGTTGAGGAAGCTGGGAGTTGTGTGTTCTTGTGCAGGGTGCAGGAGGCAACTCAACTTCGCACGACCACACGGGATCGATCGGTGTGAGAGAGGTTGCTTTTCTTCCCCCCAAGGGCCTATTACTACAATGAATCGCAGCAGACGAGTTTCCGCATGCAAGGATAAGATAAGCGTGGCGACTTGCGTGAAAATACAACCGCAGCTTCACGTCATGGCGAGTTCCTCACACTGTACACAGAGTGAATGGAGACAAAACACCCGTCGGTCGGTATCGTGGACTCGTGTGAGGTTCAGCGGCGACCTTGGGCATTTGAATTTGAACAGCGCGGGCCGGATCGCCCCTTCCTCACCAAGCCTCGTCAGCAGACGACGCTCTTGCTCCTCCGTCCGACTCCCTGCATTCCGCGTCCTGCATGCGTCTCATCACACGGCGCTCCACTGTTCAGACGTCAAAGCTCGTCTCGTCCTGATTCCATCATCTTGTTCATCTTCCGCCATCTACCATGGCCGGAACCAGCCGGGAACGACGTTGCAAGACCGTGGAACATCTTGCGCAAGAGCTCGTCCCCTTGCTCAACCAAGCCTCGACGTTCCAACTTCCAACTATCCACCCGTGCAAGCAGCCCCATTCAGCAGCACCTTGGGCCCGAACTGCAACTTGACAGCGAGCATTGGGCGGTCGTGCATAACAGCTGCAGCCAGCTGGGTGTGAGAATTCACCGTGAGCCACGACAGGTTCAAGACGTGGCACCACCGCTTCCACCGCTTGTACGGACAGCCCTGGTCCCGTCCAGGAGAGGGGAGGGGGGGGGCCAGCTTGTGCCTATTTCAATCGGCAATCGTCACTCGTCGACCGACTTTTGCCTGCGGGTATATTCTCGTCTGCCAATTTCACCACGACAGCGCAAGCCCAGCACCGAGTGGAATTCTCCGAACCTGTTACTCCGTACTCTATCTTCGTGTCCCGGGTTCCCGTACCTTCGCCTGGACCGGCCGGCAAACAAACATACACCAATTCTGAGCCTCGCCCATCCATTCCCTCGTCTTCACCCTCCACCACGCCTGGTGCCGGGCCGCGAGAACCAACAAGAGGCCTTGGTGCCGGAGCTGCAGGAGGCTGGTCATTGGCGCACGATTCTGATATCTCGGAAGACATCTGGTGACCTTTTCTGCTTCGAGACGAACCGCCCGCCCATGGTCACACCTTTCTGCAAAGGCCCTCCTCCCTTACGCGCGTAGATCGCCCCCAGTCCAACAGGTCAGTTGCTTCACCACTTGCTTCTCTTTGAACTTCCCTCCCTCCCTTCCCTTCCAACCCCGCCTTCACTCCTCAGACCTAGCAACGTTGTCGCCCGCTTGCTCTTGTGCCCAACCACGACCAGCTTGATGTGTCCAAGCTTCGACGTGACTTCATTTGTCGACAACATTACAAAGACTGTGGAATTGCCTTGGGACTAGTCCTTCCAGGTACCTGGCGGTTTACGTTGACCTGGGCTGCTCGATGGCTCATCTCCGTCCCCAGAAAGCATCTCAGCCTTGCTACGTTGCCGAAAAAGCCACAAAACCCTGACCCAGGATTCATCATCATCATCATCATCATCACCACCACCACCACCAAATTCTCGCTTGGCACATTACTAAGATGTCGTTTAGACCTCTAGCATCAAAGGCCCCCAAGGGCTCCGTCTCTATGGACCCCAACTGTGCTATATGTCATGCACCGGCCGCCTTGGCTTGTGAATGTGAAGCCCGAGGTCTGGACATAGCCATTCGGCAAGCCGAGGACCATATGATGAGATCAGTCTACGACGACATACGGTCAGTCCTGTTTACTCACCAACTGCCATGGCGTTATTGCCAGATGCGCAATTGCTGACGTGACGGAAACAGTTCTTGGGTCCGGGGCCATGCTCAAGACTACGTCTTGGAGTATTTTCGCCTGCTTACTGAGAGACGGAAAAACGCGCACACTACGCACTTGGATCAGATTACCGCCCACTCCTTCTACCATTACAATGCCCCTCCTCATCCAAACCAAATCGCCGAGGCTCAGGGGGCACTTAAGCGTGGCATTGATGAAGATTGGCAGGCAAGTGTCCAAAGATATCCCGAGGTTCTCGAGTACTTCTACGGACTTGTGGAATTATCCCTGCCATCTGATGATGAAGCGGCCGTCAAAGATCCGCCCTTGAGTGCTCTAAATGGACACCGGAAGGCTACCCGGCGCAGTCTCGAAGGAAGTACAAGCGCTAGCAGCGATGGCCGAAGAGCGCCCCCAGCGTTGCCCAGCGTGCCGTTCCCACCGACCCCGTATTCGGGTCGAGATATGGCGTTGGACCGTCGAAGTTCCCAGCCACTAGCTCGTCGACCAGCTACTGCGCACATGTCAACCCCATCGTCATCCTATTACGGAGGTTTCAGGTGAAGGGCTCGTCAGCTTCTACGCTGCAATAAATCTTTACGCATATCCCTTGGAGACCAAGACGGAGCTACAACACCATCTGTTAAAATGATATACGGTCAGCCGACGACATTGAGCGATGTGCGACTTGTAACGGCAAAACGCGTGCCATGTTTATTTCTAGCATTTGCATCAACAGGCGACAGATTCTTCAGATATATTTTTTCTATTTGTTTGGAGATGTTGACGAGTTTGGATCAGGACGTGCTGAAGCCTGCAGTTTGCGATTAGCGAACGGAGTTTTGTAGGCAGGTCAAATTGAAGGCATCCAGTGTGTTATGGTGGTTTCGTTTTGACTGGAAGAGGAGCAAGTCAGCATCGCGTAACACCCTCCATGTGGTGTCCGTGAAAGCTAGGAAAAGAAATGAAGTCTCCTATCGCTCATTTTGTTTGACATCCCTTCAGATATCACCGTTGATATAGATTTGCATTCAGTTCTGGTGGCGGGCGCGGGCGCAATCTGTACGAGGAATTTATGGTCGCATTTAAGATTTCGAGACGGGCACAGGTACTGACGGCGGAGTTTTGTCGAGATAGGGGGATGATCGTGTATACATGGTCTCGCGTTATTTGGCGGTATCCTGTGAGTCTATCCGTTGATTTTTGTTTTCCTGTTCTCGCAGCATCTTTCTTTATGAGAGCGAAGATATACAGACACCCGCGGCGGCTGGGAGAAGCCGTCATTGTAAGCCGCGCTTGGATGTGGAATGTAGCTTGCGTAAAGTTATTCCCTTCGCTCATGTCGACTCGGCGGCACCAAGGGGTGCAACACGCTAAGCTCGGGCTCGGGCTCGGGCTCGGACATGCGGCTTGGTCCTGAGTTCCTGTTCCTGCCAGGGCCGAATGCGTTCCTACTTGAGGCCCCTTTCGATGGTGGCGGCCATTTGACGCTTGCTAACGTGACAGCTCTCACCATTCAAAACCTCACCTCGGCCAACAGTCATGATACGAGACGGATGATTTGAACACGGTAGATGTTTCTTCCCCCCCCCACCCCCTGACCTTCCCCTTTCCTCACCTACAGGAACCCGACTGACGCCCATGTTACAGACAAAACACTCTTCTTCAAAAACAAAGAAAGCCACGCTTTTGCTACGCAACTGCCTGTACCCAGTCAGATTTTTTGTAATTAAACAGCCCAGTTATCAATTTTGCCTGTCATCTATTTTCTTAAGTGAATCCAGTAGGTAGGATGATGTCTTTCTTTTCTTTTCTTTTCTTTTCTTTTCTTTTCCATGTGCGAGAGATTTGGTAGTTTTCGATTTAGGTGGATATCCGTATTGATCGCGGGGCGATTGGACGAGACCAGGAAGCAGATATGTTGAAGTGGCAGTACGCGCGGCGGTAGTTGCAGGATGTCGAATTTATGACTCCTGCTTGTCGTTAAGAGAGGCATCCTTGACACCCTCAGTAACTTCGGCAACCTGGTCGCCGTTGACTGCGTCCTGCTCGAGCTTCTCGATCTGCTTCTTAGCCTTTTCGATGTTCTGCACAACAGCTGTCAGCTTTGTATTCATGCATGCGCATACACACACACACACATGTATACTCTGTGGAGTACAAATCCTAGAGTTGTCAGTGTCAGAATCGCCATGCCACTTACTCGCTGAGTTTGAGCCTCCCGGTCGTTCTTCCAGTGATCAATCTTGGCCTTGACCTTCTCAACAACGCCAGGCACGTCGGCGCTGGCCATTGGGGGGTCGACACCGATGAAGGCGCAGTCTTCAACAACAGAGGGAGGGCAGTTGAAAAACTTGGTGGGGGTGGCAGCGGCAGCGGCAGGGGCAGCGGTGGCAGAGGCGCCCCCTTTCTTGCCCTTCTTTCCCTTCTTCACGGCCGGGGCGTATTCGTCGTCCCGGTCCTCCTTGCGCACCAGCTTGGTACCCTTGAGAGCAGAGTCATCCACAGTTCTCTGGACCTGGGCGCCGAGGCCGCTGTCGGTGGTGAGAGGGCCCCTTGTCTCAGCCTTGTAGGTAGGATCGAGGAACTGGAGCAGGCTGTTGGCGCGGCGAATTTCATCGTAGTAGGCGGGGTAGCTGGCCTCGGCAAGGGCCTTGTCAGCCTCCTTCTTCAGGCTCTCCTTCCTCCACTGCTCTTTTTCGGCTTCGCGGCGGGCCTTGGCCTTCTCCCTGGCCTCGCGCTCGAAAGCCTGGAAAGCCTTCTTTTGTCCGTAGTAGTCGTCCTTGAGTTTCCGGATGGCGGTGTACTTCTCCTGCTGCTCGGCCTGGAGCCTGGAGCGCTCGTCGCGCAAGTTGGAGATGCCCTTGTAGGCTTCATCCTGCTCGGCCTTGATGGCGTCCAGCTCGGCCTGGATCTTGTTGTACTGGTCGGACAAGGCCTTCTGCTCGGGATCCTCCACGGTGTCCTTGATGTCCTTGATCTTGGCGCGGAGCTCGTCAATCTGCTTCTGGGAGTCGTCGAACTGGCCGAAATTCTTGCGGACCTTTCGCAGGTTGGAAATGTCGGACAGGGCCTTCTTCTCTTCGACGAGCTTCATGGTGCCCGAGTTGACCTGCTTCTCGAGGCTGGCAATCTGGCGGTCGACATCCTCGGCGCTCTTGAAGGAAACCTTGGCCTTGGCCGTCTTCTGCTCGGCAATACGGCTGCGCAGCTGCTCATCGAGACGCTTAATCTGGTCGAGCTTGGTGGTGCGGGCGCTCTTGCCACCGGCCTGCTTCTGGCGGATCTCGTTGGCCTGAGCAATGAGTTCCTGACGTCGCTTCTGGGCAGGGTTGGGCTGATCCTTGTTCTTGTTGGGCAGGGCCACGTCGATCTTGGCCTTGATGGCGTTCTATGGGGCGGGATTTCAAAATGCGGTTAGCGGGATGTCGAGGAGGGAGCGCTTGCAGACAGTGGGAATGAATGGCATGCCGCAGGATGTCAAGTTCCCTGGAGCCATGCGACATTTTGAAGATTTGTGTCGGTCGTCGCAAACCGAAAGGGGGAAATGGTGGGTGTTGGAGAGAGATTTGGGGAAGAGGAACGAGGCGGAGGGGGGCTCGACTTCTGGAAGTCGGCGACTGATTTGACATACCAATCGATCCATAGACGCCTTGTGCTCCTTCTCAGCCTTTGCGAGAGCCTCATTGAAGACCTTCTCATCAGGACGAGTAGGCCGGGCCTGGGACTCGGCGACGGGGGCCTGAGGCTTGACGGGCGCAGCAGTTTCAGCCATTGTACTTTGTCGAAGGAGACGTGCCAAAAGAATACCGAGTGGAAGAGGCCGATAGGAAGCCGTCGAGGGATTTCCCCGCGAGCAACAGACGAGATGTGTATGGAGGGATGGATGGATTGGTGACGGCGATGGGGAGAAGAGCAGGGAAGCGTCGAGAGTCCAAGTTCAAGAAGTCTCTTTGCTGGCCTCTTGTCCGCTCTTGTCCGTCGTGCTCTTTTTGCCATGTCTGTCTCTTTTTTTTTAGGGGTGGGGTGGGATTGGCTGGGGCTGCAGCCACGAAGAGGACCACTAGGAGGGCCGCTAGGGGACCCGCTAGGAAGACCCCGAGCAGCGGACCCGCAGCAGTTGAGGCGTTGTTTGTACGGCGTGGGCAAGTACCTACCTCCAAGTACCTAGACTCAAGTACTCCGGTACTCCGCAAGTTCCTAGTACCTACTCAAGTACTCAAGTCACCACGGAGTGCCAAGTACCTCCTAGGTAGGTGCGTACCCGCCCCTTGAGCCCCGCCCGGCCGGCCGCAAGGCTGCCACGAGCAAGGACAAACAATTTTCCAACGACATTTCATCTTTCGGCACGCCCAACCACCACCGCCGACTTCTGCCTCCTCCCCGTCTTTGCCGCAAATCAACCGCATCGCCGCGCCGCGCTGGTCACCATGGACGACGTTCCAAACGACGCCAAGTCCAAGGAGGTCGTGAGGCTTTGGCGCGCCTGGAGAACGGTTCACGAAATGGTTGCCGATCGGGTACGTCACGTCACGTCACGTCCGCGCCGGCAGGACGAAGACGCCGCGACATGTCCGCCTCGCCCGAGACGTTCCGTAGGCTGACTTTTTTTTCCCTTCTTCTCCAGGAGTACGAACTAGCAGAGGAAGAGGTCAACATTTCTCTGGACCGCTTCCGCGACGAGTACTGCAACCCCGACGGTTCAGTAAAGTACGTCCCCCGTCCCCGTCTCCGTCCCCGTCTACGCCGTGGCCTCGCGCTCCTTTCCCACCCACGAGGGCACCCTCTCTCCGGTCTCTTTGCTGCAGCGAAAAGACCAAGCTACATACAGAAACTAACCGCCCGCGCACCCTCCAGCCGCGCCAAGCTCCAGTTCTCCGCACGTCCCAGCGACGCCATGCTCAAGAAGAACACGCCGCCGGCGACAGAGTCCAACCCCGATCCCGCCCCCGACTGCGGCCCCGTCTGGGTCGAGTTCCTGACCGACAAGCAGTTCGGCGTCGGCCAGATCCGCCAGTTCGCCAAGTACACCATATCAAACAACTACAAGACGGGCATCATGGTCACCCACGTCCCGCTGTCCCCGGCCGCGCGCAAGTCCCTCGCCAGCGTCGAGAACCTCGCCAAGATTGAGTGTTTCCTCGAGGGCGATCTCCTGGTCAACATCACCCACCACGAACTGGTGCCGCGGCACGTGCTGCTCTCGAGGGACGAGAAGACGGCCCTCCTAAAGAGATACCGTTTGAAGGAGACGCAGCTGCCTAGGATTCTGCAAAAGGATCCCGTGGCGAGGTATTTGGGCTTGAAGAGAGGACAGGTCGTCAAGATCATTCGAGTCAGTGAGACGGCCGGTCGCTATGCCAGTTACAGACTATGTGTCTGAAGGGAGAAGGGAGGCGTTGGGAGACGATTTTGTCGAGGGGGGGTATCGGCTCTTTTTTTTTTTTTCCCACCTTTTGTGGTGTATGCTTGCTGTATGCGTGTGTGTCGGTGGGAATGGCGGCGAATCACGTTGAGCATTTGGGCTGAGAAAAAACCGCGGCGTTCCAGGGGTTTATGCATTCGCTGCTACGTGGCTCGGAAAACGTGAAACCCTTGCAGAATGCCAGTTTCCACCACGGTTACGCTCCAAAGACACAGTCCGGTTTTGAATAGCCCCGTCACGCCGTTCTTTGCGGCTTTGCATCTCGCCCCGGGGGAGGAAACGGAGTTCCGTCCAGGACAAGACACAATGGCACTCTCTGCTTCCATTCATCGGAATGGCGGAACATCTGACGACATGACGAGCAATCACCCTGTGAAACGTACATGTATATACTATTTGCCATGCACGACCAAGACCATGGCAATATGCCTAGGCTTTCGATCATGGCTTGTTTAACACGTCCTTGACTGAACAACCACAAACATGGCTTCTTGCCGGGTATATCTGCGTATGCACCGTGACACCACCTCCCATCGCGCCCCGTCCCGCATTATGCAAAAATTAATACGACATGCAAAAATCATTATCCTCCGCTTGAGGCGCATGATCCGTGAATAGACCACTGGAGCAAAGAGATCGATAAGTTTCGCTCTCCTCCAACGTGTCCGTGGTGAATGTTATCTGACAGTGCAGTGCGTAGGGTCATTACGTGCCCCAGCTCCATAGTTGACAACCGGTGTCCAAGACATGAGAATATGACGCTGGAGAAGACCTGTGTCACATTCCACGTCCAATAAAGCAAAAATTTTGTGCGAGAATTATATGCGTCCCCGAACTGGAGAGCGAGACAATGTGTGACAAACAACGTTGCCTTCGAGCCGCCTTCATTTGTGCCCATCGAAGAATAGGGAACATGTGATGTCGTGTCAGCTCAACAGACCGCCCAGGTCCATGAGTTCTGGCGACGGCCCTCTCTGGCGATTGTGCGATTGCATCTCGCGCGATTGTGGTATGGGCTGCAGCTCGGTCCCGGGTTTGGACTTCGCCCGGGCCGTCTTGGTATTACGTGGTCCTAGCAACCCGCCCAAATCCTGCAACAAAGCTGTCGAGCCTCGTCGCGCGCCGTAGTTGGAGGCTGGTACTGAAGGCGGAGGAGCCGTGCTGGCTGAAACGGCATCCAGCGTAGAGGACGTGTAGCTTCCCGGTCTACAACTTCCCCCGCTGCTGCCCGCCACCGAGTCTTCGAGCAAGCCGCCGACGTCGAAGAAAGATGTGCCCTTCCTGCTGGAGTCCACCTTGGCTGATGGGTCGTGTGGCATCAGCGAGTCGTCGCTTTGCTCCGCATGGCTCCGGCGCTTCGAGACTTGCCAGTTCACGTCATGGTCGAGCTTCTGCGCCGCCTCTGTTGCATGGGCGAAATGTTCGGTGTCGGGGCTATCCAGTTGCTCTCGCAGTTGCGCATCGACACCCAGTCCGACATCCCTCACAAGATCCTCGTCGCTACCCCATTGTCGGTGTAGAGTCGGTCTGCGAGGGTTGGACGACCGATCAAAAGAATCGGCGCAGGAATTGCGGTGGAACTTGTGCTTCTTGACACCGCGGTCACGAACGAATGAGCCGAGGACCACAGCATTGGCGGCTGCGGCCGCAAACAACAGCTCGACCGAGGCCAAAAGAGAGCGGTACTGCTGCCGACCATGCGCTTGTATGATGCGAGGCAATCGGTAAATGGTGACGACATTGACAGACAAACTCAGCGAAAACAACAGAACAAGCTGTACTTTTCTTCGAACGAGCATTTTGCTTTGCAAAATAATGGGTATGGGGAATACGACGAGTAAAAGGTCGGTGAAGATGTTGCAAGTGGCCATGGTGATCAGCTGCACGTATCCTTGGCGGCATTGACCACCAGGATCTGGCAGGACCTGCCAATAATGGTTGAACGGCCGACATTCAGTCAAATCGCTGACAACGACGCCGATAAACGTGATCAACAAGGTCCAACGAATCGCGATGAGCGCTGTGTGGTGGGATCTTTCCCAGGTGAGGTCTGTGATGCGTTTGAGGAACTCGAGAATACAGCACTTCAGAATCCACAGCCTGTGATGTCAAGTGTTAGCTCACCAGTCGAATCCACGTCGACGGGACACAGCCTGAGAGACGAGCGCGTAGTGTAGCGTAGACAGCCGGAGACCCGGGAGAGACATACGTTGCAGCATAAAAGAACCTGCTAAGCAAAACTAGTCCGCTCGCCACGCTCTTCTGATGTAACTGTGGAGTGGTGAGGTTGACGTCGGCGAAGTTGGCATTATTTGTACCGTAAATCAGGACGAAATGCACGCAAACCATTCGCAAAATGAGCGGGATCAAGGCCAGTGCTGCAATCTTATCCTCGATGAACAGCCGTTCCGTTCTTATAAACCGACCGAGGACGCGCAGCAATATCATTAGCGTGCAAAACGACGTTGCCCACCAACAGACCAGCAGCGTTGGTTTGTCGTCGCGGAAGGCCCGCAAATCGGGAGCAACTGAATAGACGGGCATGGCGGTTCAATTCGCTCCGCGCCCGTCGAGCACCAGGTTGGGCTCGACGAGCGAGGATATCTCGAGACGGAAAAGATTAGAGTACTCTTCGGAGCCGATTCACACCCTGCTATTGTTGGGCATGGCAACACCGGGCTCGAGAAGAAGAGAGAAGAGAGGAAGAGAAAAAAAGGCCAGGCCCTCACGGTCGGTACGGAAATTCCGAGAGTGCTGAGAGCTAAGACGACATGAGGCTGACGATTGTGGTGACGATTCGAGCAGTCAACTTGACTACAACGGATAGATAGTATTCGGGCCTTGCAATGTGGCTATTACTGGCAGTATCCGACGTTTACATTGGCCAATAGCACTGGCAGGGACGGTCACACGGCGACTTCTCTTTTTCGACAGCAGTATGGCCTAGAGCGAGCAAGGCAAGAGTATGAAGGAATTAAGAGGCAGAGGTCGCGAGCCTGGAGGGTGGATGTGGGAGTCCAAAGTGGCCATTGTATGTGGAGGCGTCGTGCTGGGCCGACTCCAAACGATGTGAACCAGGACGCTAACGAGGTAATTCTTCCGTAACCGAACACAACATGCCAAGCAAGGCCTGGCGAAATGCGGCTGACATGGCCGCTGGCCGAGTCGGCACGCGATGAGGGGGCCCGGCGGATATCCGTTCAACGTTGTGTGCCTCTGAACTGGTGAAGCCTCCGGCGGGAACAGCTAGCAGCGGCGAGACCACGCATGAAGCACGGACAGCGCCACATCTGCTGGAGGACGTGGCACAGACACGCTACTGTGGATGTCGGACGTCAGGATAGCCGGCCGTGAATGGCTTCGGTGGATGGCCTGTTGTGGATGCCGTCAGGGTTCCGCTCCCACCACGATTGGCCACGGTGCGTAATCTGGCGGGACGGACGTGCAGCTTGGCCGGGGGTGGTCAAGGAAAAAAAATTGCGGCGGAGCAATGGACGACGAGATCCAGCACCAGAGGCAGCGGCAGCGGCAACCTGGAGGAGTCCAGAATAATGTTCAGGACAAGGGCGGGGGCCCACGAGTCCACGACGCCGCCGCGCAACATCGTGTCGTATTAGTACGGAGTAGAGCCGTCCGGTACTCTGCCGTCAACGCCCACCGACGTCAGCCACGCTCGTCGTGCCAATGTCACACATCATCATCATCATCATCATCATCATCGGTCTCCATCCGGCCGTCTCGTGTCGCCAGACTGTATCCAGCAGACGAAGTAGACGGCCGACATTGGCTCCTCGTCACCGTCGAAAGCGCTGACCGGTTATTTCGCGTCAAGGCCCGGCACATTGCGAGCCCCTTGTGTAAGAATAGGCGCTTCACGACACCGAGAAAGCGCACAACGCCACACAGCCGCCACTGCCAGACCCCTGGATGCTGTTCTGTTCTGTTCTGTTCTGCCAGATCAATCACGCGAGCTCGGCCTGGGCCCAACTGGGCAATCCTCGACGACCGAAGTATGGAGCAATGACGCCAACTTGCGCCACCAGAATTTCCATTGACTGAAAGACATGGGATGGATGGGGTAGGCAGCCAAAAGGCCAGACCTGTCACAGGTACGCCGTACCGGGACACGCCACCTGGAGGCGTGGAGAGAGAGGCAAGGGCAGTTCGCAGTTCTCGGCTGGGGGATCCTTGCGAGATGAAAGGGACTTTGGGCTAAGAACTGGTACCCGTCGCGTTTTGTTTCGCAGTCGATTCTCGAGCTTGCCCGTCGCCGAAGTGTGAGTTGCTCTGCAACTTGTTGTAATTGACATGCTCGAGTTGAGACACTTCCGCCTGGGCCCAAACACTTGAATATGCTTAATTTAGGTGCGTTGGGGAGTCGTCGGTCCGCAGCATCTGCGTCACTCACTCGCGCCCTTTCCCCCCTCCATCGAGACGGAGCATCTCACACATTGTCGCACAAGATGGCCGAATATGTTCCGATGGGAACTGCTCAACTGTATGTACCGTGGTCGGAGCATCGGGTAGGTTTGGGTCAGCCGCGACCAATTTCTGAACCGAGCCGCCTGGACTCGCAGCTTACCCCGAACTCCGTGGAACAAACCGCCCATGTTTCAGACGACAAGCGAGGCGAAGCTGAACGACCTTTGCCATGGCCATGTGGTCAGGTTGACTTTGGCTTCTCAGCTGTACTCCGTACTCCGTATGGAACCTCTGGTTGTCGTCGCGACCAAGACGTGTTTGGTCCCCCGTAGCACGTACAACATGGTCCGTACCAAGGCCTCGGGTTGTCAGCAGAAGAGAGAGGCCTGCGGGTTGCATTGAAGGTGGCAAATGAGGCGAGCCGGGCCGGCAGACTGCTCAATTGGGAACCGTGGAGGATTCATGATGTGAATGAATAGCGCGACGATTCGGCTTCCCCAATTCCGAGTGCTCACGCTGAAAAGACACATCGAGTGGGCTGCAGCCGCTTGCCTGCGAACGAGTAGTTAGTCGAGTCCAGGGCGCAGGCAGGCAGGCAGGCACGAGGGGCTGGGACGTTGTAGAGTTGTGCGCGGAGTACTCTGTACCCTGGACTCTGCAGTCGGCACAACGCAAACACTGTACCTGTACCGGATCGGGTGCTGGCTGCTGGACACCTCGGCCCTGGGCACAGGGTGCGTACGCGCCTCGACAGCTCCAAGCCCCTCCCCTGGTCGTCCTCGAGCCCCCCCTCCTCCTTTCAAAACTTCCCACACGCACATTCCCCTCGTCTTGTAAACCCGTCAATCAATAAAGCAGACGCCACCAGTCTCCCCCCCAGTTCAGCTCACCGAATGTCTGTTGGCAGCAGTCCATCGCCGAGGACAACTCTCGGAGCGGCACATGCTGACGGGGCGCCTGCTCCAGCCGACTATTCCCATTGATCCAGGAACTTTTGGGCCTTTCGACGCCGCCCGAGCAATGGACAATCTTGATTCCGCTCCCCACCCCCCTTGTCGCCTGCAATCTAATGCGGGGGATGGATGACACACGCAATGGCTGGCCATGACATCGGACCAACCTCGTTTGCCGCAAGACCCCCTGGCTGAAATCGTCGCCATGTTACCGAGTACTCCGTAGGGCGAGAAGCTTGCGCAGATCACCCAGGTACCAACTAGCTCAAACATGCCTGCTCCGTACATCGTACAGTTCTCCGTATGGCCCTTTGGCGTTGAAACACGCTCACGTCAGGTCCCGAAACTCTGGAAACCAACTTCCAAAAATATGACATTGGTCCGATTGCCCATTGGATTGCCATCGTGCTTGAGACAACAACCTCATTCGCTGATTTCACCAGGACGCAGCTCACATGCTGGTCATGTGGCCAGCTAATTTGGTCGGTTTTCCCACGCGCTCCTCCTGACATCACACGAGCCACCTTGGGTGCCGAAGCCCCTTTCAGAAGTCTTTGGCGCATCTGTTGGACTCTACGGAGTACCGTCGCGCCGGACTGCCAAGGCCCCAATGGAGCTCTCTGAATCCAGTCATTCCATCCCCAACGCCTTCGCCGTGGCCTTGATGTGCTCCTTTCCAGCCGCAGACCAATCAACACCTGTCAACCTGGCGCCACCATCTTCAGCAAAGCCAGACAACCCCCAAATCTCATCTACAACGACACTCCTGACCCGCGGCCAGGGGTGAGCCATCAAAGACCCTAATCTCTTCCTGGCTTCACTCACCCCAGCCTGTGTCACCTCTCGTTCGTCATCACCGTCCCCTGTACACACGCTCGCCACCCCGCCGTAGACTTTAACGCAAGCTATGAGCTTGCGGATGCTCCCCGTCTTATAGCCTGCCTTCTGCGTATGGAGGCACAAATGGCGCAGGTTGATCCCCTTGCTGCGTTGGAACAAACCGACGCGAAACAGGAATGCGATGATTTCCAGCGTAGGCACAGCAGTGCGATCATCTGCGTAGTGAGCATGCAGCTTTAGCGCCAGAGCGTTGCAGACCATGTCGAGATGCCATTGAGATGTTTCACAGAAATCTGTGATAGCTGCACGGCTTGCAATGACCACGTCGTCGCTCCCAGTGTCGGCGGACGTGACCAGCCCGGACATGAGTTCCGACATCCATCCTGACCTGTCTATTTCGGAAGGTTCGAGGGCTGGCGACAGGGAGTCCGACAGAACGAGCTTCAGGAGAGTCTCGAAATAGGTCTTTGAGGAGAACGTGAGAGAGCAAAAGGACCCGGGATCGCTGAGCTCTTTGTTAGTGGTTTGTTATGCATTTCTGAACGGCCAAGGCAAAGATTGGCGTACCTCTCCTTCATTACCAGGGTCACTACGACTTGTGCCTCCTGACGAACACGGTCAAGTTTCTCGGCTGCCAGACGCAAGATACACGGGAACAACTCCCCGAAAGAGTTCTTCATGACGTCCAACCTGGTGTCCGCGTCGCTTTCGCGGCGCCATAGCTTCCCGACGGCCCTCAGAGCTTGTACCCTAGTGTGTGAGCCCACGTCGCCGCGAGCACTTTTTGTGTAGTCGTTTAGTCCCTCAACGAGCAACGTTAGAAACACGCTTGCCTCTGCTTGCAACAGATGGCTGCGGATTAGACTTTGCAGCAGAGTCACTCTCACGTCAATGTCGTCGTCCTTTGCCCAACGGTCTAGAAATGCTTGACAGGCCATGTCCGGGTATGAAGGATTGAGCTGTTTGGCGAGGGGTTGGGCCATGGCCAATGCGTGGAAGTAGCCTTGGCCGGTGGTAGCGGTTCTAGCTGTAGGCTTAGTTGCGACAGTTGTTGCCCATTCTCGGACTATCCTCTCCTGGTCTTTGGTTGCTGCGAAGAGCAGAAGGACCAGTGCGGCCTCAGAGGCTGGTTCAACGGTCTCTGGCTCATGTCTGGCTAGCCATGTCGGGGTAACAGACATCAGAGTGTGGAGTAGTATTTCGACCTGCTTGTGACGTGGGGTATTTCTCAACAATGTTGATGTTGAAGTTATGTAGTCCGATGAACGGGACGAAGATAAAAGGCCGTGACCCGATACAAGTGCCGCATCTGACTGTTTCCCAAGAACAGCTGCTTCGATAACAGGGAGAGCAGACACGACTAGGCAGCTGGCTCCTTCAGCAATCAACTCCGGCCTTCTATACTCGGTGGTTCGGCAATCTTCCAGGATGTCATGCACAGAACTGAGAACGGTTTGAACTAGTGCTGGATCAGCCTGAGGCTCTCCTTGCCTCGGATTGAACGGGAGAGTTTGCGAAATTTTGTCCAGAACAGAAGCATAGCACAGCAACAGGCCGTGCCGCTCTTCAACTTGACGCTTGACCAAGGCTTGAATATGCGCCGTGACCAGCTTTATCGTTTGGAGGAACCGAGATGGTGACGGCGTGGCGTCCAGTTGGGCGAGCTCTGAGGTCAAGTCGCCGAAGGCCGCCGCGGCAACCCGTCGGGATTGAGCATCAACATCCCCAATGCCTCGCCATCCTAGAATGGCTTCGACAAGCGCTTCACCATACTGACGGGACAACTTCGTCACCTTTGTGGCCACCTCCCCAACAGCCCGTGATCTTCTCGCTACAGCGTGATAGTCGACGGTCTGCACAACTTCGATTCCCCTCTCAACTGTGTCTGGATGGCGTCCGATGAGCTCTTGCAAAGCCGCAGAAGCACCACGTCTGATATTTCCCGCAGAATCTAGCGAGGCAGTTACAACCAGCTCCGTACCCAAAACTTGCAAGATAGAGCTGGAATTTGCATGGGCCTTTGCCGCAAAGACAGATGTGGTGGGAACATTCAACAGCTCCTCCGTGGCGTATCGACGAGCGAGCGCCCATATGCCGAAGCAGGCGGCATCACGAACATTGGCGCCCACACTACCGCCGGATGTGCTTCGCTGTTCAAACGACAAGCCTAGAAGTAGAGCATGAATAATGTCTGAGAGTTGCGTCGCCGGAGGAGATCGGCGATAAAGCAAGTGAGAGAGCGTGAGCATCAAGCCATGCCATTCCAACGGATTGACAGCCGACAAATTCCTGGTAGGTCCTCCTGGATAATCGCCAGCTGGTTTTGTCCAGAGAATATTCCTGTTGAGCGCATCAAGCACGGCTTCAATTACCTGCGAAGCCATCCGGGGATCTAATTTAAGGGTAATGAGGCTCAATGCTTTGCTGGCTGACAACCGCACCGGGGTATCTTTGTCAGAAACACTGTCCAACAGGTAGCCAATGGCTGCCTCGGTCATCTCAGCGTTGACCATGGTCTGCCGGTTCTGCCGCAGCAAAGACACAATGACTGATCGAATGACTTTGAGGATCATTTTTCTAACCACTGCTAGTTTGATGATCGATTTCGACACCTCAGTGTTCGCGAGGGTGACATCATAAACACCCTGAAAAATGGCAGGCAGATACGTGTCCATGTCCGAAGTCTGTAATGATGCTCGTAACACTCCCGCCAAGAATGACAATATGCCCAGATAGAAATACGCTGATTCGGGGGGACTGTCTTTTCGTGGTCGAAGCGAAGCCAGCGCCCAGCGGACCAGAGCATCCAACACACCAAGCTGTTGCATGTCTCGACGCATAGCCACCCTTACTAACAATGCGTTTGCCGCGTCCTTTTCCTTGCCTGGACACGAGAGATACTTGATTGCAAGAGAAATCACTCTAATTGTAATCCCAGGCAAATTCTCGGGCCACTCAAAGCCCGGGAAAGGCGTGGCGGCAGACTCCTCAATATCCAGCGTCGAAATGGTGGACAAATCAAACGGCGCCAACAGGAGGTGCGAGAGCCAAAGAAGCACAACATAGCGTTGCTCCCACTCCCATCCATGGGCGTGTGATCCCCCAGTAGCGGATGGCTTATCCTCTGCTTCTTCGATGGCGGAAAGAAGAACCTCCAGATACCTAGTTTCCACATTCAAAAAGCGAATGATGACCTTTTCTCCGCGGACTTTGCAGAAACCATACAATATCCTACAGATTGCGTAGTCAACGGGGACAAGAAGATGAGGCTGCTTGGGAGCATTCTCGACTCCGCGGCGTGTTTGAAGATGTTCCAGATACGACTTTGCCAAGAGGGGGATCCATTTCGGTAAATGAGGATCGAGGAGTTGTGGAAGCTCCTGATACATGTCGAGAATCTTGGAAAGATTAGCATCGCCAATCAGATAGAGAGTAGCTCAGAGTAGACGCCATAAAAGAGTACCGTGGTAGTTGACTTGAACGTCTCTCTTGCCCTGACAAAGGACCGCACCCGAGTTCCGCCACGGCCATCTGGTTTGCGGAGGGAGGTGGTTAGAGCCCGGTCAAGGTCGGCGATCAGGTCACCGGATATCTTCTGCAGCTTGACATCGAATTCCGAGTCCGGGGCATCCATTCTGAAGACACTGTGCAATTCTCTGCGTACATCAGCCGATTTCGAGACTTTCCAGTCGTGAGAGGCGCCGGAGGTTGTCGTCAGGCAGACGTCCAAGGCGGCAGCATCCCCTCGCCGAGGCGGACGGGTGTCGAGGTGCCGAACAAAACGCGCCTTGACAACAGCCAAGATTGGGGGCGATTCGAAAGACACTGGAGCTGGTGTGAAGCACGCACCAAAAGGCTGACGGTATTGCCTGGCACTCCCCGGTTGTGTTGCAACTTGTCACCTTCATGCCCTGCGCACCCAAGTTGGAATTCTGGAATTTGCCCCACCCATGAGCACTTGCCTCCTGCCTTCTACTCGTCAAACCCTAACCCTGAAAATACCATCCTGCGTCTCTTTCGTTCCATGGTAGTTGGCCATCTCACCCAGTGGTGACCAGATTAGAAGTTATACATCGACTCAATATTGTTCACTCAAAACATGCCAATCAATCAGAGACGGCCAAGCCACTTCAGCCGCGCAGGAATCACCCGTGCAACCTCGTTATCGAGGCCAAATTGAAAATATGGAAACGCCTGGAGGAGCCGCCAACTCAGAATGCATTCACACTCCCATCCCTCTATTGACGGTAATCCTCCTCCGTCAGACTTGGGGGGAACCACGGTCTGAAAGAGTGGACACATGGATTCCGTGACGACCTGTTTGCAGACCTCCTCCCAGCCAATCGTGTTTTACAACGGAGTAGACGAAGCAGCCATTCACGTCTTGTGTGGCAGAAAAGTCCCTCTATCCAGTACGGCAAGGACGCTCGCAAGACAAAGGAAAAAGAAAACAAAGAAGTGCCCTCAACTATTGTTTCATGCAGAGAACTTTCGTTCCGAAGCGTCGCCGGTTACGAATATCCTGTGTGAAGGACTCCAACGGCAAAGACGTGGGTTTTCAAGACACAGAGAATCACACTTGTTACAATTCTCCTAGCTTGAATCAACACCAGGCTGCATCACAAGGACACCAGTCTGCAAATAAGTGCAACTTTGTTGTCGGCGGATCGAGTAGTGACGAGAACTGTTTCCCGAGAAATGTGATGGAGGAGGAGGCGCTCACAGGTTCCTCTGAGCACGTCTCCAGGTCTGCGGTTTTTTTGATGGGTAAATATTCTCTTTATTGTGTTCGTGGTATATAGTCCATACAAATGTAAGCAATAATGAAGCTTGATGCAGTCTTGCAGAGGACCACGCATGGCGTGTTCTATGAATCATCCACCAACCCTGCTTGATATTTACAGGAAGCAGCAGTGCAATGGGTAAAATGGTACTCCGTAGAAACAGATATGTTCCGTCAAAACGCCAGTCCTATCTGGCATGCAATGCTGTAGCCAAAAAGAAGAAAGAAAATCGGAAAAACAGCCTATTTCGAACCCCAGGGCCCCGTAGTCGTGTACTGGCCATTATGAAATAAGTATTAGTACTATGAGACAGCGACAGCCGCAACCAACGCATCCAATGCGCTGCTTTGTGTCGCGCCAATGGCTTGAGCATAGGGGCCGGCCCATGCCACCCCGAAACGATCGCCATTTTTGTCGTTGTCCAAGATGGAGTCGGCATTCCTTATGATGTAGTCCTTGAATTCCTGGCGGGCAGCAACATCATGGAGATAACGTAAGTTGCGAATAAAAATGCCTTTGAACTGTGAGCCATCTCTGCCGCAATTGAGTCTGGCATCGCAGCCGTCGGGCTCAATGAGAATACCGTTTCTGCCGGACAATGTTTTGATGGCGGCTTGAGCAATGGCTACCGCTTTTTCTATATATTTTTCATCGTTGGTAAGCAAAAAGAGATCAGCGAGTCCACCTAGGACAACGCCCTGGTTGTAGGTCCAGGTTTGTAAACCGTTGTTCTTGCATGACTTGTCGAGTCCGTCATTGACTAGGTTTTGCGCGTTGATCATGCCGCTCCTCTCAAACCAGTCCCATTGTTTCATGGCAGTTGTTTTGAACGTGTCGTTTCCGGGAACTCGTCTAGCTAGGGCTGCAGCTACTGACAGATAGAGCTCGTTGGCGATGGCGTTGACGTAGTCTCGTTTTTTGCTCCAATAAATACCGCCGCCACACTCGGTGCCTTCGCCTGTTCGCATGTCGTTGAACAAATCAATGGCGGCATTGAGATAGGCTTGATCTCCGGAGACGTCGTAAGATTTGATCCAGCCCAGAGCCCACCATCCCTCGTCATCGTAAAAATCGTTGATAAAATCGTCGAAGCCACGCTTGCCCAAAAACTCTCGCTTAGCCATGCAGCCACGATCTTGGTCCAGGCAGTAAATGGACTTGACCATGCCAGACATGTCAACAAACTTGGCTGTTTTGACATTGACCTTTTGGGCTTGGTAAAATGTGTTCCTCAGGTAGCCACCAACATTGAGCTCGTTGGCCTCGCCAAGCCGTATTGACGCAAAGTCTGCCAAGGTAGTGATGACGTTTCCGCTATTCCACCAAGCATCGTCCCAGATACCTGTGCGAATATTATACCAATCGTCGTTCAATGCCCTTATCGCCGAAACCACAAATTGCGTGTACCCCTTCGCATTGGCTGCCTCAGCTCCGGCGGCATATGCCGACATCACGAGCAAAGACACCCGGTAGGCGCAGCTCAGAATCATTTTCAGAGGATGTCAAGCTCAACCACCAGTCAAAGAAGATATTGCGGCGGCCGATGGGAATAAGAAAGAGAGCAGGCGGCGAGGAACGTATGAAAGGTATATACTGTCATGCGAGGTCCGATTGTAAAATTCGTGTGAGGTTGCCATATATGAACAACCAAACAGGAAGCAATAGTTTGTTCCTCGGTATATTCAACAACATCAACGGCTGTGGAATCTAAGGAGACGAACTGTTATGTAAGAGTCTGGCAACAGGAATGAGTCGGGCATGATGGTGTATTATAACACGGGCTTCGGAGAGCCCACCCCCCTTTCACAACCATGCTTCAGGTCAGAAGCAGCGCTTGACTCGACTGGACGAAGCTCACTCTAGTCTCTCGTCCACCTGGCGTGAATGACGGGCCAAGCCCATGGACCACCCAGCATCTCGTGCCAGTGCTGTGGAAGTACGTACCATGTCTTTCCTTGTAGCCTGTGAACCCCCCCCGCCCCTTTGGCCTTTCTTTTCTTTAGGTGTTGTCAGAGTGTCACATCAACGAAGCCAAGCCCAGAGGCCCGTTGCCTGTTACTAGAGCCACCCGTGTCATGAGGCAATGCCGGCACCCCTGGCCCGGATGCCTGTAATTGAATCCGAGCTAGGGGAGCCGCGATGCGACCGAAAGCCCAGCCTAGCACACCCGATCTGGCGGCAGGCTGCCGAGGGAGAGTAGGCGGAGGGCCGCGATTGGTGCAGGCAATGGATTTGGCGCCGAGTTTGGATAACATTGGACATTGAATAACTACCACGGACGCGCTGGTCCCGATGAGGCCCTCCCCTAGCAAGAGCAAAATGCGTAGACGGTAGTCCGCAGTCCGCAGTCCGCAGTCCGCAGTCCGCAGTCCGCAGTTTTCGGTTCGGCAGTCACCCGAAAGGCTCAATGGCAGTTGTCAACTTTTTATGTCGTTCCGATACTGGTGTTCACCGTCGAGTACGAATCACGGTCGGTTAGTTACTGACTGGTCCGTAGCTGCGTCTGTTTCCGCAAGTACATGCCAAGTTTGCACACGGTGTCAAAGAGCCTGGGCACGGTTTTGAAGGTCAGCCGTGGTGTTTCACCGGGAGATTGGCTCTTCATGCTGAGTGGGTGCGACACGTAGGTAGTAGGTATGTACGTATGAGCTATCCAATGCTCTGGGTCCCGAGCCGGTTGGTACCATGCGTCATCGACAAAGAAACGTCATCTGATAACGGTGCGGTGGGTGATGAACTCAAATTTAGACTCGACGTCTTTGTTCTGCCGTCCTGTCGCCACCTTGTTCAAAGAAGTCCAAAGCATATCAGATACACCACGAGTGGCATAATTGGACCACAACAGTGCCAACTTTTGTTCCTCGTATGTAGCTTTGGCGGCCGTGGCGGCACCATTGACGGGGGGCTTGAGACGAAAATACTCCTTCTTTTGTTGTACCATTTACGATTATTTTGGAAATTTCCCCGTTTTGTTCAACGGCGTCGTATCTGCCAGCCAAGGGTCGCACTGATGCGTGGTCATGCTGTTGTTTGCTGAGCGGTGAGGATGCGGCGGGTGACATGGTGATGCCACGGCGTACGACCACGTCTACTTCCTTCCTACTTGGAAGTGAGCTGAGTAGGATTTGAAGGTTGCTGGCAGCCGCGTTATGCCCGTCATGTTCTTGACAACGAACGGCCTGAGCACAAAGACGGGGAAGCACAAAAAGAAGCCTATCCAAGGTTAGACCGCGTCATGACCGTGGCGTCAAACCAAGGTTGTCACTACCCAGACTTGCGTCATGTAGCACATTCTTTTGACAATGTCTCCAGGAAAAGTGACTGACCGTTGTCGACGCTGGAAAATTTGCTGTGCGAGCCCATGTGAGCCTATTCCTACGCATAGGCCGGTTGACGGGATCATCTGGGCGCGAAAAAAAAAAAAAAAAAGGCATGACATGGCGCATCATGAGTGGGTGCATCGCCTTGGCGAACGAGACAGATCGCTCCTTCCCGTGTCCCGCGACGCCCCCTTTTTCTTTCCGCCCCTCTATTCCCTCTCCTGCTGCCAACACCAACACGCATCGTCAGTGTCGTGACTGCGCAGACTCTTTTACCTTGGCTCGACCTGGGCCCCAACTTAGCCTTGTACGCTTGCACAAGTCCCGTCAGGTACAGACAGACACCAGACACCATACACCCTTTGCGACGACGGTTTCATCCTCTGCCTGCGCGCTAAGCTTCTCTAGCGTCACATTGCCGCAAGTCGCCCCGGCCGGACGAACGACGAGCAGCAAACAAATTGGAGAGGGATCTTCAGGGGCACGCTCTAGACTCTAGAGGATGAGCATTCGTAGATGGTCATTATTGACCCATGCGGCCAGCTCATGCTAATTGACACACCTATATCATATACCATGACCAGCAAGAGATCGCAACCTGCGCTAGCACTGGTTCCTTTACGACCGGCAGCGCGAAGCACCAGCTCAACAATTACCGAGTGCAACTTTGACGTTCGCAAGCCCAGCCTAACCTCGGTCGAGGTGAACAAAACAAATGGCCTTTGTTGCCTTGTACGGCGCCTGGCCTCGACTGGAATTCAAAATACACGGAGCGGAACCCGATAAACACGGAGACTTATAACCACCCTTGCTAGTTCGGCTTCTTGAGCGCTATTTTTATGTCCGGCGTACGTACTAGACTCTGTTGCCGCTGTCTTGGATGTGGCTGAGACGCAACAGCTCCACATCCGTCCATCACACGTCAAGGGACTGACTCTCTCTCCCTCTCTCGCGTTGCCGCCTGTTAGCCGCCATTTTCGCAGGCGCCAACGGCTCCGGGCAAGATTGCAATTTGAAATCATGTCTTGAGTTGCCTTGCATGCTTTGCTCATGCGAAAAACCCACAACCCCAGCCGTTTCCCCGGCACGTTGCTACCCACAACATGTAACACCAGCAACTGCGAAGAACAAGATATTTTCAACTCCGATGCGCCACCACGCCTGGCCACCTGAGAAGAAATGACAGACCATAGACAAACAGACTCTGGGCAGGGCTCGTAGAGCCGGCTGGCTGCCTGCGTCGCCCATTCATCTCGATGTGCCCCGTGAGTCGCGAGTGGCTGCGCTTTTGATTTACGAGGGCATTTTTATGCGCACCGCACACCGCAAGGCAATAAAGACAGCAACTCGACCCAAGTCAGCAGCGGTCTGGCTACCTGAGGCGAAGCCTGGCGCCCACATTCTTGTGCGTTTGCAGGCATACAGCCAGACATGCAGACATGCAGATCATTAAACGTGCAGGGTAGTTGGTTGGCTGGCCCGTCTAATTTGAGGCATGGACGTCATGCTTGCTGCCCCTGGTCTGTCTGCACATCAACTTGCTGAGGGAGGGCACGAATGTACTATGTAGCATCATAGATGATGGTATGATGTATCAACCCTCGAGCGTACGGCATACGAGTCGAGTCTGCAGGTGCCCTCCTCGCCCTTTAATTCACGCCATCGGGTTAATCCTCTTGTTGAATGCAAAATGTTACGCATGTGTAGCATAGCCACGTTGCCAGGTCCATGCCATCCATCCATCAATCAAGGGCTTGACCAACTGTCCGTCGTGGAGAGGAAGCTGGGGTGTTGCATCACCAAACACCATCTCTTCCCGAGCCTTGCATGTCGTACATACATCGTATTCAGCGAGTATTGATAGACACAAGAGCGGCGAGTCGTCGTGTACCCCGTCACAAAAGTCTGCAATTCACCATCAAAGCAAATCTATTGCGTCATATATTAAGCCCTCTCTGAGGGTATACGGAAATCATCAAATCTGCGGCTTCATACTGGGCATTAACTTGTTCCCCTACTGCTTCGAGAGTATCTCAGACTGCTGAATCCACTACTCAGTGTGTCATGGCCGCTACTAATCGAGTCAGCAGCGCTCGGAGGCCGACCTGGCGGTCGTTTCTTTGATAAAATGGACAGCATGGACGAAGACTTGTTCTTCTCCTTGCTCAAAGTACGCGCACGGTCGGCACCTTCGGCCGTGAGTTCCTGGATGGTGCTTGGCTCTAGGAAAACCTTGGGGAAGATGCCCCATTTTCCCTTTGCGTTGGTTCCCGACCAGCACCAATGATCCGGAGATTCATCTGTGGGAATCGTCAGAAACGTACTTGTCGGGAACTGTGGAGGGATTTTGTGGCTTACAGCTTATGTTGGTAATGACCTCGTTCTTCTCAAACCTTAGCCACAGGCCTTTGTCCTTTTCCTTTTCCCTTTGGGAAAACTTCCATCTGGACTTTGCTCGAATCAGGCTTGAGCCTACCATTCTGATCTCCTCTGAAGGTGGAGCATCAAGTTTGATGATATCAGCGGGAGTGGAAGCATGTATACCATCGTGCCAGGCAAAGACCCATTCACCGTTGTACTTTTCTGGCCAGGTGATCCCAGTGATTCTAGCGCCGTGGCAAAGTTCCAAGGCCGGACTTCGATCAAACAGGAGCTTTTGCCCATATAACTTCCGTGAATGATCTTTGGTGACTCCTGTGGCGTTTCCAGCTATTTCCGATAGATTTAACTGAGCGGGGTGCGCTTCTGGTGGGTTCTTGAACCAAACGTCATAGTCGTTGCGTAGATTCGCGGGCATTTCTTCTCCCTCGACCACAGTTATACCGGTGACTTGTGGCAGTGGCCGTGGGTGGTGTGATAGGTGAGTGAACAACGCCTTTGTATTGGTGAACACGGTTGAATCGCATTCATCCACAGTACGACGTGTATGAACGCAAAACACGCAGGCGTAAAGCACGTCGTCTACACGTTTGGCTGAGAGATGGCTCTTTTGTAAAAAACGGAGGCGATAATTGATTCCGCTCTTGCAAAAGTTGCCCTTGTCTAGAGAAATTGTTTGTCAGTTTTGTGCGCAATCCTTGAGAGGGTTGTCGAGATGGACATGTCGAGATACTACTACGCACCTTCCTTGTTCAAGTCTCTCTCGATCTGACAGAAGTCGAGCTCAAACAAACAGCCTGTACACCTAGCTACTGTAGTGGTGCCTGCAAAGCCCTACTCTGACATCAGTACCGCGGTTAATCCTAGCCCCTGGGACAGACATATACCTACGGGCTTCTTTGTCTTTTTGACTCCAATATCTCCGCGTAAAACTTCTTGAGCGCCGTCACAGAATCCTTTGTAAAGACAAAACGTGCTTTCTGGTCCGATGGGAAAGCCTTTCTGGGAAAGATTTCCCTTGTATGGCTCTGTGTTCGACCCAGCATGAGGTACAGGCCCTACTGGGATCAGATCTGAATAGTCTTTGCTCGTCGGCATCCTGGGTGCCGCATCGAGACCCAATTGCTTCTTAGGCACAGAAGGGAGAAGGTTCAGGTCACGGGCCGTTCCATGTACGATGTTTGGGCGACTTGGTGGTGCGGGTATAGTAACATTCGGAGCTCCCCCCCGAGACTGCATACCCCGATATTGACGGTCCATTTCCTTGACTAAGCTGGTCGTCGGGGCACCTTGCAAAGCTTTTTGATCCCTTGTGGGAACTGGAGCAAGCGGAGGCCGGACTTGCAGCGGTGGATAGCGGATGGCACTACTTGACTTCTGTTGTGCCTGTCCTTCCTCTGGGATAGCGGGAGAGAAAGGGTAAAGCCGCAATCGCGTACTTGAGCAGGTAGTTGTTGTAGAGTTTGAAAAGGTGCTTGACCCGGAATGTGAATACTCGTCTTGGCTATGGATATCCGTCTCAGAACCCCCAGTAATACTTCCAGACGATCGTTGAGTATCAGACGATACGTGACAGCGACTGTCTCGGCCCATCGGTGAGATGGCCGGATCTATGGGTGACTCTGCCCTGAACATTTCTTGTCTGCTGTCGACGGGGCTATAACTGTCCATTCTGCCATGGCCATTGCATGGCGCTGTCCGGGAATTTGTCGTCAACTTTGTGAATTGATCCGTGGCATCTTCTACAGATGAAAAATCTGCCGACGCGACATCCCCTCGTGAGCCAGAGGGCGATCCAGATCCTCTCTGAGACCTGAGCTCGAGAAGATGCCGCGGTGCTGGCGGAACGGGAGAACAGGAAGAGGGCTGAGGTGATGAAGGCGGCGACAATTGGGATAGAGAGAAACTTGGAGGCTCGAGTTTCATGGTGACAAGTATGTTGTACACCTTTAGCGCAACCTCGCGACCCAAATTTTGCAACTCTTTAAACCTGCTGGCTTCGAAGGTGTCGGCCTCGATGAAGTCCTCGAAGTCCCACAATAAGTCCATAAGCCGTGAGCGCATATTTGTGATTTCACCTGTGGTTGACGACGAACATTAGACGAGCCGGTTCGAAAACCAGGAGGAGTCTGTTGCAAACATGACCAGAACGGCCGTGCTGTTCAGAGAGGGGCGATATTGACTGCGTACCATTTTCTTTGAGAGCAGCCACAAAGTTGGAGGTATAATCCTTGTACAGCTTTTGGCAGTTTGTTTCAATGCGACGCAAACCCCGTTCACCCACTTTCACCAGAAGTTGGGCTTCCGCCAGCATATCGGGCGAATTGGCCGCATTCTGTACGGCCACGTTTCCCTTCTCGATGACTTCCCGAAAGGGTTTAATAACAAGCTCTTCAACGTCATCCATCTTGGGCGCGCAAAACAGAAATGGCCGATACGACTGAACGAATGGTAGGTCCACTGTCTTTCAAGGCCCTACTTTTGAGCAACAAGAAAAATGGTCCCGACGTAGCTGCCACCTCTTTGGGCGGCCACCGTGCGTCGGCACTCGGGTGCCGGAGCAGTGCACTGTTCTCGCAGGATGTCGTCGGGCACGAGGCGGGGTTTGCTGAGAGCCCTGGGGACTTCGTCGGCGGTGGGGAGAGAAAGAGAGTATTTGTAAAGTAGATGGATGTCCCGGTACGGGATTCGATAGAAGTGTGTTGGGTGGTTGGGAGCAGGGGAGCAGCAGCGGCTATATTTCAACAAAGAAGCGCGAAAGGAGACAATGGGGAGGACCATCGGGGTTTCGACAATAGGAAAGAGAGACATAACGCCATCCTGCAATCAATCCTTCCCCGACACAGCCTACACGAAGCGCACAACCACACCAGCCGACACCCCTGGCGCCATCAGCCTTGGGGGTTCCATGACTGCAGGGCTGCCGGGCTGCCGCCTAGTAGGCCAGGCCGCAGAGGAACGCTGCAGATAAGGTGTCAAGAACGAGGCTGCCACGCCGCCGACTAGGCTTCTATTGTAATGATTGTAAGCGTACGGAGTATCGAGTCCAGATGTCATGACGGACGGGTGGCCTGGCGGCCAGGACGCGGAGACCAGGAGCCCATACGGCGTAGGCGTAGTATTTGAAATCTCCCCCGGCCGCCCACGTTCGTTGGACTTGGCGGATCTATTGGTGGTGTTGGACGATGGGACAGAGGTGGCCAAGAATCTTCTGTGGAAGAAATCAAGTTGGTTCGGTATCTAGGTTACTCCGTACTAGCAGTACGGGGTAGCATCGAGAAGCAATTCGTTTCGGTCCCCTGAACGGTTCTGACCTCTGACCCACTGCTCCCGTCGTTGAATTTCATCATCCACGGCGACGGGGACCACGTTGACTGATGCATGGCCGTTTCCCTCGTCGCAGTTTGATGACAGTCATGTCCGTCAACCAGTGTGGGATAATGGATGGAAGTTTCCAGACGTCCCCGCGCATGTGCGTTGTGCCTTGACTGACTCGATCGACTCGACCACCAGAGCCGCAAGGCCCGCCGTGGGATAATAGCTGAGCTGGATGGAGCGAGCCAGTGGTGAGTCCGAGCAAGCCGACGGAATATTGCGAGAATATGTCTGGGTGGACCGTGGACCGTGAACCGTGGACCGTGGAACAGACAAAAGAGTCTGTGCAGGCCAACAATGAATGCAGCCGGCAGGTGTGTGTGTGGGGGAGGGGCGGAGGGGCGAGGCCGGTACGCCCCAGTCGTGCGAGCGAGGTTCTTGCCAACTTTGCCAACTTGGACTAGGCCAGGTTCCCAACGAAATACACTAACCCATAAAGGCTCTGATGCACGAATCGGCTAGAAACTAGAATTTCCAACCGGTCGCATAAAACAAACACAAAACAGCCACTACGCTCCTACCAGTGGGCGCTTGACGCAGACACATTGCTGACCTCTGCCCTCTGCTCTGTCAAGTACAAGGGGCCCACTGGGAGACCGCCGCATACATGCCTGTGAGCGGCCTAGATTAGATGCCAAGGGACGTCAGAAACCCGTCGATTGTGTCGCACCTAACAGGCACACGGTGCAAGGCCGCCGCTAAACGTGATGCAACTACCGACCTGCTTGTCCATGACCCCTAACCCTAGTAATGCCCGGTGAGGGGTTGGGCCTTTTTTTGCATTTATTTTTTTATTAATTTTTCTTTTTTTCAATCTAGAAAAGGCGCGCTGACAAGATACCTCGTGGGATCAAGAGCACGTGCGGAGTACCTGCCCGGTGGGTCCCCACGTACTACGTACCTTTGAAGTTTGCAAGTTACAATACCAGCGACATCCGCACCAGGGCTTAGGCTTCTCGTACGGGCCGCAGATGGCTGGTGGCCACCGGGCTGGCGCGTTTGATCACGGACTGGCTGCGCCAAGTACTGGAGTAAGTCAAGTACTCAAGTAGCTAGCACGGGCCCGATAGGCAGTTGAGTCCATGCCAGCTCCCGGCGTCTTTCGTACTTGGTACTCAGAGGTAGTTATGTGCCGAGGTTGCTGGGTGCTTAGGTGAGGTGGTTCGCGGCTTGTCTGTCTGGTGTTTTCTCGACCCCGAGACCGACCGACCATACGTGACAAGTCGCAACCAAACACACCATGTGGCCGGACACCTGCGTGGCCTTTCCCCAAGTGGCCGGCATCGTGGCAATCTTGGCCGTTTGGGAGCTTGGCCATCCCAGTGCCGATGCAACTGCAAGTACGTGCCGTCCCTGGAATCAAGTGCCGAGACACGTCAGATCAACTTGGCCATCCAGTCTTGCCGACGCAATCGTCACGATTCAACTACAAACTACTCCGTGCCAACTACAGAGTACCGACGACACGAAACAAGGAACCGAGGCCACCAAGCCACCGGCTCGTCTTCTGCCGCGGGCCGGTCCAACTCAATCAAGTGCCTGCCTCATACGCGTCCTTGGTCCTTGGTCCTTGGTCCTTGGCACTTGGCCCTTGGCCCTTGGCCCTTGGCCCTTGGCCGCTCAACCGCCGACAATCATCGCCGCCTTTTCGTCTTCCCAACGTCCAGTACAGTGCCTTATCAGTCCTCCATGCCGTCATGTCCGTCAATCCAGTCGCCAGTTGGTCGTTTCCCTCCCTCACGTCCGAGACTCTTGGCGTCATGAATTTTGCTACCTACATACTCCGTACTTACGGAGTCGTGGGCTGGCAGGAGCAATGAGGCTAGTTGCCAGTTTGCCCAAGCCCGTGCAACGTCCATCACCAGTGACCACCCAACCCTCCTTCGCTAATACCAGCATGGCTAGTCATCTCCTCTATTCCTTTATTTGTAAAACATGATCCACGCGCGTCCATTTTCATTTCAAACTATGCCAGCCGTCGTTTGCACTGTTCCCAAGATGAGCTGGAAATGAAGCCATAATCTTATTTTGAGATGGTCGCTCATCGGCGCCCTGACATGATTGTCTGCCACCACTGTGCTCCCTCCCTTCCCCTCCCTTCCGTCAAGTTCCGTCGTACGTTTGAATACAAGCCAACCAGCCTCGCCCATCACGTCACTCGGCTCTTCACTTGGCGCACCCACACTCTGCTAAACTTCTGCAATTTTGAGATGCCACAAACCAGCCACCAGCGTCACCCGTCATTCGCTCGCCTCACTCGATGTTAGTTACCACCTGAGGTCGTGGACTCTGCAGACATCTGCATCGCACTCGGTCAAGATTGCAGTTGACTCGATAGCACTACAGGAGGTCATGGTTATGCCCGAGGGCTGGGACCGGGTGCACTTTGCTTCTTGCTTTCAGCTGCCATCTATTTTATTTCATGAGCGTTGTCAATTTTAGTTCTTCTTAATAAACCAATCGCGACCATCAGTAGAACCCGGATATGACTCACCTGTTGCTCCATCATCTTTCGACCAACTAGAATTATCTCTTCCGTGCTTCGCTGACGCTGCCAAAAGCTGTGTAACGAGTAAGCAAGTGCGTAGGGGGTGGCGCATCCTACACGCCAATCACCATCCTACTTACATTTCTTCAGGACCCCCATGTCCTCGAATCGAGGTCTGACGAGCTTCTTCCTCCAGAGCCTGTTTATTTATCTTCTCTCCGGCCTCAACAGTTGGCATAGATGCCTTTTCAGCAGCAGGTTGACCAATGTTCTCCGCCAACAGCTTCCTCTTCATCAAGTATCGCTCTCTTCGTACTCGCTGGATGCCTGGGCTTTCAACTTTGTTCATGACAAAGCGAACTGCCAGCTGAGTCAACAGGTAAAAGTGTTCTGCCAAGAGGATGCTGAGCAACACGGCCCATGCAGTTATCTGAGATGACCCTCCTCGGCTTTCGTCACTGCAAAGAAACACTATGGCGGCACTGGTTATGCTTCCAAGCCAAGCCAGAAAGCCGATGGCATCGAGCCAAGGACCGATGGAATCGGACCTCCAAGGAATAGGTCGCTTGCAGCTGATCGCAATCTTCAGCCCATCGGAACGGAGCTCAATCCAGTTGTTCACTAGAAAGCAGCAGGCGGCTAATGGCCAAGCAACAGAAAAAAGTGACAGGTAACCTAGTTCGCTAGTTAAGAAAGATTTGTTCGCCTCACCCCTCACTGCCTGTTCGGTGCATGACACTTACCAAATTGCATGACCATCTCCCGGTAGTCATCCGTGACATCATATACTCCAAGTTGACATTCGTCGCGAACCCTCTTCAAGAATTCAGCTTCTTCGGGGTGGTCTTGTGCCTGTGCTCCCTTTGATGTGAACTGCTTGGCCTTTGCAAAGACCTTATGCTTCACATATGGAACAATGACCTCGGTTGCAAAATTGACAACCTGAGCTGTAACAGTGAAGTAGAACATCTGACTACTAATCCGCTCTGGGTCGATGCGGAACTTTTGTATAGGAAGAGGCTTGTTGCTAAAGGTGAGGGTTTGAGCGGTACGTCGCCAAAAGTCAAGGAACGGGAGCAGGATGTTGCCGAAAGGAATATAAACGAAACCCGTAAAAAAAAGGGCCATGTAGGAGGTCATGAAATTGAGCACGAACTGCTTCTGGATGAGAGCAGCTTTGTGAGCTACGATTTCTGTCAGCCACCGGTTCGCAAAGGCCAAAATTCTACTACTTGAAGCGTACCGTCAACTGTATCATAATTTTCTCTCTCCGTTAAGGCATTGGCGGCGCTCATGAGAATAGCCGAGAAGGTAGGCGTGAATATGACTAATATCATAGTAGGCAAAAATCCCTGAGCGGAATCAGTTTTGAATTTGTGACAAGAGTAGGCCCTCCATCGCACTCACCAAATACTGCTTGCCCGGACCGTCATAGACCTGATTGATGAAGATTTCCAACGAGTTCGCAATGACTACAAGGCTGCCGAGTGCCAGGACACAAGCAATAGCGAAAGGGATTTGTAGGAGTTGCGTCTTTAGTCGCTTCACATAAGGGTAGACCTTGACAGGCTCGCCAGTTACGGCATCTTCGGCTTCATACTCCCACTTGAACTGTGCGCGAGGCAGTTGAAGAGCGGAAACCCCCCGTACGCCCCAGCGCACTGCCAGGTCAACTTCCTTCCTTTTCCAGTATTCCAGGAAGACAACAGACCAAAGACAGCAGCCCAGCCCGTAGACGAAAGAAAATTGTCCTAGCAACACCCATGCACCCAGGCCCAAAGCGGCGGGGAACACCAAGAACCTGAAGTAACATCCTAAAAAAGCAAAGTAAAAGGCAACATTCTCTCCAAATTTGGAGCGAATATCTTCCAGGTCGCCGTCATCTAGCAAGTATTTCTTGCTCCATTTCTGAATCCAAGCCTTATTGAAGGCCTGGTCGTGTAGAGGGAAAATGTCGACTACATGCTTCCATTTAGAGCTTGCCTGACTGATTCCGGCTCCGCCCTCATTTTCCGATCTGGTAATGAGCTGATAAACCAGTCGTAGTCGCTCGGCTTCCACTACTGGCTCCTCTTTCAGGGCTTTGGTGATATCTGAGCTAGGGCCCGAGGTGCGTATTCCTTGAAGCCAGTCGTGTAGTCGACCGCTGTAAACCTGTTGCGCCAAAAGCTCCGTGGATGCAATTTTGACGAATACAAGCAGCGAGCCAGGATCCCCAGCACGTACCTCAGCAGCAAGGCCAACCTTGATCAGAGACTGGATAAGTTGCACAAAGCCTGCCTCTGCTTCGGCGCGCTCTTGAAGCTTGTAAGTATACCGTCGGACAGAATGCTATCATGAGAAGAACAATTGGTCGTGCATACCTTCAGGCGGAACCTTGTAGTGAACGACATAGTCCACCCTTGATGAAAGATTAGCCGCAAAGTTTGACGTCAAACGATGACAGTGAACGAACCCAAAGTTGTGCAGATCATTCCCGTTCCCCTGTTTTCCGTATAATCCTCGCAAGCTCGCCATGGCACGAAGTGAAAGGGGAATATGAGTGAGAGAGCCCAGTCCTGGAGTTGGGGGAGCAGGGGTGTATCAGCGAATTCTCAGGTAACCAAGGACTTGAAGTTCGCGAAAAGTATAGAGCTCAACTTGGCTAGCGATTGAGTAGCCACCAAGTGTTCCGCGGATCAATGTCCAGACTCCAGACGACGAAGGACATGAATGTTCACAAGTTGGGAAATGTGCAGACGTCGGAAGCTCCATCTTCAGATCAGGGAAGTGACGAGGTGGCCCGTGCTTTCCCCATTGCCGGCCCACCTCGCTACGTTCCAGGTACGTACCATTCAGATGGACAGGGACTTCTAGATGTTCTCCATGCTACTTCAGTACGGAATATAAAGCAAGGCAGGCCAAACCTTCAAAGATGGGACCCAAGCTCTGAGCTTGCCATTGAGATAAATGGAAATGTATTCCGTCTTTGTTGAGATGAAACTCGATTCATTTCAATGGCCAGTCTAGTTTGCGCAACGTGTGCAAGGTCCTCTGTGGTAGTACCCGTCCCTGCTGGCGTTGGTACCGCGAAGGTGAAAAGTACAGTGCATGAAAGGCGTCGAGCCACCGGTGCAACATTCCCAGCCAATTGCATGGGCGCTTGGCCTGGGACAACACGTCCAGCATCCATCCCAGTCAAGTCAAGCTCCAGCTTCTTCTTCTCAGTCCCTTTGCGCCGTTCAGGCTCATCATCCACTATTGGCACTCTGCATTTGATATTTCATTCGTTGCATCATCGTCACCACCGAAGTGGCCACGCGCGAGCCGCAGACGACTAGATGGTCGCTGCCCGTCACCGTTTTCATCATGGGCCTCCTGGTCTGGCTCGGTCTCCGTCGCAGCAGTCAGTGGGAGAGCTTGACAATCCTGGACCATGTCATCGACTCGCCTCTCACGTTCTTCACCGTCAATTTCTATCATCTGGTGCTGCTCCTGAGAGGCACGCCCTTCCGCCCGCCGCGGCACCAGGCATCAATACGCGTAGTGTGCATCTCGGACACGCACGACCAAATAGTGGACGTGCCACCTGGCGATATCCTCATCCACGCAGGGGACCTCACCGATTCTGGCACCGCTGCCGACATACAGAAGCAACTGGACTGGCTGAAGACGCTTCCCCACACAGTCAAAGTTGTCATCGCCGGCAATCACGACAGCTACTTCGACATCCGGAGCCGGTGCGACGACGACCGCAGGCGGGGTGCCCGGCTAAATCTGGACGGCATCATCTACCTGCAAGGAGAGACTTCTGTTCACGATATCAGAGGGAGGGAGATTTCCATCTTTGGCGCCCCCGATGTTCCCGAGTGTGGCCCCAGGAGCTTTGCGTTAGTCGTCCATTCGGGCTTGGCATCCCCGTGAATCAAACTGCAAATGCCCCGAGACTGACGGCCATGACGACTAGGTTCCAGTATTCACCTACGCGGCCCCCTTGGCTTAGCAAGGTGCCTCCCCAGACAGACATCTTCGTCACTCACAGCCCACCAGTAAGCTCATACGGAGCCCACCGATGCGCGGGCAGCACCAGGCATGCTAACACAAAAGGGCCTGTACAGAAACACCACCTAGATCTAGATCTTGGCTGTCCCCACCTTTTGAGAGAAGTCTGGCGCGTGAAGCCCAGACTACACGTATTCGGACATTGCCACTGCGCCTACGGCAAAGAGTCCGTCTACTTTGACGATGTGCAAGTTGCCTACGAGCGCCTTCTCTCGCGGCCGCGACGCGGCTTCTTCTGGGATTTCATCCCCAATCAGTCTTGGGTCGACATGTTTGAAATCGTCCTTCACGGCATCCACAGCGTCCTTTGGAAATGGCTCATGAGTGGCCCGGGCAGTAACCAAGGCAGCCTGATGGTCAACGCCTCTCAAATGTACAGAAATTCCGGAAAGACTGTGAGCCGAGCCGTTGTTGTAGATATCTAGACGGCACCCATCCACCAAGGTGCATATTCCCTGGCCGACATTATACGAGGCCGGAAAAGGTGCAACCCAAAAAAGAAAGAAAGAAAGGACACAGGAACATTGTATAAATTGCATCTGAATATTAGCGAGATCAATGACTATTTCCGTAAATGAACTCGGGTCACAAATTCTCACGTGCCTGGTTGTGATTTCTTACATTGACTACTTAAATATTAATACTGATGCTATCCATTTACTTCTGAAAAAAATGATATATCTGGTTCAATCTCCTTCTATCTTGCTGCATGTAAATACAAATCAAAAGCTCAACTGATCGCTGTATAGCCAGAAGATGATGTCGTAATTCGTCTTCATGTCGTCAATAAAATGCAAAGCAGGCGGCTGCGGCTGATGCGTTAAACCCCTCCCTTTAAAAGTCAGAACATCAAACGTTGCTCCTCCCAGGTTTTCTTTTTTCTTTCTATTCAAGCCTATTCAAATCACAACAGCACACCAAGCACCAGTATTATCGATCCCAACATGATGCCCGGTGCTCGACTCCACGTTTCCCGAGCACCAGCTACAACCACGGGCGGTCTGACAGTTTGGGCTTCCTGCGAGGTCCCACCAGGGGCAAGTGTCTCGAAACCAGAAGACGTGGCACCGTAAGGATTGGTAACTTGTGCAAGCGGCGACAGCCCTGGCGGGGAAGCAGGCGACGGGGGAGCGTGCTGGATCTCTTCTGGGGCCCCGATCGGTGCAGGACTGTCATTACCTGAAGACTTGGGAACATCAAACTCGGGGTTGTGGGCTGGTGGCGGTGCTGGTTGAGTGTGCTCTGAGCCTCGAGCGGGCACAGGAACCTCCATGTTCGATGGCACATGATGAGGAGTGGTGGTATCCTGGCCTGATGGCAGCTCGGGTTGAGTGCTCTCTGAGTACTGAGCGGGCACAGGAACCTCCATGTTCGATGGCACATGATGAGGAGTGGAGGTATCCTGGCCTGATGGCAGCTCAGGCTGAGTGCTCTCTGGGTACTGAGCGGGCACAGGAACCTCCATGTTCGATGGCACTTGATGAGGAGTGGTGGTATCCTGGCCTGATGGCAGCTCAGGCTGAGTGCTCTCTGAGTACTGAGCGGGCACAGGAACCTCCATGTTCGATGGCACATGATGAGGAGTGGCGGTATCCTGGCCTGATGGCAGCTCGGGCTGAGTGTGCTCTGAGCCCTGAGCGGGCACAGGAACCTCGGTGTTCGACGGCACAGGCCGATGAGAGTTGGTCCTATCTTCAGCTGGAGACGACGGAGGGGGAGGCAGAGGCGAAGCCGTAGCACGAACCTCGCCTTCGGTGCACCCACAATCTTCAAACACCACTCTCATCTGGTCGACAGTCTCGACAACAGTCTCGCCAGCCACGGGAGAACCCCCAAGACGATGACCAACAACAAACTCGACGTTGGATGGAGCAGCAGTTTCGACAACACGATCAACGGTCTCACCGTCTGCGTGAGAACCAGCCTGGCCCACGTCAGCTGCGAACCCATCCTTTGCCGGGGTCGCATGCTCCTCTGTAGGAGCAGTCTTTGCGAGGTACTTGTCCCTGCCAGGCTCGCCCTCAGATTGTGCCGAGATCCCCTGAATAGAAACAACATTCTTGTCGGCCACACGAGCTCCGCTAGGGCCGTCGCCCTCAACCGTATTGTCGTAGGACGCGCCGGCAGTCTCCTGTATGGGGATAACACTTACCGTCTTGACCCGCACAGTCGTGGAGTAGCGAGTAGACGTGTACGTGATGTTGTTTTCTGCCATCGACAGCGCGGGCGGCGGCGTTCCGTCCTTTACGACCCCGTAAACTGTGAGAAGGATGGCCCTTTCCATGCGCTTAACAAAGCCTCCCTTGTGCGGCGCATGGAGCCTACTCGCGAAAGCAGAGTTCTTTCTGGCTTTCACAATCGTCGAGTTTGTGAGTTGCTGACCCGTAGCAGTCGACTTGCTCGCCGTCACACCCGTTGATGAAGCATTGTTGGCGAATCGCTCGCTCGCAGCGGTGGAAGTGGCATTGGCAATTTCGTCGGGGCTCTTTGCTAGTCCACCGCAGTACTGCGAAGCATTGCCCGGACAAGGATGGTCACAGACATCACCATTCTTGGTGTTCGCCGCGCGGGTGCTTGTGTCCATTGAATCTGCGCAGAAGCATTGTGTGTCGTATACTGCCGAGAACATGGAGTCGCGGCAAACATCAACACACAGGTCGATAGTCATGTCCTTGCTGTCCTTGACTTTGCGGAAAAGTTTCAAGTCGTCGCTGGATTCGTAGCAGCCTAGGTACGCAAAGTCGCCCAGCCGGATGGGATTCTCAGCCGCCGGGACCTCACTGGGAGTAGAGATGGGCGTGGAAGCTGCTCGGTGGCTGGAGGCGTGGCTTGTATTTCTAAAAGTGCCACTGGGAGCAGAGATGAGTGAGGAGATGGTGTGTCTGAGAACAGCGGTCGTGTTTGTAGGAATGCTACGCTGAGATGTCGACGGAGCCGTTGCAAGTAGCAGGGAGGTGGTTGTATTCGCAACACGGCTGCCGTGAGACGACGCCCATGACGACGTCGTATTGAGCTTGGCAGACCTCTCGATGGTCGTGTTGTAGGATGAAGTCGTATTGAGTTTGTATACGGGAGATGTGCGAGCGGTAGCCTTCCCAGAGCTAGACTGTGTAGACTCGAATGTGGACGTCGCATTTGCGACTTTGGAAGTGGTCGTTATGCGTTTGCGACTAAGAGTAACGGTAGTGGTGATGGTCGTGGTACTCGTCACCCGCGTCAAAGGCTCCGTAGTCGATGGGCTGAGCGAACGCGAGGTGGTCTGCGCATGGATCTTCTGGTAGGCTTCAATATACCGAACATCCCAGTACGTATTGGAGAAAGCTCGCGGGTTGTTGGCGACGTATTCGTTGCAGGTATCTGCGACTTTCGTACAGACGTCCGAGGCCCGCCAAGCGGTGCCGGCCCAATCACCGCAAAAGTTCTGCATCATGTTAGTCGGACCGGAATCGGGTCCATTGAGTCAATGTCCAACTCACGATATTTATAACCAGCTTCATGTCGTTGAAAAATTTGTTCACGTCACAATCCTGGCCACCGAACATGGCATCCGGCTTCCCCCACCCCGTCGGGTCGGGAGTCTTTTTTGTGATATCTTCGGGGATATTCCTTCTCGCAAAGTGCCAAATCTTGATAAACTCATCATCCCACTCCATGGCGTACACCCCCCCCTGCGCAGCGTTGAAACCATTCCCGTACGCAGAGGTGTCTCCCGCCGGCGAATAATATCCACACCCGACGTTGTCGCCTCCGACATCGCAGTCAGTTTCGCGCTGGACGCCCAGGAATTTTCCATGGAGGCTCTTGCTTATTTCACAACCGGCTGTGGTGTGAGCGGACAGGATGTTCCTGTTCTGGTCATTGACGCCTTCGATGATGTCGATCTCGCCCCCTGTTGGCCAGTTGGGGCCATAGGACCAGACTGTATGGTTTTTGCACAGTCAGTTGCTTGTTGTCTGCTAACGGAGATTTGGAGCTTGAGGCCGGACTTACAAGCTGGCCAGACACCGCATTGCGAAGGAGGCATGTGCAAAAAGTCAGCGATGAAGAGGCCATGATTGAACGCCTGTTTGCTCTCAAGTCGGATGCTCGGCCGTCCTGCGGTCAGGGGGTAGGTGTTCGTGCTGTCGACGCCGAGTCTCACAACTCCCGTTTGGTCGTCAACAGAAAAGAGCCCCAGGGCTTTGGCGTTTGGACGACTCTGGTAGGAAACATATCCATGGGAGGGATCGGGTCCGTCGAGCCAGTTGAATCCCGAGAGGAGGGACTCCCCAATGTAAGAGGTGGTGAGGGCATAAGAAGCCATGACAACCAATTGTACTCAGTCAGTCACGGCTCTGTCCCAGAAGTTTAGACGCGTTTTGGCTTCTCCTTGCACGTTTTCCTAAGCGGAAACAAAAGGGCTTCGTGAAGGTATGAAGAATCCGAGAAGGCGGGGATGGCTCAGACAGGCCAACTTATATAGACTGTGATTTCTCCATTGTTCACTATAATCCAGGAGGCCGGGAGTCGACGAAGAATTGGCTTCGCCCAGATCATAATGGAGGCAATAGTACTTGCAAGCCATGGTAGCTTGTTCAACCTGGACACGGTAAACCACGAGGTTGGCTGGAGGAACTGCATTCCAAAGGCATCCAGGGTCTTGATGAGTTGCTGCTGCAGCACACTTCTTTGACGAGGTTGAGAGGAACGAACATTGGCTCGTCCAAGAGAAGAACTCGCGGGCTGGCTGGCTTATAGGGGATGCCACAATAGTCTTTGTCTCTGATATTTTCGGCGGCTGTACATTCCACAGCCCTGGAGACGAGACGCTTGAGGCCCAAGCCGACGGCCCAGGATGGCCCGGCAATCCTGGTGACATTGACAGGCAGGGCGGGCAATCCCACCCACCAGGCGTGTGAGAACCAGTGCCCAGATACTAGATGACGGACCGGTTGACATGCTGGGCCACTCGCCTGCCTCCCGCTACGCATCAAGTCAGGTCATGTCGTTGGCATCCGAGACATGTGCCAAAGCAAGTTGCATTCCAGGAACTCGCAACGGATCCACGCCATTGGCCAGGCAAGCGGCTCCACATGCCGTTGCAGGGCTGCGACAAGTGACTTTTGGCCAAATCCGGAATCCTCAACTCCAAGTCTTCAGAAATGCTTGGCGGGCGGCCTTGAATCATTGTCTGCTGACGCCCTTTGGCTCCCGCCTCCCGTTGATAGGCTGCATCTCATGCTCACCATCGCGATCACGCTTCTGTTACATTACTCCGTAGTCCGTGCATGCTGGAGAGACCACCCGCCAGCTCACTTATATGTGCCCGCCGAAAATGCCTCCCGCATTGCCATCAGATCATGATTCTTCGCAAGCCCTCAGTTCCGCCAAGGACGCGTTTGCCAGTAACCGCACACCTGCCAATGCCGCTCTCCCAGTTTCCTTTGTGCTTTTCCATGAAACGCTCTTGCTTGTCGTGTGTTCCCTCGACCCATCTGTGAATGCACGTGTAGCAATACACGACACCTGTTTGACAAGCTGTCGGGGTAACAATGTCGTCCTGGCAAATCGGGCACAGGGAGGTGTCCTCGGGAGTCGACACCACGTAGGTAGGCAGCATAGACGGCGTTGCAACTGGTGCGTCCTCAGCGCATAATGTTTCGTCACGGCCATCCTCGGCATTCTTGTCCTCCCTGGCCTCTGGACTCTCAGACGACTTGGATTTCTTGGCGACGCCGTTTACGATGGGCGGCGGGAGATCAATATTCTCGGTTGCCTTGCGGGAGAGCTGCTTGGCGAAATCCGATTGGTACCACCATTCCAAAAATTTAAGTGCGAATATGCTCATGGGCAGAAGCAACGACAGGCTCGACAACACCTTTGAGCCCAGCTCGCTCGGCGAGAGGATCGATCGGGACCCGGGTCGGTTGCCAGGCTTGGGCTGCGAGAGCGCTTCGATGACCTGGTAATCCGCACCCGTCATTCGGCGGAGACGAGTTCCGATGAGCCACATGAGAGGGTTGTGGTATTTGGTCCTGTCGAATAGGTAGCCAAGGTTGAAAGCCAACACGGCAAAGCAATAAGCGGCGTTTACGCTCGGGAATATGTTCATTAAAAACCATCGGTAATGATGCAGGAGCCTGTCTTTGACGGTGGGGTTCTCGGGCATTCGATTGTAGGCCGATCCCAGCAGCGCTCTTGGCGCATTCACTTGGTAGCTCTCGTCCAGCTTACGCTTCAAGTACGGCACACCAACGAGCACGGCCAGGTTCTTCCAAACGTCGCTCGCGGACAGCTTGAGCGTCTCGCGTACCAGGTTCGGAGCCGACATGCTCGCCCGCGGTATCTCGCCCCGCAGGGCCTTTTCCCGCTTGAGCCCATAGAAGTTCTCTGTGAAGGATCCGCCTCGAGTACGCAAGTAGTGCCGCTCCACGACGAGCATGGACAAGGCGTAGAGCTCGTCGAAGCAGTTGAAGATGCGCAGTAGATAGCGGGGATGTCTCTGCGTCGCGACCGTGAGAAGATATCGCAACGTGGGCGGCAGCAAGCCATTGAGTTGCTGCTCCGAGAGAAGTTCGAACAGCGACGGTTTGTTGTCGTCAAAACCACCCCGAAGGGCCGTCACAAACTCCATCTCGGCTGCGCGTCGGCGACGCAACGAGAGAGGACGCGAGGCGTGAGTGCAGCTTTCACGAGGATCACGGGCAGGAAGACGGGATGGATTAAAGAAGCAAAGCGAAGCACTCATGGGACGACGGGGAAAGGAGCTGCGGTGGGTCTGAGCCAGTCAAGTTGGCCAGAACCGGACCCACCCTCCCCCCACGTCGCCTCGTCGGGGACCCGCAGCCGAAGGAGCCTCGGCTCTGCCCACCCCCCGTCCTACGACTCCCCCTCCGAGTCGTCAAGTCTGGTCAACTTTTGTCGCCCGCACGTGCTGTTGTTGGTGTTGAAGCTGCCATGGCCCTCTCGTCCCTCCCTGGAGCTCTCGTTCGGTCGACCATCCGCTAAGGACTCTTTTCTGCTCCAGCGTTTCCATGGGAACTTGGGGCTGCTGCTGTTTCCCGAGGCCAATTCGACCGCCCGTCCAGTCCGACTTTCTCACCAACCACCATGGCCGTCGACAAGAAGTACCAAGATCTCCTCGACGATCCCATAGAGCGAGCCAAGGCTTGGCTCACCAAAGACGACGACGACCGCTGGAAGGCCGGGGTAAGCGCCCAACCCGCATCTGCATCTGCGTCAGTCATATCCGCCCCCGTCGCTAACAAAAGGCATCCCGACAGGAATGGATGTCCAAGCTCCTCCCTCACCTCACCGTCTCAGCCGCCAGTCCTGACGCCCCAGCGCCGTCCGTCACCTTCGCCTTCACCTGTCTCGAGGAGCACTGCAACCGCCTGGGCAACCTCCACGGCGGCGCCGCCGCCACCCTCTTCGACCTGTGCACCACCCTGTCCCTGGCGCTCATCAACAGGCCCGGGTTCTGGCAGTTCCTCGGCGTCACCCGCAACCTGAACGTGACCTACTTTCGGCCCGTGCCCGTGGGCGAAGAGGTCGTCATCGAATGCGAGGCCCTGCAGGTCGGCAAGAGGCTGGCGACCCTGAAGGGGGTCATGAAGCGCAGGCGAGATGGCGCCATCGTGAGCATCGCCGAGCACCTCAAGGCAAACATTGACCCGGAGCCAATGCTTTGACCAAGAGTTGGCGTTGTTGGCGTGCAAATGGGACTGTATACATTAGACGCTGTGCCATGTAGAATTACGCATAGACCGGCGGCCTCGCCTCGAAGAAATTTGCGTCATGACGACGCTTTACTCTCTTTGCCGTCGCCACAGGAGTCGTCTGGTCTCGAGAGAAATTGGTGGTTACATCAAGCAACCGGTCAATCCCGATTGTGGTTGGCAATCTTGCAACAATCCAACTTGTATACATGCCGCCCTTCCCCAGGGGAAACATATCTTGCTACAAGACCACGTTACAACGAAACCCCCATGTGGTCAGCTTTACTTACAAGCTAACTAATCATCTTCATTCCTCGAACGGCCATGCACTCTGTTCTAAGCAGACGGCTACTTGAGGCAGACACTTCGCATCTAAGCGTCTGGCTTATTTAAATGGAAAGATGACCGATATACATGTTTCATTCAAACTACCAGCTGGTCCATGTAATAGTTACCACTTGCCGTAGCCTATACAGTACCGCCACCGTTCAGAATGATACAATTCCTCATCAAATGAGCCCCTTCATGCAGTAAATCCCACCTCGTGCTGTCAAATGAGTCCCGCAACACCAGCAGCAACGCTGTATTGTTGTTGATGCCCTTCATGGCCCGCAGCCCATGTGGATCTGTAATGTTTGCAAACTGTTGCAAATAGTTCCTCATGTGCTGGTGGTTCTCATCTGGGCCATTGTGCCTCGCAGCATCCCCGCAAGGTCCTTCTAATGCGTAGCCGTAACACCATACTACGAGAGCAGCAAAGTAAAGCACCCACGGCCTATTCATGAGAACATCGTAGCCGGCTTCGTAGAAGCCTCCAGGCCAAGGACCAGCTGCATGCATCAACGCCGCTCCCGTCGGTACCAAGACAGACTTTAGAAACTTCAACGCGTAGAATGTAGCATGACGGGCCCTGGCTGACGGCGCCCATTGCTCTTTGACTCGTTTCTGAGCGCTACTCAATTCCTGCGCACCAATGGTTCTTCCAAGGATTCTCTTAGCGCGGGCAAAAATTTGGCAGTCAACGATGTCTGCATGCATCTCCATGTGAGCTAAATGATGCAGAACTGTGCGGTTACCAAACACGATATGAGCCTCAGCCTTGGTGCTCCCTCGGCCGTAGGGGTCGTTGCAAGGCTCCCCATCTTCAACCTCTTTATCAAAGTCCCTCTTCCACGAGTCGTATGCTCGTGTCAAAGATGCTCGCCAGCTATCGCGATCCCCTGACGCCTGAATCACTCCGCCGCCGAGGACATTAACTTGGAGATCTCGCTGTTGCATATGATACGTCACGCTCATAAGGCCAGCCATTAGAGCCGTCCTACCAAATGACGTCGTCTTCACTTCTTGATGATTCAAAGTTCGCTTCAGTCCCTCAAGAAACGATATTGGCTGTATGCCTCTAGCTTTGAGGCGTGCATCCGCCCTTCCTAGCTCGGCGATGCTCCTGGCCTTCCACAAAGACTCATCATAAGGCAATGGAAGTCTCAACTCGTGAGTAGCCATCATCGCCGAGTGACCAAACATAGAGGCATGGGTGGAATCAATGATGAAGGCGGCGAATGCCGCTCGTCTGGTAGCTTCATTGCTAACCCAATTATCCCACCACTCCTCTGGCGTTTGGCCGACCCCGAGCGCTTTTCTCGAGTCGCTAGGAGTTTCTCGTGGGTATGGAGGCGAGTTCATGGAAGAGTTTCCGATAAGTGATCGTCCTCGACGCATGAGAGTAATCATGGTGGCATGGTGAATGTGGGCTCGTTCGTGCAGCTCTCTCGTCGAAAACATCTTCTCGTACAGCTCCAGCAAAATTAACGCTTGGAAAACCCAGAGTTTTGCTGGCGGTCGGAAGCTTTTATCCATGAATATCTCCCACCGCAAATGTCGAGCCATGAAGTTCGAAAGTTTAGCGCCTGCCGTTACGGCCTGTTGGCCATGGGTGCTGTCCAGACATGCAGCACCGATGGACATCATTGCTAGGAGCAGGAGATTCGGAGTTGTGTCGGAAGAGAAAGTCGGTCGGTGCAGAATCGGGAGTTGGTCACTGAAGTGATACCAGTAGGAGCCAAGATATGCCTGCATCATTCTGCAACTCAGCATATGATCGCCTTGTTCCCGATTTCCCTCCAAGATATTGTCCTGGCTTCGTTCCGTAACGGGCACATCGTGTTCATGGAAACGATCTTTGATGAAGTCGAAAATCTCCCGACTTCTGTCGTCCGACAGGTTGGTCTCGGGAGAATTCTCGTCGAGCAAACTGGTTACGGACATGATTTGCTGAGAAGAACTTGGGAAAGGCCCAATCTGTACCGAGCTATTGATCGTGAATGGCGTCGAGTATTGCGTGTCCTGTAGTTCACCATACCTGCAAAAAAACAAAAAAGTTAGATGGGTAAAACATGAGCGTCTTGTCAACATTTTGGCTCACTTCGAGACAGGCTCTTGAAATTTATTTCCAGCAGCTGAACCATGGGAAGGAAGCGAGTTGAACAAAAAAGCCATGAAGTCCTCTGGCAAGCCTACATAAGGCGACTTGTTCAGACCTCCATCGTCCCCGAATACCGGCCCGGTAGAGGGTGTTGCCATTTCATCAAGTAAAAATATATTCGCAGCGAGATGCAACCTCTCATGACACTTTGTTGAGTCTGATTCATCATATTCTTTGCCAGAGGCCTGAGGTGTTGAGATTCTATTTCCAGACGGATATTGCGTAAGCAGCATGTCCAGCTGCAATGATTGGGGTTGTGATGTGAACACCGGGGATTGAGAGAGCATGTTTTGCCGAGTCTGCCCATGATACCCATGGTAGTATTGCTTCACGTCAGAACCAGGAGGTGATGATAATTTGCTACCATGGAATGTAAAAGATTCATGATTAGCATTCTGACAGTGGCCGGATGACTGAGTGTCGACTCTTTGATACGGATCGTGCCTTGCAGACGTCCTATCTGTGGAGTGCTTGCTCCTTGCACCAGATGATGCCGTGATACTAATTGGAGTACAAGGACTCTGAGACTGATTTTGCGGAGAGGCATATTGGGTCTGCGTATTGTGGTGGCTGCCAGTGTTTGTAGCCGAGTGAGTTTCGGAAAACGGCGGTGTAAGCTCAGAATTGCCTGCTTGCCGTATTCGACGAGTCGAAGTTTGAATTTGACCCGGTCGAGAGCCCTTGACGGCATGGCGGTCCATATGTCGTTTCAACAAATCAGCTCGAACAAAAGTACGCGAACAGCCTGCGTATTCACAGTGGAATGTTTGTTTGGAGTTGTGGTTCAACTGGTGTCGATGTCTAGAGTAGAGTCAGATGGTCCACGATGTGGCTAGTACAGAGTATAAGTCGAGATAACGCTTACAAATGCTCAGCTCGTGAATAGCTCTTCCCGCAACCGTCGGCGCAGCATTCGAATCGTTTGCCCAAGCCCTTCCTGCTACGTCGCTTCTTTCGTGAGGGCCCTTCAGACGTAGACATGGCATTGTTTACGCTGCCTGACCACCCAGAAGCGCTGTCAGACGGCCCTGGATATCGTGGTTGGTGAGCCGATATTGGGAACTGTTGGTAGCCTTCCAAACTAGAAGCCATTGCGTTGGAGCTTGCTGGAGATACTGGGAGAGCCGGTTCGTCGTTGCGTATATATGGAGGCATCATGGGAGATATTGCGCTGTTAAGCCAATAGCTGACGTGGCTGGTCCGGCACCATCAACTATCCGCCATAGCCGAATATTGGTGGCGGCTACTGAGGCTCTAGATTGCCAATTTATCAGTGATGCGGTTGATCACTTGGCACTTGAGCCAGCGACAGACTGCCCGGAGAAGGACCATCAATACAGAGTATTGTAGTGCAACCCTGACATATGGCCGCTTCCGGCGGTATCCAATCCTAGGGTCAGGAATCACACATGGCTGCCTTGGGTCGAATTTCTGCGTGGAGATAGCCAAAGGGCGCGTGGCGGTGAGTCTCCTGAATTATGTATTATCTAGATGCTTCAAAGTCAGTGAAATGCTTCACGGTGGCTCATTTCTTCAACGGCTTGTATATGTCAAGCGGACACGTGAAGACAAAATGTATAGAAAAAAAGGAACAAAAAGCAACGCCGTGTTCAAACCAACCCCGGCCTTGGCAGAATGAGTACGCATCAAAACCATGGAATCTTCTGATATCCGGCTTGTTGAATCCGAGAGACAATACACAAAGGCCCACGAACTTGGTATAGCTTCAGGGCTTCTTTCCAACGCTTGCTGCCCATCTGCTTCCCCGGCTTTGTTTTGATAATGCGTCCAATCACGGAACTTGGTGTATTCGAGTAGGGCTCGATGGGTTTTTGCTATATTGTGCTTTCCAGAAATGAAGTAGGGGAACTTACTCATGTGGGTACAGAAGGTGTGTCGAATACTCTGCGCCTCGCCTATATTGTATGTTTGGGACTGGAGACCAAGTCTAAGACAGGCTGTGGTGACAATAAGATGACGTGGTGGGAAGTACATGTGAGTGAGTCTACTCCATTACCCAGTTACTAGGTAGAATGCCTTCGAATACTTCGCTATAAAGGCTGGCAGGTATTTCGTGGTGAAGAAGGTGAAAAAGAGGCGAAGAAATGATGGCTTGGAAATCGTGACGGTGGGGAGGCCTTGACGAAATACAGTCTCGGTACCGCGTTTCATGACGGGAAAGCGAGTGGCCCAGGTCTTGAGCGCAAGACGAGATTACCAGGAGTCGAGATGTGTCGCCGCTGGCCAGGATCAGGCAGCACCTTGTGGGGACTTGTGGAGAAGGTGGGGAGGTTATGTGGGCCAAGAATATCAGCAACGGCAGGCGGGTAGTTTCTCCATAGATCCACTTTCTGCAATTCATGTAGGCACTACGGAGTACTACTAGTCTACTTGCCTGGGCGTGTTTCGTGCTCGTACGGTACTGAAGTATGCACGTAGTCCCAGTTCACAATGGGGCTTGTTGGCCAGCAAGGGTATCAGAATCAATCGATGGAGCTGGGCCTGGCTGACTGGTTGGCGGCAACTTCACAACATTTGACGGAGCAGGTCCGGATAGACGGATGACGTCGCTGGTGCGTGGGCAAGGCGACAGCTGGGAGACAGCTGGGAGACAGCTGCGGCCGAGACGCAAAACCAATTGCCACCCATTCATTACCTCGGCACTTGAGAGAGATTGTGAAATTACATCAGATCTACGGAGTATCTCTATCCGTACACCAAGCCAAGCGCTTTGCGTACTTCAGTACAGGTGCATTGACAAACCAAGAATCTGCAATAGCTTGCATTTGTCCCTTTGCCAGTTGTGCAACTGCGCGCAAGCATCGAGGTACTCTGTACTCTGTACTCGGTACTCCGTACTTCGTACCTGCCTGTAAAATTAGCACTCGGTACCGCACCTTCAGACGTTGCGCCGCCAGGCGGTGCCACCATGTGTAGCCCGCCGCGTTTTAGGGCTAAGTAACTTACTTAAGTGCCCAGGTACGGAGTACTGCTTACTTGGTACGGAGTAGGCACTTCGATAATGCGGAGTGCTCCGTAGCTCGAGTGGATTTCTAGATCCTCCAACTGCCTTCCCATTCATCAGCTAGCCATCATCAGTGCCCCTCGCTCCTTTTCTTAAACTGAGTTTCTCCTTGAAAGAGTCCCCTTTGACAAGTTCCCAGGCACCGTACCTCAAACGCTGGTCATTTTTAGAACGCTCGACAGCTAATAGCCGCCCACGCTTAACCTCAAGCCTGGCATTCGGTTGCGCCGCTGCACATATCGGGCTTAGCGCGGCGTCATGTCATTCACGCGACCGTCCGCTCCTTCTTTTCTCACTCGCCGCTGGCAACTTGCCCGCCCCGCTTGCGTGCAGCCTCATACACCACCAGTTGACCCAAGAAATCTTGCGATGTCGCACACGTTTCCGCACCTGCCACAATCGTCGTTTCTACTCTGCCTTTCACCATTCCGACGATATTGTCGTTCAATATTCTGTACATCTTTCGTCAAGCTTCTTTTCACCTTTTCCCACAATGCCACCTCCCAAGTCACGGAATGCTACCGACGACCACAAGACCGACACCGCCGGCGGTTCCAAAGAGAAGGGGAGCGGTCCGGCCTCAGCCAAGATGCGTCGCGCAGCCAGCCAGCCTAGTGCATCGCAACTGCGAGAAGCAGCAAATGCACCTTTGCAAAATGCTGCAGAACCACAAGCACCAACGGTAAGCTGCCACTGCAAGCTGGCGACTCTACTCTACGCCTCTGCCTCACCCACATGGGCAATGGTCCCGTCGATGCGGTGCATCCTTGTTCGCTACCTATTCTGACCTGCGTCTGTGCTTTCCAGATCAATTGGTCTTCTTTCGAGCGCGATGCCCTCCATACCTACCGTCGAGAACACCAACTAAACACACCAGCCTCGTTTGCCAGCAGGTACCACCAATTGCTGCTTTCGCGACCGGGCAGCATCGGCCACTACTCCCCGACCATGATCCGTAAGCATCAGACGCGACGGCAGAGTAAAGAAAGCTTAGCAAAGGTTGTGAGGAAGCACTTCAACGGCCTTGGCATCCAAGAAAATGATGTCGTAGTCGATTTCATATACAAAATTCGAAACGAAAAGATGGCCAAGGCAGGAGGTCCAAACAGACAACCTGGCATTATCTCGGACCATTAAAAATCGTCAGTCATTATTTCAACATTTCAGCATTGGTTGCTTCATCGTATGGCGTTTTGGGCGCAAGGGGTGGAATTGAGTTAGAAGCCCGGCCACACTCTTGGCCGTGCAAGCGTCCGGAGCCGATTGCCGTGGTATAAATGGGCACCGGAGAAGCTCATGACGTTTGCATATAGTAAGGGCCGGTTTTATGGTTACATTGTGGCATTTTGCACTGCTCTGGTGTTCCATTTGTCGTCGGTTCGGGGAAGCGACGCCATGTATACCCTTTTTGATGTACAAACTCCTCTAGCCATGGTCACATTGAAGAGAGATTGGCACAGGCTCCACGGAGCTGTGATGCGACCGGAAGACAAGATCGGCCTCGGCCGGTGCTTGGCGGGCTTAGTTGGCGATTCCTCAATGCTGATGGCATTGCTGTGTCAAGCACAACCACGCAACACGTCCAGGTTTATCAGCGTAGTGACTAGATGCATACATTTTTCCCAGAGAAAAAAAAAACCCCAGCCGCGGAACTTTGCGTTGCTGTTGCCGCAGGAGCTAGGAACATGTAGACGTAGACAGGACGCCATGCTTAGGCCCCTGGTTTCACGTGAATAGCTCAGCAACCACTTGTCTTCAGACAGCTCACAGTGACGCTGCAAACTATACGAAAATTGGCCGTCTACATGACGATTACACATTTTTATTTTTCCCTTTTTTTTTTCTTTTCAAACATGGCGTCTCCAATTGGCATAGCCAAGGCCCGAGGTATTCGGGTGAATTATTCCCCCGCGTCCTCTCTGGGCCAGCCTCGAAGCATCGTATCCGCCGGCTTCGACAACTCATGCATCCATATTTCTATCTTCTGTCTGCAGCTGCCGGCTCTTTGCTTCGAGGACAGGACACGCAACTGAGCATTTGGCCCTTGATTATTGGCACATGCCGCCTCCTCCCACCGTCTTGTGAATGCACACACGACGGCGCGGCTCGGCTTCCTCTGAAAAGCAAGGCCCAATACCGAGTTAGCGCCACTGTGTAAAACGAATCTTGGATCAGCCCGGTCTACTTTCTTGATATCACTACATAATCCGCGCATCGCACACGGACAGCGACTGCTCCTTCGTGTTTCCCGCTGCATCATGTCTCGGCTCTGGCAGAGCATCGTCAATGACAAGGCCACCATCGATTTCGAGCCGGAGAAAGATATCCCCTCTCTAGCTGGCAAAGTCATTCTCGTCACGGGGGGCAACAACGGGCTTGGAAAACAAGCCATTTGCGAATACATCAAACACGGCCCCAAGCAGATCTGGCTTGCGGCAAGAAACGTCGCGGCTGCTCAGGCGGTAGTGGACGAGATACATCGGCACAAGCCAGACTCGCCGGTGAAGATTCTCAAAATGGACCTGTCCTCGTTCGAGTCCGTCAAGCAAGCTTCCCGGACGTTCCTCGCCGAGTCTGACCGACTCGACATTCTCATGCTGAATGCGGGCATCATGGCGGCCGCCCCGGCTCTCACAGAGGACGGGTATGAGCTTCAGTTTGGCACCAACCACATGGGCCACGCGCTGCTCACCAAGTTGCTCCTCCCCATCTTGGAAAAGACGGCGTCGCAGCCCGGCGCCGACGTCAGGGTCGTGTCGTTGTCGTCTAGAGCACACCTCCTAGCCCCAAAGGAAGGCATCGTGTTTGATTCGCTCAAGACCAGGGCGGAGGAGATGCAGACATTTGCGAGATACGGGCAGAGCAAGCTGTCCAATGTCCTCTTTGCTCGGCAACTAGCGGCGCATTACCCTCAATTCACGGTCACCGCTATTCATCCTGGTGTCGTGCGAACAAACTTGGTGAACAGTATGACGGGCGTGGGGATGATCTACAGAATCCTGGGACCCTTGGTGAGCTGCTTTTTGACTCCGGTGAATCAGGGCGCCAAGAACCAGCTGTGGGCGACTGTTGCGAAGGACGTGAAGAGCGGAGAATATTACGAGCCGGTTGGTGTGAGTGGGAGGTCGAGCAAGCTCGGGACTGATGAGGATTTGGCAAAGGACTTGTGGGATTGGACTGCGCGAGAACTTGAGGGCTGGTCGTTGTGAAATGAGTGTTTGGAAGGGCTTGGTACGTGAAGTCAAGTCCGTGTCCTGTCTTTGAGTGAGCTTTTTGAGGGGTGTATAGTACAATGTAATAAAGGTGTCGAGTTTCGATATCCTTGGCATAAAGCCGATATTCTTCTGCTCGGATCCGTCCGGTCATGGGCGAAACAAAACCTTGGATTTTGTCTGGGCGGCCGATAGGTTTTGATTAAAGACATCCTCAGGCGTTGATTGTGCATGTGTCTAGTGGACATGCCAACTGGTGAAAATTAATTTTTTAACCGTCATTAGAAGCCCAGCTGTCAAATGTCGTAGGAAAGTGGCTCACCGGTGTAACATATAGCAGCCCTCCTATTGGTTACTGGCAGTCCAGGGCCGCACGACAGGTTATGACGGCATTTGTCGCCTCAGGCACCCTCTTTCGGCTTAAACCCGGTAGAAAAAAGTCGAGGGTTAAACGAAGGTAAGAATCTATTCAGGGCCAACGAAATACTCGTCCTCAGGCTGGTGAATTCCTGGTGCATTCCCTGAGCTATCCGCAATCCTCATGCATCGTTGCGCCTCATTATGAATTCTAACCTTCTCGCAAAGGCCGCCGCCGCGCCTGCGCGAGTGATTGCGCATGCCAAATTCGGTGGTCAAGCGAAGCTCCGACGATGCCTGAACAAAGGAGCAAAGCTTCATACAACTTCTCTTCGCACGACCTCCCGTGAAACATGTACTCGGATGCAGAAAAACATCTCTCCTTCGACGAAGAGAGTAGGTCCATTTCCCTTGATGTTCTTTGTTCCCGTTAAAGCTGCAGTCATCATCTTAATGCTAACCTGCTGTAGCCCTTCCACAGCACCAATCCTCTGCCCCAAAAAGACCCTTACCAAGCCCTTGGCGTAAGCAAGTCAGCATCTGCCTCAGAAATCAAAAAGGCCTACTACGGCTTGGCGAAGAAATTCCATCCGGACACGAACAAGGACCCAAATGCGAAGGAGAAGTTTGCCGACATCCAGTCAGCATATGAGATTCTGTCTGACCCGAAGAAGAAGGAACAGTACGATCAATTCGGCGCTGCTGGCTTTGATCCTAGCGGCGCACCAGGAGGAGATCCATTCGCAGGGGCTGGCAACCCATTTTCTGGGTTTGGTGGACAAGGTGGCTTCGGCGCGCAGGGCGGCTTTGGCGGAGGTTTCAACTTTGAGGACATCTTTTCAGCGTTCACTGGTCAACAGGGTCCTTTTGGCGGTCGACGAGGCGCACGCTCCAATCCTTTCCAGCAAGAAATCCTCGTGGGTGATAACATTGAGGTGCAGACCAGCATAACATTCATGGAGGCCGCGAAGGGCACCAGTAAAACCATCAGCACCACTCCGTTGACGGTTTGTGGGACGTGCACTGGTAGTGGACTGAAGCCCGGCACACAGCGCTCGCCGTGCAGGTCTTGTAATGGAACCGGAACTCGATTGCACTTTATGCAGGGTGGGTTCCAGATGGCCTCAACCTGCGGAACTTGCGAAGGCACTGGTACAACCATTCCCAAGGGATCCGAGTGTCGAACTTGCTCCGGCAATGGTGTGGTAAGGGAACGGAAAAGCATCACCATCGATATTCCTGCGGGTATTGAGGACGGCATGCGGTTGCGCGTGGACGGCGCCGGCGACGCTCCGCCAACTGGAAAGACTGCCGACCCCAACGCCAGGATTCAGCGTGGAGACTTGTACGTTTTCGTTCGTGTCGCCAAAGACCCCAAGTTCAGCCGGGAGGGCTCCAACATTTTGTATACTGCCACTATTCCTCTCACCACCGCCTTGTTAGGTGGCCAGGTCAACATCCCAACCCTCGATGGCTCAGTCAATGTCAAGGTAGCCACTGGCACCAACACCGGCGACAAGATGACGCTCACCGGCATGGGTATGAAGAGACTGGGTGCCCGAAGAGGGGGAGCTGGTGACCTCCGAGTCGAGTTCCGGGTGAACATGCCCAAGTATCTCAGCGCAAACCAGCGGGCCCTAGTCGAGATGCTTGCCGACGAGATGGGTGACAAGACGGCTCGACGAGTCATGAATGTCTCGACAACCTCAAAGTAAGTAAAGCCCGAGGCGTGCAAAATCCAAACCAACCGTACTGATCGTTTGCCGTTTCAGCACCGACGCATCCAAACCAGATTCACATAAGAACGAAGGCTTTTTAAAGTCCATGTGGCACACACTCACAAACCACCCGGCACACCAACAAGAAGGCGAAGAAAAGTCCAACACCGACAAGCCCGATGCCAAGAAGGACTCCAAACCCGACAAGGATAACAACAAACCGCGGGACGAGGCTAAAAAGTCGGATTCTGGAACAGTCTAATATATGTAGTAAAAATCGTCACATAGTACCGCCTGTACCATAGCACTCAAGGGACGGAAAAAACCAAGAACTGGATAGATTAGGGGAGTGCATTCAATGGTGTTTAAAAAGAAGCTTGGAATTCAGCAAGCGGCGTTTCTCACGGGGTGGGAACCAATACCTTTTGTTGATTTTGGCATTTGTCAGGATCTTGTATTCTAGATAATGTAGAAAAGACTTTGTTCCCAATGAAAAATCCCCTGATAGGAAGATTTAGCTACTGCTGTGCGTAGAAGTCTATGAGTCTAGCTTGTGCCTCGGCCTTTGCAGCTACTTCCACACATCATTGGTAGTTTGCCCAAAGTCACGAGTTATTTTTCTCTTGGCATGCCTTCGTGTCCCGATATTGAGGGCGCGTAAACTGTTCGGGTTAGAAGTCTTCCTGCCAGGAAAAGACCAAAACCAACTCACGAGTAAATGATATCTCGACAGGCAGAAGGGCCAAATAAAATAAAAAAGGACGGAGAAGAAAAAAGAAACAGAAACAAAGAGAACTCAACACAGAAAGCAGATAATTAGTATATCATCACAGTCGTAGGAGCGCCCGCCTGTTTTTCCAGGACCCCAAATCAACCTATAGGCTTCAGCTTCTTCTTTTTCTTCTTTTCACCATCACCCGCCGACTTGCCCTTTTGGAAAGTCCTCCAGCTGCTGATCCTCTCGTCTCTTGTCGATTCCCAATCCTGTTCGTGCTGCCTCTTGCGCTTCCTCTCTTCCAACTCGGCGTCCTGCTTTCGCTGTTCGCGACCCTCCTCCTGCATCTGCGCCCTCATCTGCCGCCTGCGACGGTGCTCATTGTCAATCAACACCTCCTTGGCCTTTTCTCGCCACTTCTTTGCAAATTCTTCGGTCTTTAGTTCGGGGCTGTCCACGGTCCATTTGTTTTCGCGGATCAGGAGCATTCGCGCGTCGGCAATGGCTTCGTCTAGTCTCTCGCGGTGCTTTTCGTCCATGAGTTCCGTCTGGGCTTTCTGCAGACGGTCGAAAGCTTCAGGCGCTCGGGGGTTCTTCGTTTTATCAGGGTGGATGAGCATGGACTTTTTGCGATAGGTGATTCTGATATCGGACTCCGCGACGCCGGGCTGGAGATCCATGACTGCGTACCTGGGCCAATGTCAGGACATGACGAGCTGATCTGTATCTAAGTCATGGTCATACTTACGCATCTAATCTGAAGGCTCTTAAGATTCGGTCGATTTCGGCATCCTGTGAGCGACGGTCAGAGGTCACGATTCAGCATGTACACAGGTTTGTTGCTCAGGAGGGCCAGGCCAGCGTGCCTTGTCAAATTCTTTGGCCTCCAACTCGAGGACGGAGAGCGCAGCTGCATCGTCTTTGGAGACTTCAGCAGCCATTTTGTATTACGGCTATGAGATGGGAGTGTACGCGGGCAAAGCAGCAAGTCACCGAGTTGAATTGTAAGCAAGATATAAAATATTAGACGTCGTTGACTCGAGTCGATGTTGCGCCCCCACGGAGTTGCTTGCTTCTGCATCAGAACACGTGGACCCACTTGCCCACTCAACCACTCCACTTCCTGCCCCGCGGCGATAAGATAACGGAGCTGCCCCAGGCAAAAAAAAAAAAAAAAAAAGGGGGGGACGCGTCGACGTCAAGATTTCAAGGTCAATTGTTGGTCGCTCAAGTGCAGGTTCAACACCGACTCTCTGCAACCTCTCCCGTTCTATCGGCTATGCCTCGACGTGCAGCTTCGCCGGCGGCTTCAGAGCCCGAGCTTGATATCGTTGACTCATTATACCCTGCAGAAGATGCCGACAGCAACCAGACTTTCGCCGCAGACAGCCTCGACTTTGGCAATATCTTGAACGGGGATGCTGGGGGCGCGGAAGATGGCGGCGATGAGGACTTCATTGCTCTTAAACAAGCAGCCTCTTACCGCAAGGCTTCTAACTTGAAAGGCAGAACAGTCAAGAAGGGAGGCGGCTTTCAAGCCATGGGTTAGACAAAGTGGCACTTCCAGGATCGTTTGAATGCAAATGCTAACAAAGCTCTAGGCCTGAACGCAAATCTATTAAAGGCAATTGCGCGAAAAGGTTTCTCCGTTCCTACGCCGATTCAAAGAAAAACGATTCCTCTTGTGCTTGATAGAAAAGATGTAGTCGGCATGGCGAGAACTGGTTCTGGAAAGACTGGTGCTTTTGTCATTCCCATGATTGAAAAGCTCCGCGCGCACAGTGGCCGGTTTGGAAGCAGGGCTCTCATCTTGTCTCCATCACGAGAGTTGGCTATACAGACACTCAAGGTTGTTAAAGAATTCGCGAGGGGCACCGACTTGAGGGCGATTTTGCTTGTTGGTGGTGATAGCTTGGAAGATCAGTTCGGCTATATGGCGTCAAATCCTGACATTGTTATTGCTACGCCTGGTCGATTCCTGCACTTGAAGGTCGAAATGTCACTGGATCTCTCATCAATAAAGTACGTTGTTTTCGACGAAGCCGATCGACTGTTCGAGATGGGTTTCGCAGCCCAGCTTACGGAAATTCTGCATGCCCTGCCACCATCTCGACAAACATTGCTGTTCTCCGCTACCCTCCCCGCTTCATTAGTCGACTTCGCCAGAGCCGGTCTACAGGATCCTAGCCTAGTGCGGCTAGACGCTGAGACGAAGATCTCGCCTGATTTGGAGTCTGCCTTCTTCTCTGTCAAAGGTGCAGAGAAAGAAGGGGCTTTGCTGCATATTCTTCACGATATTATCAAAATGCCTACGGGCGCTCCCGAGAACGCAAAACAAGATGGCGAAAAGGGATCAAAAAAGCGAAAGAGGTGTGAAAGTGGCAGTGGCAGCGGCAAGCCTACGGAACACTCAACCATTGTTTTCACTGCCACGAAGCACCATGTCGAATATCTCGCAAACGTTCTTCAGCAAGCCGGGTTTGCCGTCTCACACGTATATGGTTCACTTGACCAAACCGCCCGAAGAAATCAGGTTGAAGAATTCCGGCAAGGCAAGACGAACATCCTTGTCGTCACTGATGTGGCAGCCAGAGGTATTGACATTCCTATCTTGGCCAACGTCATCAATTATGACTTCCCATCGCAGCCGAAAATCTTTGTCCACCGAGTTGGTCGAACGGCCCGTGCTGGCCAAAGAGGTTGGAGCTACAGTTTAGTCCGAGACTCGGACGCCCCGTATCTTCTCGACCTTCAGCTGTTCTTGGGAAGGACGCTGGTTCTTGGCCAAGAAGGTGATGAGCCTTCATTTGCCTCCGACGTGGTTGTAGGATCCCTGAAACGAGACTTGGTAGAATCAAACGTCGAATGGATGAACAAGCTCCTCCGTGAGGATGTGGACATCAGTACGCTGCGTGGCGTTGCTGCCAAAGCTGAAAGGCTGTACCTCAAAACACGAAACTCAGCATCTAGCCAAAGCGCCAAGCGCTCAAGGGAAATCGTATCGTCAGCAGGGTGGAATCAACTTCACAGACTGTTTGGTAATGGCGTCGACGACATGGAACAGCTCCGAGCAGATATGCTCACCCGCATCAGCGGCTTTAAACCCCAGGAGACGATTTTCGAAATCAGCCACACAGACAAATCGCACTCGGAAGCAGCACAGGTCATGAAACAGCTCCGAAAGAAGATTACCCCCAAGAACAGACAAGCTTCACAGCAAGAAGGCGACATTGAAGACGACGACATGCACCCCAAATCCAGCAACAAAAGAGACATGGACTCTGACCAAGAAGCCTCCGACAATGAATCACCGGGAGCAGACCAAACTCACGGATTGGACGACGATGAACTAGCAGTCACCGTCTCCAATACAGACTCCAAAACGGGCAAGACAGACTGGCGCGACTCCGAAGTATTCATGAGCTACACCCCACGCACCCATAACGTCGCCGAGGAGCGCGGCTACGGCGTCCACTCTGGGGGGTTCGTCGAAGCAGCCCGGACCGTAACAATGGACCTGACCAACGATGAGACGGCCAAATGCTTCGGACAGCCGTCACGCTCCAAGATGCGTTGGGACACCAAGTCCAAGAAGTACGTGTCGCGGGACAACGATGAGGACGGGTCCAAGGGCAGCAAGATGATCACGGGAGAGTCTGGCGTCAAGATTGCCGCCACGTTCCAATCGGGGCGGTACGATAAGTGGAAAAAGGCGCAGAGAATGCAATCTCTGCCAAGGGTGGGAGAAGCCGAGAGGCCAGGCGCCACGCAGGGTTTGCCGAGCGGCGTGCGGTACAAGCATAAGCTGGACAAGGCGCCCAAAGAGGCAGACAAGTACAGAGATGACTTCAAGGTGCGAAAGAAGAGAGTCGACGAGGCGAGGGAAAAGAGACAGGGGAGATTTAGGGATGGAATGGGGAATAGGAAGGAGCTTAAGGGGGCAGATGATATCCGTAAGGCCAGACAGGAGAAGGAGCGGAGGAGAGCCAAGAATGCTAGACCTTCGAAGAAGAAGTAGGTAGGCCAGGCCCATCACTCATGTTGGATGAAGATTTCTGGGCCATGAATATAGCGAGCTTTTCTTCCGGTTTTCATACGTCACTTGGTTTTACGGGGCCTGTTTGTGCGGGCTGGACGGAGATGGTGTCAGTCTATGAGGTCATATTTTAGGACCAGGAAAATTGCTACTAGGATGATGGGAAAAGCCTCAAAAATAAAAACAAGGTAATCTGTAGGCAGTGGATGAATCCTTCACTGCCCGTTTCCTGACGCCGTCGCTCCAAACATGACATGTACATGACCAGTCTTTCTCGGCCCAGCAAACCCGTCTCAAGCCCGAATGAATCTTCTAATAAAACTGGTGGGAGATGGAGCAAGGATTAAACAATAGCAAGTGAGGGCCGGTAGCTCACTGTACTTGGACCGACATGTCGAAAATGAACCAAAAAAATTAACTGCGACTCTTGATGCGTGTCGGGGTATCGTGATTTGTATGCTGAGTGGAAACGAAAGCAGGAATACTAACAAACAATCCATCAAGATTAACGGAATGAGCAAGTTTCCCGCCTCTATTATCTTATGAATCTTTGCGAGTTCGTGATGTTGAGTGTCAATTCAAGGGCATTTGTGAGATAGGTGAGGATCAGGATGTTGTTCTACAGCGTCCATGCTGGCCACCCAGGCTCGCACGGCGTCGTGCAGGATGCTTTGGCGATTGCGGTTGGGTCGATGACTTGCACGGCCAGTATGGCCCGTGTCGCGACTGTCGACTACGTCGCGAAACATATCCTCGAGGGCGGACAAAATCACTGTCTTGCACTGGACCCGGGGGGCGTCAAGTGGAGGAGGGCGAGCCAGCTGAGTGGCCTCTGACAAAGTATCGGGCATGGTACTGTCACTCTCCATGCTTCCTTGGAAGTCGCTGGGTGTTTGTGACGATGATGCTGTCGAGCTCCCTTTGCTGGCGTCGCTGTTAGAGTGAATCACCCTTTCGACCGCATCTTGCAGGGCTTCGTCGCAGGTAAAAATTGGCTCCTCGATCCACTCCTCTTCTAGTTGAGTCTCATCAGGCAGGATCGACGGTGTGAGCATCGTATTCCCTCCAGAATCAACATTTCCGCTTGGCCGGTCCTGTTGTGCTTTTGGTTTGATCAATCGACGATAAATGATGCGGAAGATGGAGTCATTTGTCGTATTTGCAATCATGACACTACTAACGTTAACCCAGCGTTCAGACAAGTCATTGATTTGGGCGGCGGTGGGTGGCGGGGACGGTTCCGCCCGCAGAGAGGCCTTGACTTCATCAAGGAGATTGTCTTGAGGAGGCAGCGCTTGCAACGCAAAGTCCGGGTGGAAGCGATTAAGCCAACCTGCTGCATTTAGTGGCAAGTCGCCCTCAATGGCAAATCGGGTTTGTTCAAAGGCTTCCAGTGAACTTGGCAGCCCGGGAGTAGACAAGTATCCGCTACTGGAAGGGGAGCTAATCGCCGACTCGAAAGACGTGATGTACTCCGGAAAAGGTACATCAACGTCAATCACACCGTCTTCCGCATTGATAGAGGTTTTGACAGGAGATTCGAAAGCACCAGTGGGATCCGGCGTGCGGTCTGCCTGTGTGAATGACTCCCTACCGCGCAAACCATAGCTGCCTCTCGGAGCATAAACTTCCTGTGCCGAGTCCACGGTTGCAGCCCCAAATCGTTCCTCGGGAGACTCTCGAACCATTTCAGACAGCTTGTCGTTTCTGCCGAAAGCTGCTTTGACAGGAGATCGAAGGTCAGCACTACCTTGACTGTATGTACCGCTATCCATTGAATCTCTTCGGCGAGGACCCCAAAATCCATTTATAAGATTGCCCCATTTCAACCCAGAACTGGGCGGTCGGGAAACCCCGCCGACCTGGGCGCTGCAATCGCCTCGCTTAAGAGAGCGCTTCAGATCATCCGCGGCCACACTTCCACTGCTTCCAGGTCGTGGCCGTCTTTGGTTGTCGCGTTGCTGGACGCTCGTGAAGTGAGGTGTGGTCGTCTCGGGCATGACTGTAGTCGTCGTTGCCGCGCTGCTCTTGCGCGTCACAGGGTCAGTTCCAGGAATTGGCAAATTTGTCGTACGAATTGATGCGGCATCAGATGCTCGCCTTCGGTGGTTGCGTTCAAGACCAATCTGCGATGGCTGGGGGACAGCGCTTGATTTTCTAGCGCTCTGACTTGCAGTCCTGGAGTGTGACGTCCGTCTCAGTCCACTTCGGCGATTGATTTTGCGGCGGAGAGATTCTTCTCGAAGAACGGGGATAATGAAGGTTGGCGGCGAGTTGGAGTAACCCCCGACCGAGGCCGACGTACTCGGCCTGTGCGCTCTAGCTGTAGGGATCTGCTGATTTGCAGGGAGGAAAGCGGAAAGGAGGAAGACCAGTCGGCGAGCGGCCATTTTATCGTCAGATATGATAATAGTCCGAGCTGGCAGAGACAGGTCCTCTTCATTTCTATTGCGGCGAGCCAAAGCGGCTCGTCTGCGATACGAGGGGCCACACAAAGCATGAAGCCAGTCGGTGTGCGTTGCAAGGAACCCTGTCAAAAGATTGTGAAAGAATGCAGTCCTTTCTATAGTCGCTGCCCACTTCGACGTCCAAATAGCCTCGTCACGCCAAATACCCCATCGACCTTGGCCAGTAACAACGCGAGCAGCGCTGAGTCCCATTACAATTCTGCTTCGCGCCAACCCAGCTTCAGACGCGATGTAGACATTGTCTGCAAGACAATTTGGCCATAACGAAACGAGCTTAGTGGTGCTCTTAGGTGGCTTAGCCCGGGGGATGTCATGCCCGCGACGCTCTGTCATTGAAGGGGTTCGAGATATGAAATTCGAGCCAGACGCCGAATACGGGCCAGGAGACGCGCAGTCAGCTTGTCTGAGCATGGAGTGTATCGTTGTGGCGACGAGAGATTGGAGATGTGTCAAAGTCCTCATGATAATGTCCCAGTGACGGGTCAGAGAGTCGATCCTATCCTCAATGTCAAGAGAATCCGCAGCTTCTCCATACGTCCCTGATGTCGACATCAAATTCCAGCCAGTCTTTGCAGAATTGTAAGATGAAGGAAACAGGTCCTGATCCTGGTACGACCCAGACTCACGGAATGCAGACTTGGTTGGAACGGCAGACGATATTCTGGAAGAGGGCTTCGGGATCTGTACTACTAAAACTAAGGCATACATCGGCGTGCGCCTCTGCTTCGGCTGGGGGTTTCTCTTCTTGTGCGAAGTTTCGTCGCCGTGGGCAGGAAAAGGGAAACTGCCCGTGTCGTTGGTAACACTAGAATCAGAGTCATCGGCGGCGAGATTGACTGGGAACAGCCGCGTAATGAGAACTTTGCGTCTATCGCTCTGCCGAGGAGGCCCTCCACCAAAAGGATGGGAGTTTCCGATTGTGGGCGATACAGTCTGGGAGGAGTAGGACTGCGAAAGCTTGCTGGAACGGCCACTAGAACGGCCAATGGAGTTTTTTCCGTCGCTAAAAACAGACGATGTAGCTGAATCATTAGTGCGAGTCTCACCTGGCACAACGTGGACTTTTGTAGAAATCCCCTTGTATGCCATGAGCTCGGAGTTGCCGAATATACAGCTAGAGAAAGTCGCCAGCTCCTCTCTGTACTCGCGGGCGGCTCTCTGCGATTCAGTTTCGTGGTAGCTTTGGCTTCGACTGTGAATAGACGCCCGGCGATCAAAGGCGCCTTGACGACGCTGTGGGCTCTCTGATTGTATCACCAAAGGTCTCTCTGGCTGGGTTAAGCTGCCCTTGCGCGATGAATTAGGCACTCTTCTGGCTTCCTGACGAGCGGGAGAGCGGTCTGAGTTCTTGACAGACTCTGAAGACGGATGACTGTCGAACAAGAGGGACGCATTAGCCGGACCGAGCGCATCTTGCATGACGACAACTCGAACGTCCTTGACGTCAAGCTCGACATCTTCGCTATAGTCAAAAGCGTTTGCCGTAGATATGCCCGAGGTAGTAGGCGTGGTGGACAGCGGGAAAACCTGGTCATTCCGGTGTTGATACAGAGCATGGGCATCGGGAAAGAGAAGGTTGCGCGTATGGATATCCTCCTGGACTGATTCGAGGGACAGGATCGGGCGAGACGCGTTATTGCTGCTTGGCTCAACCGTCGGCGTGGCAGGGCCTCCAGAGCCCAAGTGCAGCAGCCTTCCCAACATATTGAAGACTGAACTGAGCGCCAGCAAGGCCGTGAGCTGATGTGTCTGGAACAAATATGGTGTCGGGCCAAGCCCGAAGATCAAACAAACTTGCCACGGGTTGAAGGGGACGACTTCTGTCAATATCAGCGGGCATAAGTCATTCAAGCCCAGTGAACGGCCATCATCAGCGGTAAACACAACGAGTCCCTTGGCGCATGCATAGTAACATGGGCGGGTAAGAACAAACGAAGGTCCGGGAAGGCTGTGATGCCAAGAGGCTGACGCCAACTGGTTTGGCGAAACGGAAAGTTAAGTTCCCACAACAACAGGAGCGCAAGGAGAAACGCCTGACTAGCCAAGGTCTAGGAGAATGGCAGAGGCGGAGGCGGAGACAGAGGCTGCCCGGGGATGGTACGTTTAAGCGACCAGCGGGATTTCGGTGCTGGGTATAGAGTAAGTCAGGTATCGCGGTGAAGCAGTGGCAATTGATGGGGAAGCGGTGGAGGAGAGATGGACGAGTCGAGGGCTGGCGAATAAGCGCGGTGGAATTTGGCAAGTCGGTACTCGGTACTCCGTATTATACTATAGACTAGTAGTTATTTCGACCCCCCGGCAGGCAAATGACGGCGCATGCGTGAGGTGAGAGAAGTATCGGTGGGCCGGGTCAAGATGCGCACCAAATGCAATAGATCGTCTGCTGGATCAAGCGCAAAGGAAAAGAAATAAGAGGGCGCCCGAGCTTAGAAAGAACCAAGACCAGTCCGCACGTGCGTGTGAGTGTTGTGCTGTCAGAGGCTGCCCGACCTGCTCCGAGTACCGGATGCCGCGGCGCGAGAAGTGGGAAGGAGCAAGCTAGGTGAGTTGGTTTGTCTTGGAGCAGGTGCGCACGAGGAGAGACAGCCGTCGACAGCTCGAGGCCAAACAGGGGACGGGACAGGGCTGAGCACGCCGTTCAATTTGGTCGTCGGTTCTTCCCTCTTTTTCTTTTTTTTTCTTCAAGAAAGAGAGAGAGCAGTATAAGCAGGCAAAGAAGAAAGCAAGTCCTTCTGCGCCGTCGTTTGGGTGCGATGGGGGTGGGGTGTGAGGTTCACCGTGATAGAAGGAAGACAGTCAAGACGGGCTTCCTAGATAAGTTATACTCCGCACCTCGCGCGTATGGTATGTGCCAGGTAGGCTGGATGATTGGCGTTACATTTGGCTTTGCCTGGTCGTCCGTGGCAGCGGGCGGCAGGTCGCAGGGTGGCGACTGACCCAGAAACTCGGGTCGACTGGTGCCTATAAGCTCGTTGCTCGGCTGGTCTTCCCCCGTACTTGAGTGAACACGGGGAAAAAGTTCTGTCTGAGCATGTCAGTTAACTTGGCTCGCACCTCGACAACTCGCGAAACACACAAGCTTGGGCTTGGTCGAGTCTGCTCGACCATCGAACCGCCGTCCAACACATCCAATCACCGGGCCGACTCTTCTTGGGTGACGACATAATACGGTACGCAGGGTCAGATGCACTCAATCAAAGATTGAACCAGCCCTCCGTCATCAACGCAAGTCAGACAGGCAGGGCTTTGCACCTGTACAGCACCAATGGCACGCATTATCGAGTTCCCCTGCGCGGCGGCTGGTCGACGAGACATGGGCGACAGGGAACAGGGAGTCGGGTTTCGTTTCCCGTCCCCCGTTCGTTTCTCGTCTCTTTGTCTCTCGCCTGTTGGCATCCATCTTGACGCGAGCGAGGGCCTCCTCACACAGGCAACGAGCGACGGCCACCAAGCTTACAGCCCGCAACCACTATAATAAGTTATCAATATGAACAATTCCGCAGAGTACGCACAAAAGTTGGGCTACATACGGAGCAGCTTACGAGTGGAGAACCAGAGGCGTCTTCCAAGTGGAAACCCCCAACGCCGCCGTGGTTGCGTGTCAGTTCAAGATTTGCGGCTTGTGTCAGCGCGCCACGCCACCAACAGGCCGAGGCCAATTTTGATCGTCGCCAGTCACACAGCAGGCACTCCGTAATGCCATGCCTCGGGAACGCATGACTAGCTGGCGCCTTCGACTATTATACCTACCTACCTATACACTGCTACTGTAGTAACCACTTTGCACAAAGAAGTCGTTAACCAAGTCGTTGGACAACCAGAGTGGTAACGTCTCGCTGACCTTGGTGGTGTCCAGCATGATAACCGACATCTGAACCCTTCGGCCAGTTTTGTGGAACTGCAACCCCGACGAGGTCAGCTTCAGGCTGGTGCTTGGAGTAGGCGACGGCCCGGCTACGGACAAGTCCTGATCAGTTTCCATACTCCGTACTGAGAGAAACTACTCCGTACCGGGGTATCCTCTCCACGCTATGTGCTCCATACTGTACTTGTACTCCGTGGCCGGGGTCTTCAGGCTGCTGAAAACCGGCACCACTAGTAGGCCACCGTTGTACATGAGTACTCCGTACAACGTACTCTCAGATACGAAAGTTTGGGGGCGCGTTCTCTATCAAATCCATTCCAACTCGACTCCGCGAGAATTTGCCATTCTGTGTTGCCGGTTCTAGACCAGTCGAGTTCGAGGAAAACAGCATTCCCAAGTGTTTGCCTCTCAGGGCTGAGAGCTCTGAGAATCCTGTCAATGAATAATAGTATGAGTACGATGAAGTCGTGCTGGCCTTGCACCGTCCTCATCCCTGCCAAGGAAATTTCCGCACCGTGGCCTTTCTCGTGAAGCGGTCCCAAGCTTCAAGCGCCAAAAGCACCTGTCTAGGGCAGCCGAATCTGTCACCATGAAAGTGACTGATCCGATGGCCCTATTACGAATTACGTACCATGCTGATGCTGCTGGCTTTGCCGGGCCGCCTCTTCCTCATCGGCGATCTACTTGGACGCCAACAGCCACCTCCGCAATGCCAATCGTGTCTTGGTCGAGCCGCGAACGCGAATCAAATCCACGCTCGTCCTGTGAGCCGCCGCCGATTGAAGACGGGTGGCGACTGATGCAGGCAACTGTAACCGCATATTTGGTAACTTGTATGCAGCACCGAGGCAAGCAGGGCCGCCGGACCAGCCGGGCATGCTATGCTGCATTATGCACATAGTACGTAGTATATTATTTACTCTGTGAAGATGTGGGAAATATCGTAACGCGTTGAGAAGCTCGAAATAATATTGCGGCGGCCAAGCGAGTTGCGAAGGGTAGTGTTATACTCCGTACATAGAGTGTCCTTTATTGTGCAAAGCAACGTTTCTGGACTCATCAGCTGACTACCAAGGTAGCTAGCTACCCGCGGTCGGTACTTTCTTATTATGGCCCTTCTGCTCCTGTCGATGTCATCATCAATGCGGCCAACTAGTAGCTGAATTGGTCCAGGCCCAGCTCGGGACCATCACATCGGCCCGTTCATCCTCTCAATGACACCTGTAACATCATCCTAGCAATCATGGATCATGGGAATGATCCCAATGGCTCCTGGGCATTCGATACACGACCTCCAGGGATTGCTCACACCACCATTACAGATGGAGCACCAGGGCATTGTAGTGGATGAGCACGAGCATTTTGATCCTTTTGCTAGTTTGCCCGAAAAGAGGGAGGGGGGATCATCTATAATAAGCTCCTATTATCGCCATCCAAATTGCGGTGTGGGAGGCCTTCCTCCACCAGGTCCACTTCAAACCTTCGTCTACACAACCTCAACGTGGTCATCTACCAGTCATATACGCCTAGGTACCGAGTACGTGACATTTGATGGTGTTAATACATCTGCTCTCGACTACGGAGTACCATTACGAATCTACGATGGTGACAATACCATGCCAAAGCGGGACTCTGACCAGCCCGGTGATTGTTCGCCGGCACAGTTACGGAGTACTCCGTACAGAGAAGTCCATATAGAGCTTTTATTTGTTTTTTTGCTCTTTCTCGTCTTGCTGCGTGTGGCGGGGGCTCTTTCCGGGAAGGGAGGGGTTCTTTTTTTCTTTTTCGACACAGCAACAATCTGACTCCTTTTTAGATTCACCCTCGGAGCCCGTGGAGGCAAGCTTTGTAAGCCGACGGAGAGATACAAATTACAATCCGCGACGCCGGATTTCTTTGATGCGAGCGTTTCCTCTGGTGAAGCGCAGTTCCCGTCGCCTGGAGGGCCTTGTCGAAGAAATTGTCGCCAAAGCGGGGGATGTGAATGAGCATTTGGTTGGCAAGCTGGGCCCAGTTGCTCCAGCAGCAGGTCCGATCATCTCTCTTTTGAAGCGGAGACAAACAGCTGTTGTTGGGCACCAATGGAGATAGTAGATGCCTTGATCATTCCTACTGGGCGCCCTGTCCACTTTTACCAACAAGTCTCACACAAAGCATCCGTGTTTGCGCAAAAAGGAAAAAGGAGGAGTCCAGAGCCCAGGATCCCGGATCCAGGCAGGGCCCAAGGGCAAGAAACAGCATGCTGCGGATGGTTGTACAAGATGCCCAAACGTGACCACTTTCCAGTACGTGCTCCCTAGTTTGTGTAAACTGCTGCAGACATCATGGCTGTTTCCCGATACCGAGGATTCTCCTTCATCCTCACCTGCTTCTTGGGGGACCTACCAGAATAGATCTTGACCCCCCACGAGGGTGAGCAGATGATGCAGTCTATCGAGACAACAGGAGCGATGGTGCAGCGCCGCCGAATGGTGTGTAAATATAACGGCCAGAAAGAGCAGAAGGGAGACGGCAAAATCCATCGTTATCCTATGAGTGGTTCCTTTGAAGCGCCACCTCGTCCGTAATATCTATAGGGAGTCCTTGACCCTGTCCTGTCGAGCGTGTCTAGAATGTGACGACGACTACGAAGAGTACAGGACTGTGACGCCGAGTAACAGGTGACTGCTCACAATTGAATGCCTCGCCGGCCGAGGGTATTCCTGCACGCCCATCACCGTCAACATCACCGTCGCGTCTTCCTTCTCAGCCTTGCTGGAGAGTTATGATGTGCGTGCGAGCGGCGCGTGTGACGTGCAATCCAGGGCAATTTCTTGTGTGCCAAGGTCGGTCCAGCCTGTGCGTTCTCGGGCCGCATATTGGCAGCTAGCCATGTCGCTTCGTTGAGACGAAGAGAGAAGAATGTCCATGCACGAGGGCCAAGGCGAGTCTACATAACGCGACTCGCGAGGGAAGGTCCGGGTACAAGTCCGAGGGTAGCTCCACTTTTCCGGAAGTATCCCCCTTACCCCAACCCTGATCTGGCCTCTGGGTCAAGGCAGGTTCCAGTATTGCATGGACACGGCCTTTTGTCCGTGCAGTCAATTGCGGGGGGGGGTTTTTTTCCCTTCCTCTTCTTCCCTTTCGAGACGGGACGTTGCGTTTTGTGACGGGTGCCAAGACAAAGTGGTCAACCCGGAATCGAGATCAGGTGAGACGCTCTCCCTCTCGCGATATAATGGTAGTGTACGGAGTACTCCGTACTTTCGCCGCCGACAATCCTTCGGCCGCGTTGAGCATCTTGCGGGACGACCAAGGGCTGGAGCATCGTGTCCCGTGGATTGCCTGTACTAGCATTGTGTTTTTATTATACACGGAACACGTAACTTACCACGTATATCGCGGCACTCACGAACGTGTCGCATTGGAGCCTTGCCCACCATGACACCGTTCTCAGATGGGTAGGTGACTCCGTGATCGGCGACTCGCAAAAAGCCAGCACATCGTACGCTATCATGTCCCGATGCAGACCGACGAATGGGTCAGTCTCGCCCTGTTCCGTCTGCGGTCTGTGGTCCGCCGCTTCGAGCGCCCCCGTAAACGCCCAGTCGTCAAAGACGGTGGGGATGTCGGCCTCGTAGTTGATGGAGGGCACGTCGAACCGCACGGCGGGCAGCCAAGTCGCCCTCGGCCGGCGGAGGCACGCCACGCCAGTCTTGCGCCTTGGGGAGCCAAACTGCGCGCAACTCCCGGCAGGCATGTAGCCAGGGAAAGATGGCGTCGCTTCTGGTGGTTGCGCTCTTCACACTGCCGCCGCCGGGAGCAGTTTGCGTCCCGTCCTCTGGCCCATTTGAAACACTCGGTCCAGCGTTGACGGCACGGCACTGGGCCAATGATGCGGCGAGGCGGTCCCGCGGACCAGCTCCCAGATGGCGATGCGGATTTCAGCTGGTAGGTTGGGGAACGGCGCGAATTCAGCCACGTGCATAATCGCAACGATGCCCAGAACACGACTTGCAAGTAAGTTGCTTGTAAGCACCAGTAAAGTATAAGTTATAGTAGCAAAGAGTACATATTATGAGCTATAACAGCCCTGATATGTGTACTCTCTAGTTACCAACCCTGCTGATGGAAATCAAACACTAGATCCAGGAGATGCATCAATATTACAAGGAACCTGTGGCCCCCCCCCCCCCGCCAGCGGGATGCAAGCACAATTGCCAACCCCTCGCCCTAACCTCGCTGTGGAGAGTGTAGATAACCCGACCATTGCTCGCCTACCTGAGCTGACCTAACTACTATAGTTAACCTAACTAAACTACTATAATAGAGAGATAAGGGATTTTGATTAGTTAAATATTCTTAGAGAGATCTATTCTCTATAGAGTAAAAGATAAAGTAAAATAAGCTCTAATTAAGTGGAAAATTATTATAGAATATAATTATTTTGATGTCCATAGATTATATTCAACCTGACCGGAGCACTGTGTGAGGTTCTGCACTATATTAACGCGTGGCGCTATGATACCACTACCCTACAGCTCTGGGAATAGCACAAGGGTGTAATTTTAGAGTCTTTGTGAACTACATTGTATTGCCACTAAGTTGCTAAGCGTATACTATCTTCCCAAATACTTTACAGTTGATACTGCAAATTAATATTAGCATTGTTATTAATTATGGTAAAATACACACTCCTTCGGCAGAATGTCGCTGGATGTCCTCCACTCTGATAATTGGTCCATATACAGTGGGTGGCGGGATCGCTCAGCCAGAATCGACCGTGCCGACCAACCAGAAAAACGTGGTCAATTGCGTGGCTCTCAACGGTGATCCAACTTAATGGGCAGGAGACTGCAGTCTAGTCATGATCAGAACGTGACCGGTAGTTACTGAGTTGGAAGCGGCACGGTGCCTTGCTTCACCTCACTCGGCATGCCCTGATCAATTAACGTTAACCTCCAAACCATCTCGGGGCATGTTTTTCCGATGCCGGTGGTCTCGTACTGTCAGCCACCAATTCATTGGGCTACCAAACTTCCTCCCTTTGTGTAGCGCGACGCGACCGCTCCTTTTCACCACGGCAATTTAAGGCGGCAAAATGCCAGGCGCAGCATCCATGATGGATCAAAGCCTCTTGCATGTCGTCGAGAAGCATCCTATTGGGGACGGCCTGAAGGCTTTTCGCGACTCGTTCACCCCAAACGCAATAGAACGACTTAGCCAAGAAGGTAAGTTGCCTGCGCTGGTAGAAGCCATTTCTGACTGCTGCTTTGTAGAGCTTCAAAATTGCATTCTCATTCTCCTGTCGGCGTTACAACTCCATCCGGCTGCCCGACTCCTTCGCTCCAATAATGGCAGCTCGGTCTTCAGCGAAATATCGAGCCTTAGCACTTTGATTACATCCGACGCATCCGACGCTGACGATTTGATGGGCAGTTGGCTAGCTACACAAGGCGACGGACATTGTTTCGTTGCCGCGTCTTGCCCGCGGCGGCGACAGACGGCATTCCTCGCGGCCACGTAGTCTTGTAGTCGGCGACCCCAGGACGGGCTAACGGTCGTCATCCGACCCATCATAGAGGAACGAAAATCGCTGTCAAGGTGAAGTGTCTGATCGTCAATCACGTTCGATACTACAGCATCTGGGAAAGACACTCGCCTATCGACAAATGTGCAACGTTCATATTCCTGTCCCGCCATCTCTCGTAGCACGTAGCTTTCGATGGATGCCCTGGTGTGCCGTGCCTGGGCTCGTGTTTCGTGTTCAGTGTTGACACGCTCCCTCTCCCGCTCCCACATAGCATGAAGAACAGTGCCTCGTGTAATCGTCATCAATGGATCGATAACAATCGACAATTTTCCTGCTGCCTTTGGCCCTTTGCGCGCACACAATGTTGATAGGGTCCAGGTGAATGAAGCCTTGGGAATGAATGCTGGTGGTGAGAAGCCAGGTGTGGATTCCACCGTGTGCGAAATACGGCAGGCGGTGTGGTCCGCAGCACGCTATCTTGCTGGGAGCTCCAAGATTCTGCCATGGCCAACCACCACCACCACTCACTCTCTACACCAGCATGCCATGGCGCGATCGGACGACGGCATCCGCATCCATTCTGCTAGGTATGGTAACTTTATCTGGTGACCTTCATTCATCCTGAGATGAGACGCAAGTCGCCCCAATGTCTCGACATGCTGGGCCCATGCCGCCAGTCCCACGCAGAGGGCCTCGGTGGTCCCGTCTCCATCACCCAAGCATGGTGAGCTTCGATCTTGGTTCAACAGAGTCGCCAACTTCTCCAGGCAGTGCATCGACTCATTCCACCATCCGGGAAGATAAGAGAAGGAAGATTGAGCGCTACTGCACCATTTCTGTCAATGACGGCTACTCCAAGGATGAGGTCCTTCTCAACTTGGACCACCTCGCTGGGGACATCAAGCCTGGCACCCTCACGGCCCTGATACCGTTAAAAGGCGACGCCAAGAATACCGGCGCTGCTTATGGGAGCGTCAACAAGCAGCCTCATGAGCATCACCTCGATGGTGCGAGGCCAGCTTCGGGCCCACATAACGATCATGATCATGCCGCCGGACATGCGTACATCTTTGTCGCCAAGGACATGTCCAAGGAAATGAAGGCTCGACACCCTGACACGGAGGTTCATGTGGCAAAACATATTGCGGATGCCTGTTTTATGAAAAGAGGCTGCTGTGCCTTGCTGCGACCGGTACGTCAATGGCATCCAAGGGCATCGCACCCATCTCTCTTCGTTGCCTGTCTCTTGCTAACACGCTCCGACCAGGTCGACCAGGACCACCCTGCTGTCGAGGCAACTCATGTTGAGCTGTCCTTCAAGGACCAGTATCTGTCAAGAGCTGATATGTGGAGGTTATCTGCTGGGGAATTGACGCAGCGGACCGTGTATAAGGGCCAGTCTGTTTTCTTCATGGGTACAATCAAAGCTCAAGTTACTGCAGTCTATGTCAACGGCCACACCGTCCATTCCGCCTTTTTCGGAAAGGACACCAGACCCATCTTCCGCAGTGAGTCTGCCAAGTATGTATTATTTATTCAAATGGCGCGAGAGATGTGGGATTTCGACTCGGAAGCCTCGGGCGAAATCATGTTCAACAAGGTTGTCAATGGATTTCTGCCTGCCCTGTTCAAACGTTGGGCGGTCCTCAAGGTGAAGCACCTTGTTAGCATAGTGCTATTCGCCCGCGTCGAGTACGATACTGGCATCAGCGCGGATCTTGCAACCAGCTCCGTCCTGAACGATTATTACACCGGAGTCCAACCGTATGGAAACCGACGCCCGTACAAGGACTTTTATCGTGTCGTTGTCAGCGAGATGGCGAGCGGGGAGTGGACGACAATTCTTTACCAACTAAAGCGAGAGTTCAACTATTTCCGCCGAGACATCACCTTGCATCATCAGAAGGTCAGCGCAGTTGGACGCAGACCTTCCAACGAAGATGAAGGAAAGGACGGTACACCCAGTCCCGCAAAAGCAGAATCCTCTTTATCCATACATGGCAACGTGCTAGAGGCAATCAATATGGCAGCTTCTCAGTTCGCACATGACTACATTGATCGAGACCTTACTAGGACCGGAATATCTATTGCCGTGATTACGCCTGGACCTGGCGTGTTTGAGGTTGACTATGAGACCTTGCGAAGAACTACCGAATCTCTCGTTGGGAACGGTATCGGCATTGATCTGATTTGCATGGCCAGCATGCCGTTGCATTCTGTACCACTATTCAAGTATCGAAATCCGCAATTCTCCGAGGGTGCCCGTCATGGCCGAGGACACACACTTTCCAGATCATTTCATAGTCGGGATAGCACACCCAACCACCCCACTCCTGTCATCGGAAGCTATCAATCCATGTCCGGCTCGTTCTCTCCTACCAAAGCCCTCAATTTGGCGGGACGGATCGAGACGCTCGCCCTCATGGGAGCCAGTGAAGAATATTGCTACGCGCTTCCGCAGTGGTTGCACATATCGTTTTGGACTGGTGCGACGGAGGAGTCATTGTCTTATGCGGGCATTGCACTGACAGTATCCAACAAAGTCGAGCAAGAGAACGAGGACTGGTTCAAGGTGCGCTGTCGAATGTACGACCTGCAGATGCGAAGCGTCTTGGACGCGAATGAGATTGAGACTGCGCCATTGCAATCCGACGCTAATTATCCAAGTCACCTCATTGAAGCAAGTACAATGAAAAAAAGAGCAAATCGGCCGGGAGACATGATATACGTCCCTAACAAACATGCCCCTGAAGTGCTCTTCGACCACGTATATGGCTTTCAAAAGTTTGCCCCTGACAGGCTGGTTCGACCGGGAGAAAAGTCCATCTGGAAGCAGTTGCAAGAATTTGACGACGCGAAGGCGAGACTCCCTAGGGCCCGTCCTGTTCTCCGACACCAACCATCGAGAAATAAGACAGAGTTCGAAGGCGTCGCGGGAAAACAACTACATGAAGATGCGTCTGCACTGGGGACATCTCTTCCAGAACGAAGAGCCACAACTTACCTACAAACCTCCAACATGCCAGCTTCCAGAAAATTCTCCTTGACCACAACGGAGGTTGAGAAGCCAGTCTTGTCTAAGCCTCAACTATTTCCAGAGCCGCCTCCAGCTCGTGCAACAATCAAGAAAGCACCGTCTATCAAACAGCCCAAATTTATGCGACAGATTAGTCTGGGACAACGTGGATTCGGAATTGCCGCTCCAAAAATAGCAGCCGCTGAAGTTAAAATAGAGACTGTCGGGGCTGCTGCCGTCTCATCGAATTTGCGCCCGCCTTCCAACGCCCATTCATTTTCTGACGTCAGACCGTCCACGCCGCAAACAGTCACCAGCCGCTCATCTTCTACCTCGGCTCGGAGGCAGAAGTCCGAGGCCGCCGGCAGCAGTCTAGATGGTGTGCCTTTGACACCTAGTATCCCGATCTCGAGAGATGCCTTCAGCAGGCCGGGCACGACCTTCAGTCAAGCTAAAACGCCGTCGATAATACCAGCCGGAGCAAATACACGTCGTGAGAGACGCCCTGAGGATAGTGAAGTGCGCTTTTCCAATGCGCTACGGGCCGAAGATGCGCAAAAGGTGTATACCAGTAAACTCAGGGCCGGCGTCGTACCAGAGTTGCCATCAACACTCTCGCCTACCACAGCCATCACGCCTTGGCTAACGTTGCTCAATCCTTCGAACCCTGAGCGTCACAAAATTGACGACACCATTCTATATAGTCGGTGGCAGCATGTGTTCCCACGGACGTCTGACATGAAAGTTCAAAAATGGAAGACACTGTGTTGTCCTGCGGCGGTTCCTTTGACAACGGAATATTTTCCGGCCAAAGCCCAATTTGATGCAGAGTATCAGAGGCACCCTTACAATGTTGATCAGAACGTGGATGACGATATGGTTGATGAGCCAAAATCCCGCAAAGATTTCATGAAAGAACTGATCAGTATGAGATTTTCTCAGGGGTTTCAAGTCATTGTCGGGCCCTCAGTCGCACAGGCATTCGGACAAAAGGTTATCAAGGTTGCCGACGTTTTTGCTCGCGACCAGCCGTTGGATGACGGTACGAGCGTATTCATGTCTGTCGGAAACACAATTCATCAATTGTCCTGTGTCAACGGTAGTGAAGTCGAAGTGAACATTTATCTGCGGAAGCCTACCGACGTCAAGGCCGATTCGCAAAGATTTCCGTCAGCCTACAGACCAGCCATTCGTACGATATTCGACAATGAGTATGAGACTCGTTCGTTGGACGTCCTCGCACCCAAAGTGGATCGAAATTGGAACACAATTGATTCGTATCTGGCTGGACATTATGACGAAATGATGGACAGCTTACGATTTTGGCGGGCGAGATTTGTGCTCATTCCCCTCGGTCCAAAGCACCCCCTAATTCAGCGCGTGCAAACTGGTGACAACCCAGAAGAGCTGCGCATTGAGGGGATAAAACGACTGGCCCAACTTTGGCAAAAGCATCGATATACGGCGCCTTCCGATCGACGATTCCAGCCAACGGCGAAGCGCGGCCCCTTGGATATCGTGTACAAGACGGAAGACCCCTCTGTGGTGATTGCGGCAGAAGTCGAGACACTCCCCATTTGGGAGAGCTTGGATGGTCCTCATCGCAAGGGCGGACTCGTAACGAGAAAAGAGCGGTTCCAAAAGGGCAACCTGAATTTGGCGGCGTTGGCGGAAGCAATGCAGCAACCAGTCGAAAATGGCGGAGTGCCACTGAGGAACCGGCGGTGGCATCTCAGGCTTCACAATGCTGCCTTTATCGGATCTGACATGACCACTTGGATCTTGGACAATTTTGAGGACTTGGATAGTCGCGAGGAGGCTGAAGAACTCGGCAACGCTCTCATGGTACCCAATGAGCCAAAACACAAGGAAAAGGACAAGGAAAAAGATCATGCAGAGTCGAGGAGCGAGAAGGATCGCGGCTTGTTCGTCCACGTCGAACGGCGGCACAACTTTCGAGACGGCAATTACTTTTACCAGATCGCGCCGGAATTCGCAAAGTCTCAGCCAGGATGGTTCAGCAGCTTACGTCGGGATGTCACCTCTCCAGCCGCGCCAGGATCAGACGGCGGCAGCGTCGACTCTCCACGGTCCAATATGCCACGATGCTTGGCGCCAAACGATCCGAAATCCCCGGCGTCGTTGGGACCCGTAACCGGATGCAGTCAGTTGCTCATGAACCGGCCCAAGGTCATGCTGAGCAAAATGATCAAGTACGACATCGACCCTCGTAAGAGGTCATACCGCCCGGAGCGCATAGACCTGCACTACGATCGCCTTCACAACCCGGACAACTGCTACCACATGCGAATCGGCTGGATGAACTCGACGTCCAAGCTCGTTGAAGATACGGTAGAAAGCTGGGAGCGCGAAGCCAGCCAATACGGCCTCCGTCTCGTCGAGGTGCCCATCAACGAAGCTTGTCGCATCACGGAAACCAACCCCTTCCGCAAACCGTACCGCGTCAAGCTCGCCATCAGGCCGCCGCTCGAACGCCCAGAAACATACTACGACCCCAACTCCCTGGGCCTCCAGGCCGGACCCAGCAAGAACTTCTACCAGACCGTCATCCTCAAAAGCTTCGACTTCGTCCTGGACATGGAGGCCGCATCCAACTTCCCCTCGGACGTAGACGTCCGCTACTCCTGGGGCAAACCAGACTTCACCTACACGCAGTACATCCACCGCACAGGCGCAGTGCTTGCTCAAATCACGGATGAAGGCGACTTCCTCGTCCTTGCAAACAGGCTCTACAACAAGCGCACCAGCCTAGCTCGCGACAAGGAACTTCGCAGCCTTGTTCACTCTGAGCAGCAGCAGCAGCAGCAGCAGCAGCAGCAGCAGCAACAACAACAACTTGCCCCCAACACCACCACGCGCGCCACGGCCCAAATCGCCCCCTGCGTATCCGGCCACCCCCCCGCCAGCGGCATCTCCGAGCCCCTAGCAGTCCTCACGTCGCCCCAAGTCCGGCCAACGTTCTACCACTGCTCACCGGCCTCCCGCCCCATGGACGCATCTTTGTCGGGCTCCAAAAGCGCCTACCCGGCAGGACGTTCCGAGCCCGAGGTCCTTAAGACGGAACTCGAGGCCTTTTGCCTCAATGAAGCGGCCCTGACGGCCTTTTACAAAGACGTGCTCGAAAAGGGCCAGCGGACCCACGGCACTCCCGCCTCGACGGCTACAACACAGTCGTTTGCGGGTCTGGAGTCGGTGCCAGAGGCGAGCATACCCTCGTTGGGGCTGGGGCCAGGGGTTTTGGGCGGGGAGGGTGTTGGAGGAGTAGGGAATGGACACTCCGCTGCCATGTCGAGCATACGGATGAGCAGTCCCATGGCGTTTTTGAGAAGAGGGAGCGTACAGTACGATGGGATGGGCTTGGGGTCCAAGGCAAAGTAAGGGCCAGACCTGTAGCTGTCATTGTTTTGCATTTACGTGCCGGGGATACATTGTCATAACGTGTGGATTTTGTTCGGTTCCCTCATTGCCTCGTTTGGTCCTGCGCATCCTCACCCTACACGACGAACAGGACTTGTGCTTCAGGGTCACAAGACATCACATCACGGGAATCTATTTACTCATTTATTTGTCCGATCCTGGTGTATCCTGAACCATAAGTCGGACATGACATGGAGACAAAAGATGCCCACATTCTGCAGCGTCCATTCCCACGTCACCACGTTCCCTTCAAGTATGGCACCGGGCCTGCCAGGGGTGGATGACGGCATATGTTACAAATGAGAAGTCAATGTTGTCGACTGGACGGACAGTCGAAAATTGCGTAGTAACATTTAATACAAGAACCATGAAGGAAAATATGCAGCAGAGAGGCATCGTAAATCCGGCGAAATCAAATTGGTACGTGACAAGTCGACGAGTCTCGTGGACCCGAAAAAGACAAAATTGCCAGAGAGATCACGCATGCGTAGTGGTGTTGCCATTGGCCAGCTCGAGACTAGTATTGGGATACCCTTTTCAGCACTGTTAGCATCTTGGTGATTGACATCTTGATTTCAGCAAGGCAAACACCTACAGAATGAGCAGACGACAATAATGCCATAAAGGCAGATGAGGAGAAAGCCCTCTAGCCAATGACTCTTGCCGTCGCCGATCAGGTAGTTGACCAACAAGACGGCAACAAACAAGACCGCGACCTGGAAAGAATCAAAGCTCAGATCCATGTACTGTTTGTCCATTCCCCAGCCAATAATAACAAGCAGTGGAATCAGGAACAACGAGACCTGCATGCTAGAGCCTACGGCGACGCCAATAGCAAGGTCCATCTTATCCTTTATAGCGACGGTGACAGCCGTGACGTGCTCCGCGGCATTGCCAACAATGGGAAGCAAGATCAAGCCGACAAACTCTTGCGTCAAGCCGCCACTTTTGGTGATGGAGTCGATAGAGCCAACCATGGACTCGGCACAGAACGCGATAACGACCGTTGAGATGGTAAGAGTGCCAAGGGCAACCATCAAGCTCAGTTGGGGATCGTCATCTTGGTCGTCGTCTTCGTCCAAGCTCCCGGGGTTCATGATCATCTTGGACAGTCGCTCGTTCTGGCCCTGGTCAGGCATCGCATGACTCATGAGGGCGCTAGGCATGGCTAGGCCTTGCTTGATGCTGACGCTGTTCGTCCAAGGTTTCGCAGGAACCTTTTGGCTCTGCTCATTGAAGACTTCGTGATGTGTGTGGAGTTGAAAGATGAGGTAGGCGGTATAGACAATGAGCAGTATCACAGAGGTTCCGCGGGAGAGCTTTGCAATATCTGCCTGTGTAATACTTGCCGAGGCCGCGACATTGAATACGGATGGGACGATGACAGATGACACGGCAAGGGCCAGAACAGAAGCAGAGGTCTGGGCAACAACGGGGTTGAAGTATTGCTCTGGTCGTCGCAGGCCACCGAAAAAGAAGCAGAGCCCCAACACGAGAAGCAGATTGGAAAGAATGGACCCGATCAAAGACGTCTGGACGATGGCGATCTGATTATCCTTGAGTGCGATGATGGCAACGATGAGTTCAACGGCATTTCCAAAAGTAGCATTGATGAGACCACCAAGGGTCTCGCCGGTTCGCAGAGCCACTTCTTCTGTAGCAAAGCCGAGGATAGCGGCCAGTGGAATGATGGCCAAGAAGTTGATGACGAAAATAGCAATGCGATCAACGGAGTGGACGTAATTCAATGCAATGCCGACGGGAGCAGCGAGCAAGAGCACGTTTATCCAAGAGCTCAAAAAGGTGCGCTGCAGTTGATTCGCCACAGTAAAAGGTTCCTTCGGCTTGAGATGCCAGTTGATCAAACCCGTCTTGGCCTTCTTGTTGGGCTTTCCATCATCGTCCACCGTTCGTTCAGCCGAGTCAGAGCCGCGTTCGCTTTTTGCGGCATCATCTTCGGGCCGTCGGTTGCGCAAGCGTCCCAAAGATGGGTCAAGGTCCCTCTTCGGTTCTCCATTATCGACAAGTTTGGTTCTGGTTGCATCGTCACTCTCCTTACCGGAGCCGGTGATGGTGCCCGGGCTGGATGAGTCCCGTGGGATGCTCCCGCTGCTGGGAACCGGTGCCGTGGAAGCATGGGTCAACCTTCCGCCACTATCTCGTCCGCCCTGGCCCCGGCCAGCCTTTGCCTCGCGTTGGGGTCCTCCCCAGGTACCTCGGCGGCGCTCTCGATCAACAGGCGTGCCCCAGAGGTGCCGAAAAATATTCCATCCCTCGATACTTGAGCGACTGACCAGATGCGCCTCTCGTTTGTTCCTGAAGTGATTGACTACCAGTCGCAAACAGTGTTAGCTTTGATCAATTGTCCAGCATGGCAAGGACTACCAGGTCCTCCTCCCTGCTCATTCTCTGCCAAGGCGGACTCCAGAACATAATCGGCACCGCCAACGGGTATATCCGAGAATGTTGAAAACGTGGGATAATCATCAGCGCCAGCCACGCCGCACGCGACAGCTTTGCGCGGCGGCAGTACACTTTGCGGGCCCGATTTGGGACGCCGTCATAGTCCTCGCAGCAAAAACGGCACAAGATGTAGTCGAATAGAAAGGTTTACTCACAGGAGGACATGGTGACAGTGCGACAAGTCGATGCAAGCAGACAAAGGCTGCAAAGACTGGGACACGGCGAGGGTTTTCGTCTCTACCGACGCAAGAGTCCGTGAAAGCAAAGCGTCAGATCTGGGGATGAATGGCCCTGGAGTGCCTATGGTGCGTCCACCCGCAGAATCAATCAGTCCTATGATAATCCAGTGAATCCACAATCAAGGCTCAGGTGTCGCGGTGACTGGCGGCCTCAATTCAGCGAACGCGCTAGTGAATAGCTAGCTAGTCGGTAGCCCGAGAGTAGAGCGACGATAGCCCGAGAGAAATCGCGAGTGAATAGGCGGTGACGCCAGGGGTTGGGCCGTGATGTGAAGTTGGTGGTGTCGAGTCTTCTGTTGCGTGTTTGACGCCGGCCACGTTGCTCGCTCGCTTTGACCTCGAGCAGCAAATGCCACCACTCTCCGTGCTTTCGTCTCTTTCAGTCAGTCAGGCTTTCGCCGGCTCCGTTCGGGCGCGTGTCGACTTGCGGAAGCGCCAAGGCACGGCCGTGTTGAGAGCTTGCCTGGCAATGTTGTGCTGCTGGCATCGGCCACGTGTCGGGCTTCACCGTTGGTTGCAGTGACAGGGCACCAAGGAGACGACGAGGAGACGACAGGGAGACGACGGGGAGACGAGACGTCCAGACAACTTGACGATGACAGAATGCAAGTACGACGGCGTGTAGAATCAACAGACAAGGTGAGGAGGAGACTTGCCCATGTTATATACGATATGCGATGACTATGCGATATGCGCAACACGCAAATTAATGTACGAGCCTCCACGCCCAGGCATGGGGGAAGGCGCAGAGTCAACTCAACGGCAGGAGGGAAGGAGCGGACAAAGCGCGCCCTCCTCTCTCTCGTGTTGTGCGTGATTCCGGATGTCCCTACTCCGTACGCGGATGCGACGGCACAAAAGAGAAACGAAACAAACAACAGGCGGCCTCTACAGGACCACGCTCGCTCCCATGGCGCACATGGTCCGTCTACTTCCTACCCATGATCCATGGTCAACACCGCGACACGCATCATGGCCCAGATGGAGGGAGTGTCGAGCACGGAGTACGAAATTTCGTGCGTGGCGCCGCGCCGGGGCGGAAAGAGGCCCGTGCTTCTGGAGCACAGATCGATCGCCCAGCACTGCCAAGGCCCAAGGAACAATTGACGTGTTTGAAAAGTCCGGATGCATGTGCCGTTCAGGTCCCTGGCTGGCTAGCTGGGGCTGGCTGGGGCGTACATTGGATGACACGGCAAAACAACGGCAAAACAACGGCAACACGCCCGCGTCCACCGACGCGCACATTGCACGTACCTGTGGCATAAAGTCGACATTCAATCCATCTTCAGCCAGCCATGACGCTGCCGTTTGTCTAACCTTTCAACTCTCTCCTTGTCAAGTCTCTCTGTATATGTAGTGCATGTTGTGTATAATTTTACAGCCAGCTCTGTGTCCTCCTCTTTGGGAGCAAGACGCTCAGGTATCATAGATGTAAAACAACATCATAAGAAACGAATCCTCCCAAACTCCCAATGCCTCCTTTCAATCACCTTCTCATGTTGCACCCAGTCGCTCAGCTGCCGTCCCCTCTCTCACATAGCATGATGTACCAATATAATTTTCATAAATACTCATCGCGCCTTTCCTTCATACCACATAGTTTGCCCACCGAAAGTAATGCAGTCCACCTCCCGGCTAGATCCAGTCCCCGTCAAACTCTCCGTCGTCGCTATGTTCCACGCTTTGCTTGCGTGGCCGACCTCTTTTGCGTGTCTGTGACCCCGATCGAGCTCTCTTCTTGCGTCCGCCAGGGGTTCCCGTCGCCTTTCTCTTGCGGCCTCTGTCACCTCCGTCTTCCTCCTCCTCGCCTTCGCTCGGGGTCCCTGGCCCACCCATGCCCATGTCGTCATCTTCCTCAGCCACCTTGAACTCCTTGTCGACATTCATCAACTCCACAAACGCCTTGCACTTCTGTACCATGCTCTCCTGGCTGGAAAGCCCATTCATGTGGGACACGATTTCGTCCCATACTCTTTCACCGTGAACGCCTTGCACCTTGAGCGGTGTTCTATTCAAATCCTTTGCTAGAGCCTTGGCACGGCTGTCGTGCCGACTCGTGCCCATACCGAACAGTCTGCGTAGGTGACTTCGTACCTCCCAGAGGGAGAGAAGGATCATCGCCCCAGCCGTTAGTTGTCGAAGGCGCTGTGGTTCAACCAAGAGGATTGGCGCTGGGGCAGCGACCGTTGGTACATCGCACTGAGTTGGAATTACCTGCGCAACTCCTTCCACCCGGGGTTGTGCCTGCTCTTGCTGGTCTACATCCATTCGCACGTTGAAGACTTCGGATTCAATCGCCTGGGCCACAGTCGCACCCGTACTCGCAACCATCTTCTCGATCGTGTGGACCGTAGTCTGCAGCTCTCCAATCGAGTGGTACTCCAAGAACGCTAGATTCTCTGCAATGAATCGCGCAAAGTCTACCTGATGCGGCATTTCTATTTCGACATTCAGATTTCCCAAATCAAAGTCTGCTTGCCCAACCAACTTTTCCAAGAAGCGTTGGCGGTTTTTCATCTTGCTGATCTTCAAAACCTCCATGAGCAGGTGAAGCTTCGACTGAAACGGGTCCGTGGTTGCTCCATGCGAGTCATTGACAATGTCTCGTTGATAATTGTAAGCAGACTGAACCGCTTTAACGTACTCTCTCTCCAGGACAGTCTCGTGTTTTTCGTGCAGAGATCGATGTTCCATGAATGCCAGCTCTGCGATCTTCCTATTGGCAGATGTTTCCAGCGTAATCAAAGTAACGCCAGTCTCCTTGGGGTGAGTCAGCCCTTGACGATTGATGCTTCCCAGAACTTCCATAGCCAGGAATGCATGTTCGTCTTGACTTGACAAGGCAATCCGGGTAATATCTTTGAGGAAGCGCTGTGTAGCGCCGCTGGCAACATCATCAAAATTGGTGCCACCCATGACTGTCAGCTCCTTGTTCTTCTCCTTGGGGGCTTCAGCAGCTGCTTCCGATCGTCTCTCTTCTGTCACAAGAAATTCTTTGAAGGATCTCAGAATCATTGTCTCAAGAATGGGTATCTTGTCTTGGAATACCTGCTGGAATGCAGTATACACCTTGACGAGATCATAATTTCGGGGCCAAGACTGGCAGACGAGACCTATAGCTTCAATGGACGCTTTTCGTGCGTCCAGTGGCTGTTGTGGCGATGAGAACGGCGAGAGAATATCGACTATTAGCTTCGGCACTGAGTCTCCTTTCCAACCTGGGAACCTCTCGCGGAAGATGCGAGCTTGCTTGTCGAGATCGCAATGTTTTCCAACGCTGCCTACGATGATTGAATAGGCCGCGACATGGTGAAGACGTTTCGCATCCAACGGTACCTTGCTCAGCTTCTGTATTCCCATCAAGCTCGATGCAACGAGGTTACCCAGCGGCGCAAAGTCCTTGAGCAACTCGCACACGGTATGAGCGCATGCAATCAGGTCGTCTAACGCCCCGCGAGATGAGATTTTACCAATGCCTTTAAGCAGCTGCAGTCGTACGTCGGCCAAAAATTCTGCATGCATGTTGGGTAGCTGTGGCAGCACTCGTTTGTAAATAACTGTGACCGCTCGAAAGGCAGCCAGTTCATCTGCACCTGTAAAACTGGCGAGTTGTGTCTTGAGCAGCTTAATTTGCTCAAAATTGAAAAGATTTGGGTCAGCCTTTGCAAAGATGGTCAGAACTTGCAAGGCATCGCGACCAGAGGGGACGGTTGGATCTTCCGATTCGGGGTTGTCAATCAATCCAAACATAATCCCGACCAGTCTCGAGCAGACTCCAAATGGCCCATCCAGAGACTTGCTACCAGGTTTGAGGATAGTCTGGAACACCTTGTCCAAGATTTCGGTGACAGTACCCCCTTTCACAGTTTGAATGACAAGTGACACATGTTCTGCAAGTGACGTCTCGAAGCTGGCAGTGTTCTCGTTGGTATAAAAAGGTGCAAACCAAACTTCTTCAATCATCTGGCGGGCGAGGTCTCTCACACCTTCATCAGGATCCTGAACACGGCGGAGCAGACCGTTGGCAATGGCACTGCGGAGATTTTTGCCCCGATTCCGCAGGTAAATATCACGTGCCAGCTTCATTGCTCGCTTTCGCACACCGACACCAGCGTCCTGGAACCGATCAATAATCTTGGGGGTGAGCGATGCCTCCAGGGCAGGGCGCATACTGATGCAGCTACCCAACAATCCCAGAGCCGAGTCTCTGACTTGTGTTGAGGAGTCACTGGCGCAATCCAGAATAAGCTGAATAACAGTCGAGTCACCGTCCAGGATAGAGGGATCTGTTTCGAGCACCTGATTGACGCTCTTCAAACTCTTGCTGCGGACTGTAGCTTGATCACTCGCCATAGAGCCTAGGAGGATATTCAAAATTTTGCCGAAGGACTCGCAGAAAGGTGATCTCAAAAGAATGATCGAAAATGCAAACTTTGCTTGGCTATTCGTCACTGCCTTGAACGTATACTCGCTTGCAAGCCATTGGCGGTCTTCTATCATCATTCGCAACCGGAAAGCCGATCGACCCAGCTCCTTATCGCCTTCCGAATCGTTGTCTTGTATACTGTCGTATGTGGTATGAATTCTAGTCGCCCAGTCAGAAATCAGAAAAGATACTGCGCTGGACAGATGAGGATCCTCCGAGCTTCTTTCTTGGAGATACTCAAGAACACCTCGATATGGTCCGGCCCATGCAACAATGTTCTCCATTGGGCATCTCTGTTCGAGGCAGTGAGTCGCCAGCTCGGATAGATACTGTGAGTATTCGCCAGCATCACTGCTAATAAATGCACCCGCAGATTTCTTCACGTGCGATCTGAGACGCGATATGGCAGCACTCATGGTTCCCAGAAGTTCCAAAGCCATATTTTTGGCTGGCGCTGCCGTTTTAGGCGCCTCGAACAACTGTACCATCATGACCATGAGCAGGCGCAGTAGAAGCTCTGCGGAAGGCCAATCTGGCACGTCAAGACATGTCGTAAAGTCATCGACGAAAAGATCAAGCAGATTGCGATAAGGTGTGTCTCCAGACTTGGTTGAGCCCATGGCTCGCTTGACCATGAAGTTGATGACGTAAGATGCATTCCGGACAGCAGTATCAATCAATGGGGCCGCAACACCTTCCAATTCTTGTATTGCCACTGCAGGTTGCTGGGCGCCTTGTTCCTCGCTCAGAATGGTGGCAGTTGCTTGGTTTCGCTTCACCGGTCGATCATCCTCGTCATCCTCTCCTGAATCATCCGCACCTATGGCTCGGATATTAGGGCCTTGTCCGGTACCATTGCCGCCCCCAACCCGACCAGAACTGGCTTGGACGAGGCGCATGATAAGAGTCGAAACGGGTTGAATACTGCCTCCATCAGCCAGTTTGAATTGTCTCGAACTCAGTTTGCCCACAGGGAGCTTCTCCAATGAAGTCAAGATGTCATCAATGATGCCCTGTCTCTGCTCCGGTTTTATCAAGAATATTTGACAGAGCATATCCATAGCAACTGAGCGAATTCCATCAAATTTTTGGATGCCGATGGCGGAATCTTTTTCAAAGTAGGCATTCTCCACAAAGATCAGTTTAGATGCAGTAAATTCGAGTGTGTTGATGACTGTTTCCGACAATTCGATATTGGTGATAAGCTCTGCAAGAAGAGCCGATAGCTTCTGACAGCAGACAAAAATGGAGGCAACTGCCTTCTTATGCTTCTGGACCAGTTTGAACAAAGCACCGGAGCTGCCAGAATTGCGGAGTTCAACAAGAGGCATCACAACATCCTCGGTTACTGCCTTGTATATGTTGACGCATTTGGTGATGACCGCTTCTGAGTATAGCTGCTTGTCTTCTCTGCATCCCGACATGATTCGGAGGCAAGTCCGCGCAGCTTTTAGAGCCGTTTCCAGTTCCCCGAGCTGCTGAACCCATGATTCGACGGCCGGTTCATCCCAGCTCTCATCAACGCGGATGTCGAGACCTTCAGCTTGTTTCAAGCTAGCTTCGCTCAGCTTCATGACTTTAAGAAGGTTCTCAAGGGGGACGCCATTGAAACTCCTCAGGCCAATGACTTTTTGAATGGCTGTGTGCATTTTCTGTTGCGTTGTGGCCGTCATTGCAGGTTCTGAATCTGTCAGATAAACGATATGTTCTAGTCCCGATTCCATAACCAAGGCGCCGCCAACTGCTGAAAAGACTTGCCGCATGAGGGCGTCGAGGGCATCCAGTGCAGCCTCTCCTCGCTGTCGTTGGTCAAGACTAGTCCCAAGAATATCTTGGCCGTCTACAATATCCTGTCTTTCTTTTCGTCTGACTGAGAGATTCTCGGGTGCATCTGGAGCAACCTTGAATTCCTGATACTCTTCTCTATTGACTGCTGCAGATGGAAGTTCAATGCTAAGGCCGGCACTATTAACAACAATAGGAGGCTTTGCGGTTAATATATTTGATTGGCTGTATTGTTGCGCTTCCACAATTAATTGATCATGTGGGGTGATTATATTCTGATCGTAATGATCATCTGAAATTTCGGCATATTGTGAGCGATCGAATGACTGGTTCGTGGAGATTGCGACCTCTATCTTCGTCTTTCCACTGCCTGTGTTTTTGTTCGCAAGGGCTTGCGACTGTATATGGATCGTTGGGCTTTGCGATACTGAGTGGGCAGTCAACTTTGAAGCCTGTTCTGCTTCTCCGTTTAACAGCTTAGGGCTACCGAGATTATGCTTGGTGGCCTTGAAGAAGCTGCCAACTCGTTCGTATACCGCCTTGGCTATCGGTGATAAACTTTGCGAAATGCTTTTGTTGTGAGTCGACGCCAAGCTTGATGGTGTTCCGTTGGGTAACGAGGGGAATTTGCTGGCAGTCGTCAGCGCGCGAATGGTGAGCAAGAGAAGTATTTCCACTGACTATTGAGTTCGCTTTGACGGTTTCAGATCATGCAAAACATGATCAACTGTTTGCTTCAGGTTTTTTGCGGCACTCAGCTGACTTGTACCTTCCTGGTTCACTCTGTCATAATCTTGGGTCGAGAACAGATCCGAGATCCGAAGCGATGGTGATCCTGATCCGACGCTTGGGTCCGGAATAATATCTAGCTGATGTGTCAGAAAAATTCAACGCCCCCGTGCAATTCATGGATCAGGCCGTCACAAAGCCGAGTTCCTTACCAGGAAGAAAAGGTACTGTTGATGTCTGCGGAGAATAAGGCAACGACTCCTGCAGCGTGAACGGTCGCGAGATGCCGTTTTGTTCGCCAGGACCCTGAACAGATTTGAACCCATTCCTAGGGCCGTTAGTATTATAATGGTCCATGTTTTCCAAATCGTGCATCGTCGTAACAGGGCCGCTCTTCAGACATGGCCGAGGGAAGGAGCCGTCCGGTTTCGTTGCAAGAAGGCAGGAGCAAATCTGCGAGACAATAGGAGCTAGTCAATTCCGGCCTTGGTCACCAAGATGAGCGACATAGCCAAAAGGAATAGTAGATTCGCAAGATTATGCTCTGATGGCTTGCGGTTCATGCGCAAAGAGCAACAGTCATACGATGCCTAGCAACGCCGACGTCAGGTTGAAGACGAGGCTCTACTTTTGTCTCCAACGAGGTGACTTGGACAAGCCGTTGATTGAATGCGACATGGCCGGACAGCAACCAGTAGTGACCTTGGCCGCTGCAGGCTTATTGATGGGGCTGTGACCGGGGGTCCACGGCATGTCACAACCAGCCAATGATAGGATTTTCCTCTCATGGCGTTCGCCGTCCCCGTCCCTTGCCTTATCGTTCATCCGTAAGGATAAGCGAAAAAAAGAGGCTTTGTCAAAATGACGGCAAGTTTCGATACAGACGTGGCTTTGCGCCCAAATTTCGCCTGGGGTGTTCAACCAGCAGTCGTACACAACTATCGGCACTCTCCATAACAAGACTCAATGGCTGCCATAGGCTCACTCGTTTTCTGCACTGACTGCGGAAATCTTCTCCCGGCTACCAAAGGCACGGAGAAGAACTCGCTGAAGTGCGAGTGCTGCGGTGCTTGGAATAAAGGTTTGCGCGACCAGCCCATCTCCGCCTCAAACACAATACGTAAGCAGGGAAAGAAAAAGAAAAAGAAAGAGACTAATCTATTGTTTCATGAATAGACACCGGTTCAAAGATCATCATCACGCAGTCGAAGCCGTCAGACTTTCCGTCCTTCCTGCGGCAAAAGTTGCAGTCCAACGTACAAGCCATTGAGAGACACACGCTTCAAACCTCAAGCACAGTGCAAGAACGGTGCCCCAACTGCGGACGAGAAGAAGTCACGTATACCAATGTGCAGCTTCGTAGTGCTGATGAAGGCTCAACGCTCATTTACCGCTGTGAATGCGGTCATTCGTTCGTACCATCCGCCTCCCAGCGATGCATCCATACTTTGTAGTACTAACTCCCCACTTACCAGGTGGTCCGAGAACAATTAAAACAAAGTCGGCATTTGTTTCTTTGGCAGGCTATTCTATTTTATATCAATCCTTTGCTTTTATGCAGATACACTGGCCGTTTCCGGTATCAAGGCATATTCAGCGTTGCCACTTTGCTCGTAGTCTGCCATGTCCAATGCGACGATGACGCTGTCTCGGACGACTTTTTCTTTATCGTGAAGAAATCGCTTCAATGTCTCCTCTACGCCCTCTTCCTCCCCAAGGCTCCCAAGCGCCTCAGCAGCCTCGTGACGAACCATACTAGCCTCTTCGAGGTTGCTCAACGCAGCTGTGAGGGCAGGAATAGAGGCGGGGTGCGAGAGCTGACCAAAAACGAAAGCGATTTCGTGACGGAACAAGGCAGAAGAGTCGTCAAATCCGTTTGCCAGGGCGAGCACAGCAGGAACAGCAGTTGTGCAGTCGGGTGGGGAGGCGAGGTCACGCAGGGCGAACATGGCGCGGTATCGCATAAAGAGAGGCTGTGCAGTATCCATGAGCTGCTTGCCCAGCTGTTCGACGCTCTTTTCCGATTCTGGCAGAGGGGGCGCGGGATCAATCGAGGCAAAATCGCTAGATAGTCGTTAAAACCACGAGAAAGATGTCTCGAGATGAACAGCATCATCAATCGCTGATGACCAACCTCTGACGTAATTTCTCTAGCTTGCGCGTCTCCGAGTTCTCCCATTCTATGCGATCGATGGCGATCTCGCAAGTCTCGGTGATGACAACGTCTTCCCCCTCGCGATCGCGGAAATGTCTTAACAGCTCCAAATTTTCCGTGCTGCCAAGCGCGCCCAGCGCCTCGGCGGCTTCGTGCCTGCACATAGGGTCCTCTTTCAGGTCCGAAAGAACATCTCGCAACGGCTTGACAGCCGCGTCGTTGGCAGTCTGTCCGAGGCAATAAGCCAACTCATGCTTCAGCAGGGCCGAAGGTGACGCAAACGCAGCGGCGATGGCCTCGATGGCAGCCACGGCAACAGAGGGCTCTCCGGTTCGTGCGACGTGCTTCAGCGAGAAGAGGGCTCGAAACCGGATTGGTAATGGGGTGGCTTCGGAGCATAGGCTCTCCCGTAGACATTGAACGGTGGCATCTGTCATATTGGGAAATTCAAGTTGTCGATTGCCACTATCAACAGGCAGAAGTTAAGATGCGGGAATGCGAAATTTGAGGCCAGTTTATTAGGGACAATTGCCCCTCCAAAGACATTGCGGGCGGCTCTTGTCGTAACTCCGTATTGAGGAGAGAAAAATTCAGGTGGGGTGATACACGATAAGAACGCGTACTACAGCGAGTTGGGGCGTCAACGTGCTAATTGCTTTATAAAGTAAAAATCGGAGTCACCCGACCGCTCAGCCATGGGAGGTGGTCAACTACCTCGATAGGTTCCATGGTCTAACGGTTATGACTGCGGATTCTGATTCCGCCAGCGAGGGTTCGACTCCCCCTGGAACCTGATTTTATCTTTTTGCGCGGCAGCATGCCCCACGACTCAGAGAGTAATGAGTTGGCTATCCTGTTGCCTATTATTAGTTATTATGATCTATATACTTGTCTGTGCAATATTGTTCTTTTTTATGTGCGAGTTTGCGTTCGGTCCATAAATCCGAACACGTGCTGGAAGATATTGCCGTTCAATGGCATTTGTTTTCCTGCAGCTGGTCGACGGACCAAAGGCCACCTTAGCGACTTCATCATACGAGGAGGGTACGGAGAGCAAGTGTATTTGATGTCGCAGAGTTGTCTGCGGTAAATGGGCTAAAATGCTGGTTTGGTCATGGGAACAACCTGTGCTAGTTGCGTCTCCGAATCGGACCACCCACATTAATAAGCATCACAACCACACCCACCATGACTATCTTGGTCATACCCATCTATAACGTATCTCGCACTCACAGCTAACGTCGCCACGACCCCCTTCCAAAAAATCATAACAAAAAACGCCGTGATGGTCTCGTCCCTCGAGGAGCCAGAGTCAGTATCCGACGTGCTCGCCAACCCCATCAGACAGAAGCCGCAACTCGTCGCCCCGGAGCCGGAGCACTGTCCGGGACCGGAATCACAGCAAGCAGGCCAAGCGGACTCTTGTGCCGGCTGTCCCAACCAGGCAATCTGCGCATCAGCGCCAAAGGGCCCGGACCCAGACATCCCCGTCATATCAGCACGCCTCGAAAATGTCAAACACAAGATCCTCGTGCTCAGCGGCAAGGGCGGCGTGGGCAAGAGCACATTCACGTCGCTGCTCGCGCATGCCTTTGCGACCAACCCTGACAGCACCGTGGGCGTCATGGACACGGACATCTGCGGGCCCAGCATCCCCAAGATGATGGGGGTGGAAGGGGAGACGATCCACGTCAGCGGCTCCGGCTGGTCACCTGTGTGGGTGATGGACAATCTAGGCGTGATGAGCATCCAGTTCATGCTGCCGAATCGAGACGACGCCGTCATTTGGAGGGGCCCCAAGAAGAACGGGCTGATCAAGCAGTTTCTCAAGGATGTGGAATGGGGCGAGCTGGACTTTTTGCTGGTAGACACGCCGCCGGGCACGAGCGACGAGCATCTGAGCGTCAATGCCTTCTTGAAGGAGAGCGGGATTGACGGCGCCGTCGTGGTGACGACCCCACAGGAGGTTTCGCTGCTGGATGTACGCAAGGAGATTGACTTTTGCCGCAAGGCGGGCATTAGAATCCTGGGGCTGGCAGAGAACATGAGCGGCTTCGTGTGCCCCAACTGCAAGGGCGAGAGTCAAATATTCAGACCTACTACGGGCGGCGGGAAAGGTTTAGCAGAGGAGATGGGCATCCCGTTCCTCGGTGCTGTGCCCTTGGACCCGAGGATTCGAATGGCTTGCGATTATGGAGAGAGTTATTTTGATTCATTTCCTGACAGCCCGGCTTGTTTGGCGTTTAAAGGTGTGGTCAAGCGTGTGGCGAACCAATTGGGCTTGGATACGACAAACGTATTACCTGACGAATAGACGAACTATGATATATAGATTGATGATGTATGCAAATACTAATGCGCTCCAAGAGTGACTCTGGACTCCGTTATTGCCTTTTCATTTTCATGCCGCTTCAAGTGATTAGAAATTTTTGGACATCGATCGAGGTCTGTTTTTTTCCTGCCCAATCTATTTACTAGCCAGCTTTTCGGGAATCTCGTCGAGGTCCTCGACAGACTCGATATCAATGACACTGCCTGCCTCGCTGGTGCTTCGCATTAATTCCTTCGCACCGGCGTACAGCATTCTCACCTCGGCATTGCAAGTTGGGGGAAGATAGTATAGTAGAACATAGGGCGCTGAGAGTCGTCCGTCGGACTTTTCATAGGTATTAGTCGTATCTTGCTTGACCTGATCGTGCAAAAAGTCGGGATGAACAGCATACCGTAGTGATGGGATAGCTCAGCAGAACAAAGCGTGGCGTGTGGTCTGGCAAGTCCTCCGCAACGTCCTTGAGGGACTTGTAGACTCGCGCTTCATCGTAGTCATCGAGGGCTTGTCGGATCTCTTGGGTGTTCTTATCAATCATATCTACCAGCGCCATGTCAGCAGGTCGGGGGAAAATCCTTGGATGCTGGGCTCAGACGGGCCATGCGCACAAATGACAGCTTGGGGATCCTTGGCTCTCGATGTAGTCAGTCGGAATTTACGAAGATGTTCCTTGGTTTCACCTGCGAAGGTGTATAGTCTCGATTCGGAGGCCTTCGGAGCGGGGTGAATTGCATCAGCGGGCTTCGACTGGAGGAGATGATGGAAGAGCTCTAAGGTGTAAAGCGCCATACCATGATGCCAACCGGGTCACACAATCAGGCCGATGCCAAGCGGGTTTGAAAACGGGCGCAGATATTACTTCGGTCCACCGTAGCAATGCTGTGCTGCAAGACTGCGGCCTCCAAAACGGCCGGCAGGGAGTTGACGACGAAGATGGCCAACCGCTTGGCCGCCAAGATCGAAGATGCCGTCCATCGCCGGCTGCCAATGAGCGCGGCGCCTCGGTGCTTTTCAAGCCCCGCAGGTCACCAGCAATCAAGTACATATATACCTAGGTACTTTAAGTAGTACTCCGTAGGTACGGAGGTACTTGGGTAAGTCAAGTGCTCGGTACCTGGTTAGTCAACTAAATGCCCCGTAGCACTTGGAGCCCAGTACTTACTTGCTTCAATGTTCCATGTTCCAATGTCCATGTCAGCAACCGACCAGAACAGAGCAGCTCCATGTCCAGTCGACTTCGAAGTTGCATCTCGCCACGGCATTCCCTGGCGTCGCCGTCACAAGCAGCTGCAGCCGCTCTCCAAAAAACTAACAGCAGCGGGAGAATTGATTGATTGAATGGCTCCTTTGATCCCGTCTCCAGCATCATTACACACAAGACGCCCTTCGAAACCTCCATGTTGTCACGACTTTCCCAGCTAGCGAGACAGTTGGCAGTCCCATCGCCGTCGCTTATTCAGGTACATCGGCGTCCGACGGCATCGGCGCTCTCAAGAATGAACACTGCATCTCAGGACAAGGGGACGCGCACAATTCATAGTGCTGCGTGTTTGATCATCGGAGATGAAGTTTTGGGCGGAAAGGTATGACCCAACATTTGCCAACAGCATCGGGACCCTGACGCGGCGCATCTTTTTCATGCTGACGCTGGCAGACTGTCGATGTACGTCTCACACACACACACACACACACACACACATATATATATATATCCGTATACCCAGGTATACGTTCCGACTGGAGGCGACGTTACGAGCGGACCGCAACCGGCAATCTCCTACTGTGGTAACTGACTGGAACAGACCAATTCGGCGTATCTGGCTAAATGGTGCTTCTCGCTCGGAATTGTAAGCCGTGATTTGCCGTGTCGTGCTGGCAAATCTTCTCGGTCTAATTGGAGGCTAGAACTTGAAGCGCATCGAGGTCATTGAAGACGATGAGAGCGAAATCATAGAGGCGGTCCGCCGCATGAGTGGTCGCTATGATCTTGTCGTCACCAGGTCAGTGTTTTTTTTTTCAGCCATTACTGTGCGGTACGATATCATAATCAGAGTCATTACTGACAGGTAGCCTTGCCTAGCGGTGGTATTGGGCCAACGTGAGTGTGATCTGACTGCCTCACGCCTGCGCGTTGTCGAGGGTGCGACTGACGTCGATGGGACCTAGACATGACGACATCACCTATCAATCCATTGCCAAGGCGTTCAACTTGCCATTAAAGCTGCACGACGAGGCTTTTCAAAAAATGAAGGTCCTTTCCAGACCTGATACACTGCCACCAAACTTTGACTGGGAAACCGACTCTCCAGCCCTGCAGGCCAAATTACGCATGGTCAGGCTCCCGACAGACGAGAGCCGGGACTTGAAGAGTCAGTTCCTCTTTGTGTCGGACAACCTGTGGGTTCCTATTGCCGTCGTGAATGGAAACATTCACGTGTTGCCCGGTGTTCCCTCACTGTGTAAGTTCCAGTTTCCCGCGACCATCTCGGTACCTGACAAGAACCATGGCTGTCTCTAACGGTATTACCCTTAGTCCAGACACTGCTCGATGGGATGAAACCCTTTATACTCCCGCGGCTGGTCGATCCCCAAGGCAAAGGAACCTGCAGACTCTTGATATCCACCCCGCTGCCAGAAAGCGCGGTGGCGGCTTATCTTACAAAACTGGCAGCCAGGGTTGAGCCCAAAGGTGTCAAAGTTGGAAGCTATCCCAGGTGGGGCAAGAAGTGTAATACCGTCACACTCGTCGGCAGGTAAGCAGTCGCGTCTTTCTTTGCACGTCGGGCACGACGTTGCTAACTTGGCAAGCAGGGATCAAGCCTTCCTCGAGACTTTGGTTGCCGAGGTTGAAGAGAACGTTCAGGGGCGTCGTGTTAGTCGGGAGGATGAAGCAGATGATTTGTGAGATGCGAAAGCGGATGCTGCTGTCCTGTCCAACGCTATGTCCAGAGTCCAGACTCGGCACGAATATGGCAGGAGTAGGCGGCTTTTTAAAACGCGTTGATATCAGGTCAATCTATGGAACGTGCCAGGCAACACGAGACGTCGACTGTGCAGTCGCTGCGCCCGTCGGCACTTGAGACCTGAATGTTCCTAGAAACTGTTTTCCCTATTCTTCGCCAGGTTCCCAATGCCTTGGGGGCACTCGCATACTGTGACGTCGCCAAAGAGTCCAAGTGCCCAAGGTGTCTTAAGCTTCTGGCACATTGCCGATCTTGACCGAGTCAGAGCTTGGGTTGAACCGATCGCTTGCAGCCAACAACAACAACAACAACCCCCAACCTTGCCAGAATGGTTCCAACAAGGACGTCGGTAGATGGCTCCGCGATTCCGGGTAGAACAACGGCACTAGTGGCCGTACGGAGTAGTGAGGGGGGATCTCGTGACTCGTGATGTCTGTGGAACTCACGCGCGACAATACGCTCTACTCACGGGAGATGGAACCATGTTCTGAGAACCAGCGATTAAGTGCCTACGTAACTGGATCGTTACTACGGAATACTCCGTATTATACTACAGTCTACCCCGCCAGTGACATGGTCAGCACGGTAATACCCTGTACCCATGCCTTGGGCGTGCTCGTCATGGTGCGATTTTGATAGCACCGGAGGAAATTGTAGCGCCCGACCTCCTCGACTAACTCCACGACCCAGGCCAATGTTTTGTTTCCTGTGTTACATACCGACCACTCCCGACGCCCACTGTTCCAAAGGAACAATCAGTAGAGAGTAGCAGGCAAAACTTGGCGTTTATTCCTTGTTAACCCCGACTCCCTGTCATGCCACGTTCGATGGGAGTGGAGACATGGTGCAGCAGTCGGGCCTGTATGCCAGGGTGCTCCGTGGTAGGCGGCTCAAATCTGTTACGTAGTATTCTAGAAGCTCCCAGGCCTCGGTTGGGTATACACCTAAAAGCTCGATGGGTCGTCCATTTCCTCCTGGACGCACAGTTTTGTGCATCAAACAGCTGCAATCTCGCAGGATAATGGCCTCGAATTTGCTCCTGCTTGCGCTAGTGGCCGCTCGACCGCCGGTCGTGATTCTTGTGTGGAGAAGTCGAGTAACCAAGAGACATCGAGGCTGTACATGCTCCGTGTTCATTCATGGTGGCATTCCCCGAGGTCTGGCCTCGTCGATTCCAGCCACGAAGTGATTTAGCTTGTTATCATGAGACATCACCGCTGCTTGAAGGCATAAGGCGATGAGCGGCTGGGTGACCCAATCAAGTGTCCATGCTGAGAAGCCGTCGCGATAGTTCCCATAATGTGCACTCGGTATCCGCATTAATTTTCGCGCGACGTACGGAGTAGCATCCGTGAGGCGATAATAGCTGAGCCATCCCCGTATTACGACAAGGGAATCAACGATTTACGTAGTAGCGGTGGCAAAGCCACCAGGACCGAGTATTAATTGCAATATGCATAGCGGGACTCTGCCGCTGTGTAATTGATCGTACTGCAGACAGGGCCCTGACCGCACCTGCACCTAGCACCGGATGAAATTCGTAAGTAGATGCAGCTACTGAACAGGGCCCGTAGACCGTATCGTGGATATGCCAAAAGAAATTCGAGTTTTGACGGTTACGATTATAACTTGCTTTTAGTCTGACGTCATCTCTGCATGCCAGAGTGAAAAATATGTGCCGTCACAGGTGCCTGCGGCTTTCATTGTCCACACCACCTTGGGCAAACTGCAGACATGGTGAGGTGCAGGTGAATTGACGTGATTGTGACGAGAGGTCGGACTACCGAGTAACTACCCAGTATGGATCAACTAGTCCCGTTCTCCGTATCTGTAATGGACCTGGCCGAGAATGTACATTCTGCGTAGTACACTGTACTGACTGTGTCGTAGGTGACCGGTGCCTGACATGGATGGGGCCAGCCAAACTCAGGGGCAGGGCTGACACCCAACATTGGCCAATTGGCCCGTCAATTTGACGATACGCATGCAGGTCTCTCGTGCCCGTAGCTTAATAAACGACCAGTGTCCTCGTCGTTTCTGCATACTGCCACTACAAGGTGATAATTGTGCATTGTCATCTCTTGGGCTGATGGTGACAGTTCAGCTTCCAGACCATAACGTTATCCAACTGGTGGAATTCCGTGGCGTTGTTCCCAAATACCAGACGATCTTGCCCTTGCAGTAAGTGGAGCGAAGGAGCGAACGAACGGTTAGGCTCGTACCGAAAAAGAAGCCCGGCTATCCTGATAAACGGCGCTGGGAGAAGCACGGGCCTTCTGGTGGTTTGCAATAGTGCTGGTTTTGGTTTTGATGAAGCCTTTTCCAGGTATTCTCATTTGGCTCCGGCAGCACTGACCTGCCCCTCATCCGTGAAGAGAAAGAGTGGAAATGCTGTCTATCCGAGCTCAGCGGTGGTGATTACGGTGATGAGATCAGATAGTGATGGGCCGTAGGGAGGGGTGATAGCATTGACGCGGGATAGGATTTTTGGCGGAGTTGAAAACAACGGCACAGGCACATACAGTACCGAGTATGTCAAAGTTGGCTGTAGCCCGCAGCCTGCCGTCTGCACCTGCCAACCAGGCGGATCGTTGAACGGGGCAGGAGCAGGAGCAGGAGCAGGAGCAGGAGCAGGAGCAGGAGCAGGAGCTGGAGCTGGAGCTGATCTGGCCCCAGCTGGGCGAGCAGTTGGATCCTGCTCCGTACATCACGGATGATGCATCATTCATGCCGCCAAACACGCCCCTCCGCCGTCGCAGTCTGCTAAGCCCTTGTTTGTGGCCTACTGAAGACATTAAGCGTAACTCGTCCCGAGTCCACTTGCGTGAGCACACATACCGAGTACTCCAGAGTCCATACCGACCGCCAAAGTCTTTGACGCACCCAACGACCAGTCCCCGGCGGAACGAAGCGGAAGGCGTCCGATCAAGCAGTCTCAAACCACAAGACAGACATGTCAGGTCTCGGCACTATAATACTACAAGTTCTATCTCTTATTAATGCTGCAAGCTCGTATGGGATATTGTGGAGCCGGCTTGTATGTTCATTATTCCGAGTCCAGACTCCAATCAATACGTACTACTTTTTTTAAAACAAATATCAAGTACTGAGGCTGTCCGTAGTCACTCTGGCCCACGTCTTTACCAGGGAACTTTCTCCCTTACAGCATCTTCAAGGTCCAGATTTGTGGAGCGGGCTTCGTATTGTAGATAATTGCGTATAAGCCGAGCACGCATCACCACTTATAACCTAAATATAAAGCTACCTAACTAGGTAACTACCTCAGGTAGAGCTTTTACACTCTACCCTCGTTGCTTAGCAAAGCAACCAGGGACTATAACAAGACTCCACCATCCCAGCTTCAGTTCTCTTCAATAAGTCACTTAAAAAAAAACAGGAGCCAAGGAACGAAGTACACATGTACGGATTACCACCTAGTAGTAAGCACTCTTCTGTGTCCTTGTCATCTCTCCAAGGCTTATTGGATGTGAATTTGTTGATACTAACATGCATTCGTAGCACGTGTCGCATACTCGGGCACGGTGCAGGTATGATGGCCGACTCTTGTCACTCTAGGGTCTTGCATCATCGTGCAAGCTTATTAATGTTTCGACTGCTGCAGCAAGTCATTTGTCTTCAATTATCGCAGCCCAATTGACAGACAAAGGCGAGCGCATCCTTGTGCCTGGCGATCCTCAAAAGATGACGAAGGCAGAAGGCTGGGTAGCGGGAGAAGCCCACCATGAGAGCAGCTAGATGTTCAGATGGGCGACTTTCGTCAATGTACGGAGTAACCAAGGCGGGAGATTTGAGACATGGTGAAGAGGTAGCGATAGTAACAGCACCACATTCGACGGACACAGATCTCCGCCGTCGACAGCCACAGTCGTCGAATTCTTATTTATTACTCCGTACCCAGGAGGCATAAGCAGACTCCAAAACGTCAACAGCACATCACTTTTCCTCCGTAAAGCTACGGAAAGCATGCACAAAACGCCGTTCCGTCGGTGCATTATGCTGTCAAAGAGGCTCAGCCCAAAACACCAACATACCATGGTCATTCTCCCCTCGCATTCATGCCGACGCCTCTCAACATGCTGTCTTTCGAAGTTTGCCGCACTCAAAAAGAGCCTCCGGCGGCCAGACGAGGGATTGGAGCTCCACAAGCCGGGAAAGCATCCTCCACCGTGGCATTTCTCAAGGGTCAGAAACCCTTGCCTCTCAATCTTGAGGTCCTACCTACTCCTTTCAAATAAAGCCTCCCCGACCATTCTTTCAGGCGAAGGTTCTGAGTTCTGGTGGGTTTTCTGTTTTCTGGACACTTGCCTCACTTCCATGTTGACGCTTGGGCCCACGAAGTCGGGTAGCCAGCCTTCATGTGTAGGATGGTCCCGACTTAGTTGTATGTAAGACAATTCCAGCATGGATGCACTAGTGCCTGAGAACGTCCGGAGAACCTGGTCATTAAATAGAGGCAGCGGATCCTGTTGGTATGCCCCGTGTTATATGGAAGAGCTGGAGGAACTTGACTCTAAAAGGGCTCCTGTGCCTACATACAGACCTAGATGAGCCAAGGGAGGTTCTCCGCAAAGAGTTAGTCGTTAGGACGTGACTGGTACTCTAGACTTCCAGATATGGCTTCGAGGGCACAGACCAGGCCGTTAACTGGCCCAAAGTTTAACCCGGTCAAATGGTCGATGGACGTGGAGGCATCTGCATATGCAGTCTTGGTACAGGTAGTTAGTTAATAGGGAAGGGAACTCGGGTGCTTGGTCGCACACTGAGTGGTTCGACTGTGCTCGGTCAAGACTCTTTCTCTCTTGGGGGGGGATTTTGTTTTTCCCTTTTAAAAAAAATCAAATCAGCAAGAGAGGTCAAACTAGTCCCCCTGGTTGTATGGAACCGCAGAACTAAATAAACCCCCCCTCCCCTTCGAGCAAAGACCTGCCCAAGTAGTCTGCCCAGGTCACCCTCCCGATGTTGCTGGCCTCCACACGTGCACCCCTGAGCGTCCCCCGAGACCACCCCTTTCCAAACCTCCCAACCACCCCCTTCTGGTCCCGGCCGGTCCCCCGTCTGGTTCAATGCCAGCGACAGTCAAGACCTGGCGGGTTGCCAGGCCAGGGTACGGAGTACTCCGTACTCAATGTGCGAAGATGGGTTGATTGTACCGAATTCGTATTTAGCCAATCAAAAACCTAATTCCAACAGATACATTGCTTTGCTGAGAAAGACTATAAGGACCTAAGTCCCGGCAATATGCTACTCTTATGATTTATCACAGCTGTAGGTGACGCAACTCGTTGCAGTATCCGCCGGGTATTGCAGAAAAGTGGGACCGCCACAACCAGCACACCTCAAAGGTACTTACTTAAGCACTTAGTATGCACGTATCAAGGTCAAGCGTCAGTTTGATCAAAGCCGGTTCGCGACATAGACTGGCCACTGGCGGCAGACAGACACCTCGAGATTTGCGCCGGCGCAATTGGGGCCTTTTACCCGGTCAAGCCAGCGGCCGAATGTTGAACGTCGAAGAAGTCGAATAGCGGCGCTCGGGGTTCCTGTAAACAGACTGCATACGGAGTATATAGTAATATAAAAACACCTACGGAGTACGGATACCCAAGTGTGCCAATTGATCCGGGGGTCAGGCACTTGCGGGCGTGCCTGGCGCATTCTGCCGAGTGAGTCTGTACATTGTACGGAGGCTGGGGGGGCTGATGCTGGAGGCTGGAGGCGTCTGGTTGCAGTGCCTAGATACTTAAGTACTTACTTACTTAGTAAAGTATGTACTGAGTACTCAATACTGGGGATGCGGACAGATGGGGCGGCACAGCGCCCATGTCGCAGGTACAAACATGGCTACATTCATGTATGTCCCTCCCTGGCTTGGACCGCGACCTCGACCTCGACCCGTCATTGAGCCCACCCCTCGGCCACCTACCACCCACCACCCACCACCCGACACCCGACGCCTCGGCCTCGCCTCTCACCTCGCAAAGGGACCACCTGACACCAGACAACCAGACACAACTACCCAAGTACCGAGTACTTGCTTAGCTTAAGTAAGTAAGTACTTGGGCACTCCGTACCAGCACTGAGGTCTTGGGGGCCCACTTTTAGCACCGTCCACCAACCACTTGGGGCCCAGCATCCATCTGCCCATCCTCCGTCCACGTCGGTCCACGTCAACTCGCATTTCCAGTTCCGCATTCTCCCATCCTAGGCTGTCTTTGTCCTTCATCTCTCCCAGCTAGGTATTTTCGGCCTCGACAACATCGCCCTTTGCCTTGCCATCCAGCCATTGCCGTTGCCGCTGCCGCTGCCGCTGCCGCTGTGCTGTGCTATGCTGCGCTGTGCATCGCTCTCTTGATTTCTTAAACGCCGCCGACCTCCAATTCTGCTTTCGGGTCCTTCACCAAGTCCGTCGACTGCGCGCTTTGTCCGTTGCTGGCTGCCATTCAGCCCGGCCCCTGACCACTCACTGACTACTTACCTACGACTACTGCGTCCTCCTGCACTGCACCTTCCTACACGACCCGCCTCCCAGCATCGATCTTGATCTCGCGCAAGGCAGATTCGATCTTGATCGTTGGCCCTGCGACCTGCGATATCCTCCCGCAAGTCGCTTTTTTTTGCCAAGAGACCCCCAAATTCAATCACAATGGCTGCGTCCACCAAGGTATGATGGCTCTTAGCCGGCCAATTCCTCCCCACGCGACCCCGTCCTTCCTTTGCATCTCGTTTACCGACCACCCAGTCGGGGTGGCTCCGTTCCGTACTCCTCGACCCCTGCGGTATCGTTTCGCTGTACTTCGCAAGTCATATCATGTGCTCGACGACATGCACCACATACAGTCCTCTGACAGGTTACTTTGCGAATTAGTTTCTGAGAGAGTACAAACTCGTCGTCGTCGGTGGCGGTGGTGTTGGTAAATCTTGTTTGACAATCCAATTGATTCAAAGTCATTTTGTCGACGAATATGATCCCACGATCGAAGGTGCGTTACAGTTGACGACAGGCTCTCGGGCCATCACTTCTCAATTCTTCGTCGGAATGCAGCTACCCTGTCCTGTTTAAAAAAAAAACAGAGTTCAGAAATCTAACCACGCTGGCCATTGCAGATTCATACAGAAAGCAGTGTGTCATCGACGACGAGGTCGCTCTACTCGATGTTTTGGATACCGCAGGCCAGGAAGAGTACAGTGCTATGCGCGAGCAATACATGAGAACCGGGGAGGGCTTTTTGTTGGTGTACTCTATTACGTCTCGCCAGAGCTTCGAGGAAATCACCACCTTTCAACAGCAGATCTTGCGAGTCAAAGACAAGGATTACTTCCCTATGGTCGTAGTAGGCAATAAATGCGATCTGGAAGGCGAGCGTGAGGTATCTAAGCAAGGTATATTCCCAATACTCCTCGCTGCTACTGCTTTCCTCAGCCCTTTCTGGGGCTTGCGGCTGATTCATATTTTTTCAAAAAATAGAAGGTGAAGCGCTGGCACGGTCGTTCAACTGCAAATTCATCGAAACTTCAGCAAAGTCGCGAATCAATGTTGACAAAGCTTTCTACGATATCGTTCGAGAGATCCGAAGATATAACCGCGAAATGCAAGGTTATTCAACCGGCAGCGGCGGCGGTTCGGGCGTAAACGGCCCCCCCAAGCCTATGGACATGGACGACGGCGAGAGGGAGACTGGCTGCTGTGGCAAATGCGTCATTATGTGAGAGACGAAACAGAGAACGACTTTAGTGTTAAAGGGGCGGTGAATATCGTTGGAATTTTATACAGCAGTTGGCTGGCTCGACGCCCACTGCAGCAACTCGGGCGACCACATCGAAAAAGTAACACCTGTGGAAGACAGGGTATTTCCTATTCATCATCTCTTTGGTTTCCCCCCTATTTTTTGAAGAAAAAAAACAACAAAAACCTACTTCGGGGCCACGAAGCACAGCAACGGCTGTGATACCCTTATGGCGGATTGCCAGGACGGATGAGAAAAATATTTTCATTGCATCGGACGAGGTGTCGGGTTCGGACTTGGTTGCAATGCACACGCTTTCTTTGACGGACTTTCGGAGGGCTTGTACAAAACCATGACGCCATTCGAGAACGACGAGGATTTTTAGGCAATCCAGCTGTGCGGCATCGTTTTTTTTTTCAGCGTAACATGACTGCTCACAGCCACGCACCATACTTTATTATTTACTTTTATTTTTGATCTTTCTCTTCTTTTTTTTTCTTTTTTTGAGATGCCACGGGCCGAGAAAGTCGTTTTTCGAACGATTCCAGCTGCCGAATTTTTTGAATGGCCGAATCACGTCAGGACAAGACGCAGGGCGGGAGGCCGACCAGCCCATAAGCAAGGGAAACAAGACAGAAAATGGCAAGAATCGTGAGAAGATTGCGTGAATCATGTCGGCGAGCAACCTGCGATTTTGGTCCATGTTAGGAAACCCGGGAAAAAAGAATACCGAGTCAAACACACAAAAAGAACTGGGCTTGCTCAGCAGAGGCTTCGCGAAAGTTGTTCAACCCCCGCCTCGGTGCTGCTGGATAAGGGATGAAGTTAATCTTATATTGCTGCACTTCTATTTTCTTCGCCTTTCTTTTCCCTTTTACCTCCATTCCCCTTTGTGCTCTTCATCCTTCTGTCCTGTCTATTATTGTCCCTACATGGTGTATCCTGCGCGGATTCTCTTTCACCGGATGACGGGTTTCTTGTGATGATATTGCTTCAAGTACATCACCCCCTTTCCCCAAATTATTGGTCAAGTAACATGCAACTCGTTCCTCGATTTTTTCCAGTCTAGAAATTCTCATGACGCCTTCTTGCTCTCCAGAGGTCTGTTTTCCCCGAGACCAAGATAAATGCTTCTGCCGAGCTTTGTTGTTCCTAATGTCTGTGCTATGCCAAGCCACTGTACAGTGCGGATATTAGTGTAACATGTGCATGTATAATAATGTACACGCAGCTTGGATGCTGCGCTGGGGAGAAATCGTGCTGATTTGCGCCAGTTGTTCCTTTTTGCCCTGCCTTGACAAACTCGAGGTATCCGTGTGCCGTGTGCCGTGTGCCGTGTGCCGTGTGCCGTGTGCCGCGTGCCGTGTGCCGTGTCCCATTTACAGTTTGCCGTGCGTGGTACTTCCTTCTTTTCTCTCCTCTTGTCGTCCCCTCCTTTTTCAACCCCACTTCCCTTTCTTCTCGCTCTTATTCAATCGATCGATTGCCCGGCTCGCTGCTGCTCTGCTCGTATACTCAAGTACTCCATACCTTACTCGGATAACGTACATCAAGTAAGTACTCAGAGGTAGTCTCGTGCGTGTCCGTGTCAGGTTCCTGGCACTTGTATCTCTCCTGCATCAGATTCGAGAAATGATGATGACCGGGCGTACAGGCTACAAGAGAAACGATTCAACATGTTGACGCCAAGAGGCGTATCAAAAACCTAACATGTTTTGATCAAGACCCCAGTCCGACACTGCCATCATGGGAAACCAGTCAAACCAGCCACCAATTATGGTGCTTCTCTTTGGCTGGTCGAGGACCAAACCGCCGCATACAAGACATGCCCAGGAAACTGTTTCTTCCGTTGACGTCTTTTCCGCTGCGAAGAGTTCCTTGTACGATGGCGAAGCGGTGGCCCTCTCCTTTGACTTGTGTATGAGACATCCTGGGCACAGACCTGCCTCGCCATGCATGGATCGCCATTGCCTCATTTTCTCGGCTTGAAACAGGGCGTGGCGGGCGTACCTGACCCGATCCTCCTGACATAGGCGTGATTTGAAGATGTTGACGCCGCAAGTGCATCCGGTAACGGGGTATGAAAACGGATACAGTCCCATTTCTCGGCCGTTGACGGATACAATTCCGTCGATCGTCGTGTTATTTGCGAACCGGCAGCCCCAGACGCTCTTCGCCCCGAGCAAGTACATCTCACTGAGGGATCGCGGGCCCCCGATGAGCCGACTGTGGCAAGAAGTGCAAAAGTAGGCACGCATGGCTACGATGTCCAGTCTGGTGAACCCGTCTCCGTCCTCGACCAAGCGACGACTGCTGCTTATTCCGCAAGGCTCGCAAACCGCCTGGTGGGGTTTGTTGTGCTCAGCGTCTTGACAAACTGTCGAGACCAAGCCGCTGCATGCGTGCATCTGCTCTATGCACGGGAGGTTCTGGAATTCCACGTTGTCCGAGCTCCAAGAAATGCCGCGCAAGACTGGATTGACGGGGGAGTGCCGGACGTGAGAACCATACATGATACTGAACAAGCCGAATTCCGTCGTGCCCTTTCGGTTTCGCCAACACTTTTCAATCAAGGCTTGCTCGGAAGGTGCCATACTTGGGCTGAGCAGTTTTGCCCAGCGGCGCAACTGAAAGTTAGCGCAGTCTCCCGGGTCGAACAAGGTAAGAGGGACTGCTCTTGTGAACAGGTCGCCGGGTATCATGGGGAGATCGGGATTCTCATTCCACCAGCCTTTTTCCCGCCGCGAGAGCATCGACGTCGGCGCAAAATTGTTGGCTACATTGGGAGCCGTGTTGAGGACGACAGCGACTGCGTCTCCATTTCCGGATCGACTACCACGAGCGGGATTGTCGAGGACCGGCGCTGGAGCTGGAGCTGGATCCGGAGCCGGCGCCGGAGCTGGAGCAAGCTGGAGTTCCTCGTCCCCCTCGTCCAACTCCAACTCGTCCTCCACGAGCATGTTTGTTTCTGCTTCTGTTCTACAAACCTCCATGTACCGCGAGCTCACGTAGCCTTTGGAGACGATTTCGAAGGCCTTGTGATTCTCATAGTTTCTTCTGTCGCATTGCCTGGTCCAGTCTGGCCAGCGCCTCGTCATCCATGTCCTGAGCTGGTCAACCGTGATGTCATTCACATTGAGGCCATGGAGTTCGCCTCCGGGAGCTCCATTAGGAGGCGCGCCGTGAGCGGCCAATGCCGCCCTCATTTTCTGTATTTCCGCCACGACAACCTGCTTGTTCTGCTTGAGAGTCTCGCCCGGTCTGTCGGCGACGGTTTTGAAGGCGTAACGCGCAAACGGGGGGCCGATGTAGTGCTCGATCTGCGTCCCGTCCTTCTCGTCATCGACGCCCGCCGGGCCGTAGCCCATGCTCAAGTAGTACAAGGGGCCCGGCCTCAGCATCATCTTGTCGCCCAGGTTGATCCTGCGCTTCAAGCAGTTCAATGTGCCGGGGGCTCCCATACGCCACGTGTCGCACATGTCCCCTTCGCGGTTGAAGAAGCAGGAATCGCAGGGTCGTTGGCGATCGCAGTTTCTGCCCGTGGCCTCGCATCGACGGCAGCGCGCAAAGGGGCAGAAGTTGCCAATGCCAACCCTGCTGAGGTCGAAGAGCGGGTAGATCTTGTCGTCGTCCCTCAAGTCCTGGCACACCATGCCCGTCTGCCAGCACCAGTTGCAGGCGTACTCGGCGTGCTTTGCCGACGCCCGGCAGTGGCGTTTGTGGGCGTAGCATTGTCTGCACTGCGGCCTCGTGACGATGTCCTTGTCGCCTCTCAATTCCACCCATCCGCCGCCCAGATCGCCCCTGGTTGACCACTCGGTAGGCACCTCCAGGTTGTCGGGGTGGCCGACCAGCATGCCGCCGTCGAAGCAGGACATGTTGTCCTGCCGGCACTGGAGGCAGGGCTCGCGAGCATCACCGGGCTCTCCCGTCTCGCGCGAGTCCAGCCAGCTGCAGCCTGCCCTGTCTTTGTCGGGCCTGCTCTTGCAAATATCGCACTCGCGTCGAAACCACCTCTGTCTGCCCCTCTGAAGAGTCGGCTTCGGTCCCATCTGTCTGGCCACGTCGAAGCCCCAGCCCAGGTCGGCGGCGTCGCCCGTCGTGGCCTTGACCAGGCAGAGCCTCGACTCGCTGTTCTTGCTCCCCATGCAGCATGAGCATCGCAGCTGCAGGTACGGGTCGACATCGCAGCGGCCGTCCCTTGGCTTTTTGTTGTTTTTGCACCCCTCGCAGACGACGTGCCGGGGAAAGTTGACGCCGTGGTAGTCGGAGTAGCGCTTGAAGACCTCGAGGTCCGCATGCTGCTTCGCACGGAAACATTTATGATCGAGGTCTCCCGACTCGAGTCTGTGGTTCGCACACGTGGTGCATTCAAAGACCCAGCCATCGATGATTTGCCGATTGCACGGCGGGATGTCGTTGTCTGTGCCGAGCGCCAGGCTTTTGCAAAAGTCGCATGTCAGGCTTACGGCATCGTTCTCCTTCATTACAGCCTTTCGTTGATCCGGGAGGGCGTATTCGTCTTGACGCTCCTGTTTTGCTCGTTTCCTTGGCAATTCCACCACGCCGTCACTGTCCTCACCGTCCTCGGCCTCGTCATTCTCGGCCGCTTTGGCAGCATTGGACAGTCTCGGTGCCGGAGAGCTGGTGCTGTGCTGTCTCTTTTTGCTCGTGGGCGGCGTCCCCATTCCAGCCCCCATGTTAACTATTTTATGATGTGACACGCAGGGTGGACGACAACAAGAGGAGAGTGCGAAAACAGGAGACTTTGAAGATGCAACTCGTCTCGGATGCTTTGACAAGGCACATATATAGGCGTTGCTGGCGTCAGTCACAATGCGGCCGGCAAGTCTCTAGCTCCAACCAAAGGAAAGCAAACGCTGGACATGGGGGACTAGAATGCTGAGCAATAACAAGGATAATTGCAAGCGGATGATGGAGGTTGGAAAGTTATTTGGGGTCCAACGCCGGTGATGAGACGGATTGTATCTACAAAGTTGGGTGCCATGTAAGTTATATGCCGTCCACGTCCGTTGCAGTGATTCTTTTGATAGTAACGGTATTTTCTGGCCATGAACGGGCAAAGCCACGGCTGCTTAGCTTGGACAACAAGGCCTACCTACATAGGATAGTCTATGAAGTGAAACAGCGTCAATATCCGTGCTAACAAAAAAAAAGAGGGGGCCATCTTTTTGTGCAAACGCAAAGAAAACCAGACGAGATAGGCGAGGAGCCATGTCAAAGAAGCAGGCAGACGGCAGATTGAAATAGTAGATAGACACAGGGCAGCGGGCAGCAGTGGACTTGAACCGGACCAGACACGACAAAGAAGTCTAGGCGAAGAATATCGTTTGGCTTTCTTGCAGGCATACATACCTTTTTTTTTTTTCAATTTTTTCCCAATTTTTTGCTCCCCTCTCGTTTGGCTTCTTGGAACAATGGAATCCCTTCCCTTCTCCCCTTTTTACGTTACAGACTGTTGGTGTAACCCGTCTAGCGTCTAGGACCGGTTTGCGCCTTTCATCCTGTCCTTGTTCTCGTTCTCGTTGCAAGACGACTCAGCGAGATGGGACGACTCAGCGAGAATGCACATTGTCTTTCTGACACGTGTGGAAATCACGTCTTTTTTTTTTTTTCGGCCTCGAGCCCTTGCGCCCTTGTCAGCGCTTTCCCTCTTCTCCTCCTTCCCTCTCCCCCCGCTCTTCTTCTTTCTCTCTGTATCCAAACCAAAGCACTACTTTTTATCGACGTCGTGTTTTCCTTTGACCAGCTGACTTCTCTAACAGAAGCTTTTTTCCCTCTTTTTTCTCCCCCCTTTCACCACCTTCTCTTAAGATTCGGCCGTGTATTCCCCCGCTTTCCCTGGCGCAGATACCCCGTCTTCGCTGGCAAGTCGCCAGTCACCGCGGACCATCTCTGACAGCGTTCGAATCGAAAGGCGGTCCCAGGAGGCGAGCAAGCGAGTTCAACCTTTCAACATGGACCCGTTGCGCTCGACTGGGGCACCCCCTGGCCCGTCGTCCCCTTTGTCGGAGCATCCCCATGCGTTTGGCGAAATGTCGTGCTGCATGGTCCCGAGGTGCCGGAACTCGAGCGAATATATACATGCGAATGTATGTCTGGCCAGGAGGGCCCGCCCTTCCCGACGCGTGCCAAGGAATCGAGTGACGCCTTTGTAGGAGTACAAGTCACAGCGGCGCGGCATTCAACAAACGCCGCGCTCTGGTGCCGATGCCAGTGAACACCAACCACTTTGAGCTGTGAAAAGAATCATGTGCCGCCGTACGGCTCCCCTGACTCATCGGGGATGGGGAAGACCTGTGAATGTTTAGTCGTGGAGAAGCTACAATCGTCGTCCCTCGCGGCGAATTCCGCCACCGGTAAAGCAATAGGGCGCCACTGAAGGCGGCGGGCAAGTCGGCTCGCAGTCTCGTCGTGCGTCGTCATGGTCTCTCTCATCTTGTACTCGGTCCTCGGGAAGCTCGTGATGTGATGCCGCTGACCAAACGGCATCTGGCTCTGGGGCTCCCCTCTCTCGATCCGATGATCCCAGGGGCTCGGTTCCATTGTTGTTCGCATTGTCTATTGTCCGGGCGCCTACGGTTCTCACTTACACCACACCCCGTGCCATTTACAAGTCGTCTACGGGGTCCATTCCTGCTTGGTTGTCACGTCACCACCAGCAAGTTACGGGCAGCAAGGGCGCGAGTTTGTTTGGGGGAGGAAGCCAACGACAAAGACGGACGACGCGAGGACTGAAACCAGCTGCGACGACTAGCATTCGGTCGCCTCGAGAGAAACTGTTGGGGTTCGAGGTCTGAGCATGACGAGATCCGTACAGCACAGTCACGATGAGGACCGTGACTGACTGACTGACTGCGACGGGGACAGACGGGAGGGCTGGCCGTTGACCACAACCGACACGCGACAATGGCGCAAAGCGACGAAGCTAAACATAGTCCGTGTGGCTGCGACGGGATCCACGGGGTCCTGGAGTCCTGACTCCTCGCTTTGGGAGCCGCCGGCTTTGCCAAAACTCGCTGGGAGACACAAAAAAATCATCCAAGGCTCTTGTGCCGAGTTTGGAGTAGCGAGCTGGCAGCGCGCCGGTCGAGCCAACACGGACTCCCATCCAATTCTTATCCTAAAACCGTGGCGCCGACAGGCTGAGCCCGGAACAACAAGAGATCAACATCAATTGATTCATCAGCACGCCCATGTACACGCCGTCAAGCCCAGCACGTCGTGCGCCAGGCAAAGAAAAGGTAGCGGACCAGAGTCAACTTGTTCTTCCGTTCTTCCAGTCACAATTCTCTAAACCAGTACGCTCGCCCTCTTTTTTGCCGCCGACATGAGTCCCAGTAATATTTGCCTTCCATTCACCAGCAATGCTTCCAAAAGAATCGTGCTACTTGCTCCCGCATCTCTGCTCCATCTGACTCAGTCAAACTACCTGATACGGACCGAGCGAAATGCCACGCGTGACAGGTCCGACCACTTTGACTTCTCCACCGATAAACTTCCTGCTCCAATTTAGAATATTAGGGGCTCGTCGATGCCCTGCCCTTGCCTGGTATCTTTGTTTTTGTCTTGCCGCCATATCGCACATGCCTCCTCGTTACCCACCATGCTATGTCTTACATGCTTTGTTTGTAGATTGTAGTATTTATAATTCCTTTAGCCAGAGAACTGAAATCTGGCAGCTTCGAGCTGGCCCAGTCCGTCTCTGGGAGCGACATTGCGACGACGGTAGTTAGCGGTAAAGTCTTGTAGCAAAGTCCGCACATGTCTGAGCCCGCTCACATCCCCGGATGACAACTTTTCCTTGACCTTGGTCACGAATCGATGTGCTTCCGGTGCCGACACAGTCCCCTGAGGAAGAAGCTCAATCGTGTGCGCAATCCACTCGGTTGTCTGTGCTGGCATCATCTCGAGCAGGGCCAGTATGACACCGCTTCCATCCGCAAAGCAGTCGCTGGGAAACGTGATCATCATGCCAGCCATGGTTTGTTTGACGAGGTCGGCACCGTGTGCCATCAGCAGATTCTTGATAATTCCACGGATTTCCGCGGCCTGTGCCACTGGAAGACCCTCGCTACTAGCCGGGTTGTCGCCGCCATATGACAGCAAATCGCGGAGAAAGTGCAGGGTCGACGAAAGCGGATCCCGTTGCTCCAAAGTCAATGCGTAGACCGAAGCTTGGAAAATTGGCCCCAGCAGCTGTGATGGGATCAACTTCTGAGGGTAGTACAAAAGGGCGTCGATTAGAAGCCGGAAGAAATCGTCAATGACATCTGGCAAATCTTTAGGCTGCAAATCTGCCATCACTCTAAGGAAAGCTGTAGTTTGAGCCTCAAAGAAGGTGTAGATGTTTTCTGTGGTGGCCTGGTCCAGATGCTCACGGTCTTCCGAGAACTCCCTTAAAATCGCGGATGTAACCCACAGGAAGCAACCTTCTCTGGATGTGTTGAAGCTGCTGGCAAGTTTGTTGGCCATTTCGGGGAGTAGGGGGGCCATGGCAGTTCGATGAGACGTCACCATGCTTCGCCAGCATCGACAAATGCGTTCGCAGATGGGACTAAAGTCAAGAAAATTGTCCAAAACAGTGGACAGTATAGGAAAGATTTCCTGCCAATACTTGACCGCGGGGTTCTCTTCTCCGGGAGCCACGTAGGGGACAACATTCTTGACAAAGATGGTTATGAGTTGAAGGTGATCTCGAGTGCACCAAGTTAGTCATTTCATGCGAAAGAGAAGCTCTGTAGTTGCACTCACCAGCCAGGGCTAGTTTGCCTTCTTCGTTGGATGCGTTGTTGGCCTTGGCCATCAACCTCTGCACAAGGGGGTCGGCATAGGTTTTCAGCAGCCTGTATGTTTCACCAACAGGCTGAACGGCGACTACGTTGGCAACACCCTCAGTTATTTCCTCCTTGCTAAGATCAGGCAGCTTGTCCAGAACTTGGTCGTAGAATGTTTGGAGCTGCAATACCTGCCCACTCAAGAGATGTCCGCAGTCAGTGCAGAAGAACTTGAGGGACAGAGCAGCGGCTCTGAGGATTTCTCTCGAGTCGGTCTGGAAAGACTCCACAATATAGTTGAATTGCGGCTCCAAATACTCTGTGTGAGCTGCAGTCCACTCAGTGTATCGCCCCAAAACCATGATTGTTGCGAAGCGAAGCCTTTCGTGGCTAGGGATCTGAACCAGCAGCGGCATGAGCTGGGGGAGCACGATACTCTCGTCCTGATGAACCATTCGACCAAGAGCTCTCATCGCGAAAAGAGGAGCCTCGAGCTCTTGCCAGTGGGGGACGCTGGAGCCATTGACCTGACCAGCATACTTTTGTGTCCACAGCTGAATAGCATTAAGAGCCTTGGTAAGACACTCAGTTTCCCCCATGACCTCGCAGCAGTCTTTCAAAGTGTCTCCCATTCGATGACGGAATTCTCGGAACTTTTCTTCCTGCTCGCGATCGCCGTCGAAAAGGTCGCTCTCGTTTCCAGACTCAGGCTGAGGATACTCTAGATGGCGGAGCAGTATGTCAACAAGCCTGGAAAAAACATCGACGAGTTCCAACCTGCCCTGAATGTACCGCTCCAGAACCAGGTACTGCTTTAATTCGTACCAAAACTGGAAGGTGTGCTCGACAACGTCAAGTTCCTGGTCTCGAGCAGCGCATTCCAGAACAGCCTCCACCAACGGTCTGAAATGAGATGGTTCGCGAGCAACACCAACCACCCAGCTAATGGCCGCCGTGGAAAAAACTTTGGTCAGTGCTTTGAGCTGGTCCATATCGTCCTCTTCAGCGGCCTTTTGGATGTGTGGCTTGAGTGCCACGATTCGAGGGTACAATGCATGGACGGCATCCTGGCTCTCATCAATATCGCGGGTTTCTCGAAGCATGGTGCAAAGACACTCTGCTGCCTCGGCACTACTTGTGTCGCTCGAAACACCAGCAAAGATGTGGTCCAGGAGTGGCGAATTGATAATGTTCATGACAGGAACTTCTCTCAACCAGGAAGTGATACACTCTATAAGCTGAGGGTTGCGCGATGCAGCCGCTAGATTTTGAATCCAATGATTAGTATCAACTTTGAAGTCTTTTGCCTTCCGTGGAGTTGTTGGAGGCATACGTGATGATTGTGAGTAGCTTATCAGGAGTTGTACCACTTGATCTACGTTGTCTCCCAATAAGACCTGCGTCCGTGCTGCAAGCTCTTCTTCCTATTTTCCAACAAATTAGACCATGACCCCCATAGTGTGTTGACGTCGATCGGACGATAGGTGTGTCGTTGGAAGAGACTTGGTCCCAGGTTGATAGGTTTGCGATCCACGTACAGACAGGGTAATTTTTCGACCTTCGGTCACTTCTTCGGGTAAAATTCTCAAGAAGTCTAGAATGCATGCGTGGCTCTCGGGGCTGTCATCGAGGGCCTGGACCACAGATGAAAGTACGTCGTTCCAACCCTTCATTTGTATCGCAAGAATAGCCAGACAAACACAGAGCTGAACACGAATGGGCTTCGGACCGGCAGCAAAGTGCTTCAACAGAAGTAGAATTCGGCTTCGCAGAGCCGGTAGTTCGCTCTGTGGTACCTGGGTTGTAAGGTCATACGTGATCTAGTGACGTCAGCAACTTCACGTCCGGGAGAACACTTTGGATTAGAGCTTGGGAGGCAAAGCAGAAACCTTTCCACGAAGTGTTATGGCAGCAAAAAGGGTGGCCTCCGGCCCTGCAGTGGATTGGAGGATTCCCATAGTGGTAGCCCATGAATCCTTCTACAAGTCCCCAGTTAGCATGTCGATATATACACAGCAATATATGCTCAATGTAGTCCATGCAGCAGCAGCGCATACCGACTTCTGGAATCTCTCCAGATACTCATGGGCCTTTGTTTTGGTCTCCTTCTCCCCAGTTCTCATTGTCCTGACGGCAGTCAAAACATCGGACGGCGAGAACGCCTCTTGGGTACCATTCGAAGCCATGGTGGGCAACGCAGGGGCTGTTGCGGGAGGGGAGCCGTGATGGCCGAAATAGTTGCAACCAGGATTTAACACGGGAGGCTGGAGCTCGTCTTCATAAGGCCCTGGGTTGTCCAGCCGGGTGTTGATAAAGCTGCTCCAAGGCAGTCGCGAAAGAGTAGGAGGCACTATGTGGAGAAAGGGACAACAGAATGAGAGACGTGGAGCACTGTCAGTTTCTGTCGGGTATCAATAAGGAGGGTGAGGTGTAATGACGGCCAGGGGACGCAAAAGGCGAGGCATGAAGAAGCCTCAGCGTGCCACTGATTCTTTGGCGGGGTGCACCGGCTGGGCACGGTTGTCGCCGTAGCGTTTTTCCGCTCCGTAACGACGCATTGAATTCGAGGACAAATGCCAACTACCCTATACAGTCGTCAGTCATATTGGAGTCTTCATCAATATCAAAAAAAAGAAAGAAAAAAAAAGAAGACTGCACAACTGAGTCCCTGCCCGCTTTCATCCAGTTAGAACCCCGTACCATCCATGTTAGCACTTGGTTGCCTCTCCATGTCCATCTTGCATGTGTCATAATACAAAATACATGATATTACATCCCAAGTCTATAAAAGGACGCCTCAATATGGTGTCATGCTCCCCGACGTCTCCTGAATTTGCCCACTGCCCAACACAAGGCCATGTAGCCGCCTATCATACGGACCCATAGGAATGTGTTCCCCGGATGAATCCGACAGTAATTGCTCTGTTAGTGCTAAGCCATAAAATAAAACAACCTTTGCCTCATTGGCAGGAGAGGCTGTTTTTGCCAAGTATCTGTTCATGAAGAAATCGTAGAATCCTTTGCCGTGGCCGAGCCGCCGCACTGCACCAGACTCGTCAAAGTCGAATGCCACACCCGGGAGCAACATCAAGTCCAAGCCAGCTTGGTCTGACCTTTGCGCATCCGGCCCGCCTAGAATGCGCTGACGCTCATGGACAGTGGCCGGATCTATACTGGGAATACCCCAATGGTCACGATGTAAACCCTCATAGTCTTGGATATCCCTGAGATGGACCATATCCATGACACGAGCTGGCGTGCCTGGGGTGTCCAGCGAAGACCTGGGGAGGTAGGGGACGAAGACTTGCTTCCCTGCCTCAAGGGCATGTCGTACGATTGCATCGGTTTGAACCTCGCCCGAGGGCATAGACAGATATATGCTGATTCTTTTGGCCTCGAGGTATGGCCGAAAATCTTTTAATGACTCGAATATCCTGCGGCCTGGCTGGTGTGAGCACAATCGTATTGGAGGCTGTGGAAGTGAGAGTTGGGCCGTCTTACTCTGAGCGGTGATTGAGTCGGCAGGCACGGCGGCGAGTCTCTGCTTCATCAGACTCCGCAGCTGCTGCTTGGCCGCGGAAAGAGGCAAAGTCATCCTGGCCCGTGTACGGGATATGATGTACGTGTCGGAGGAATTGATGCTCAGGGCTGCTCGTTGGTATCTTGATATTGGCGAGGCTTCTGTCGCACGCACGCCCAGAACCACACTTGACTACTACATACTCCGTACGTACTCCGTAGTACGTATTTTCTAGAGTCGAGGTTCGGTAGGCGGTATCGGCTGGAGGGGGCGCCGCTGAATCGGGAGTCGGCGGCGGCGGCGGCGGCGGCGGCAGGTCGACCATGTGCATCCGCCTCTAGCGTCCGGATGCAGGGTTGGGGCGTCGGGAAATGTTAGCAGAAGCAGAGACGGAGAGCTTCACGACTAGGCGGTCAAGCTGTCTGTGTCTGCGCTTTTCTTTCTGTACGGATTAGCTGCACAAATTCCCACCACGCGGCCACGCGGCTCCTGTCGGGTTGCTCCTTCCGCGCGTCGTCTCCGTGTCCGTTACATTATAGTTACATTAATTGACATTTCTACGGAGCAGCTTTTATCCGCTTGAGAAGCAATCAACATTACCCTGCATTTGAAACTACAAAAAACTCGCTTGCTTTGTGCTCTTTCGTGTGAATTGCAAGACTCACATTCTGCCAGGCCTCGCCGTGCTGATTCCACAACATTGGAAGAAAGACACCATCAGCCACGCAGGGTTGGCAATGCACTCCGAAGTCGACTGAGTAACGTAGTACGTTAATCTGGCTACTTACAGCTCTCGCTGCATTTCGAACTGATTTCTGAATCTTTGTTCTGCCGCTGTGCAGCATTGAGACCCCGAGGCATGCCCGACGCCGGACGGGAGTAATACTCAGTTGTTGCGGCTATCATGGTACATACTTACGTACTACGGAGCATGAACCACCGAGTATCACGATTAGCATTGATCGTCACCCGTACATGTGTGTTCTTTCGCCGCGAGTCGTGGCTGTTGTGGCTTGCATGACCAGGGCTTGCGACTTCAAGGCTCTGAGTCATGCCGTGGTAAGGAGATACACCCCATTCGACGACCATGACCGTCACAAAAGCGGTGGGAAGCAAAGCTGACCTTGTTGGCGTTGAATCTTGATGCATAGTGGCTTGGCTTGGCCCACGATCGGCCTGGCTTTGCGTCTTGACCCTGCGGAACCCTAGAACCTGGTCGAGAGAAACAGTCGGCGATTCATCCATCTCTACGGTGAGCCAAACAATCGACTCGGCTTCTCTGTACCACTCTGTAAGGCCTGGCACGGGTAATAAAGGAACTGCCCGTCAGCGACTGGCTAATAAATAATAAGTGTTAGTTACACGCTTCCAAAGGGAGAACCAAAACCGGGCCCACTGGGGATTTATTTCCTCGTCGCTGAGCCGGCTTTGACGGCGTTATTCTTTGCACCAGCAGTCACCAGTCGTTTATGCTCCAATTGGGCGGCTGCAACCACCCCCAGACGGTGCATTAAGTAGGTTGCCCCGGCCGCATAGCACGTTTCCCTGAGCAAGCCTAAGCCTCTAGTCCTTCTAATATCGTCGCTGTAGGCACATGCAAGGGTCGCCGCTGCGCCGGACTGCTGGTGCGTCATTGCTCAGGCAAATCCCCTCGGCCCGCCATTGCCTGTCCCGCCATGGGCCGCTGCACCAAATCCGAGTCCGCGTCCGAGTCGGCCACCGGCACCTCCATCTTCAAGACCAGACCGTCTTTATCGTTTTCTCCCGCAGCTGACACAAGGGCAGACCGGTCCCAGTTGTACGAGCAGGGCGTGCCTCTTCAGAACCTGGCAGCCGCATCGTCCCCGAACGAAACCCAGAGTTCGAGTTTCTCCGTCACAGGCCAAAGGAAGTCAACGTCTGTTGTGCGCCCTTTGTCACGCTCTCCGCGCTGCTCAAGTCGTTCGCGCTCATCGTCATCCTCGAAATATATACCTGGCCATGATCCTGCGACTCCGAGCCTCATCGAGGCAATAGCAGAGCCGACTCTTGGCCGTCTTGATCGTCTTGACCTCCAGCTCGACGAAGCCGACATGGCTTCCAAGAAGACGCCTATACTTCGCGCTGTGGATGGTTCTCGGCCCACCTCCTCTCCATATGGCTCCGTTACTGTTAGCCAGGACGCCTCTCCCGCGAGCAGCGATTCAGAGGAGGATAATAATCACCACCGACTTCGTCGAATCGGGTCTCAGAACCGGAGCCAGTTAAGTTTAGGCTCGCGGCGGTCCATGACCTCATGGCGATCCGAGGACCTTGATGGAACCGCTCTCATGTCCGGCCTGGAGGGCCGCTTCGGAATAGCAGAGTCAGCCTTTCCCAGCGAGATTTTGGACCACGACGAAGACGACGAAGACATCTTCTCCGACCATGGGCCTCTACTCGAGGACGCCTCGTCAACAGACTCAACCATTGAACCTGAGGAGAACTCACCACACGAACTTGTTCGAGCTTCCGTGGCCCCAACGGATAATACGACACTATCAATAAATACGCCCCGTATGTGGTGCTTGTCGGTTCTCTTCTCCATTCTTGGTTCCTCGACAAACTTATTCTTCTCGTTGCGATACCCCAGCGTTGCTATTACACCTGTCATTGCTCTGCTACTTGTTCATCCACTTGGACATTTGTGGGACATGCTTCTTAAACGGCCCAACGACCCCGACCTTGTATTTGTTGATGGAGTTCGCACCGAGACTGTAAATCCGGGAGCAGACGAGACTCACCAAACGAAGCATCGAATTTCGTGGCGCCAATGGTTGGCGCAGGGGAAGTGGAACGAAAAGGAACATACTTGCGTCTATGTTAGTAGCAATGTCGCCTTTGGTTTTGCATTTGCAACGGATGTCATCGTCGAGCAAACCCAGTTCTACAATCAGCCGGCGTCGATTGGGTACCAGCTGCTCCTAACGATTTCAACGCAAATCCTTGGCTACGGCTTTGCTGGCATGGCTAGGAGATTTCTGGTTCGCCCGAGCGGCATGGTTTGGCCAGGTACCCTCATGTCCGCGGCAATGTTTTCTACGCTACACAAGCAGGATAACAAGCCGGCCAACGGTTGGACAATCAGCAGATGGAAGTTCTTTTACATGGTGTGGAGCGGCGCCTTTGCCTTCTACTTTTTACCTGGGCTGCTGATGCCCGCGCTCAGTTATTTCAGCGTCGTCACATGGTTTGCGCCCAAGAACGTCGTCATTGCCAATCTCTTTGGCGTGGCCTCTGGTCTGGGACTCTTCCCCATGACATTTGACTGGGCACAGATCACATATGTTGGCTCCCCTCTTTTGGTGCCATTTTGGGCTGCCATGAATGTCATCGGCGGTCTCGCCATTGTCATGTGGATCGTTGCGCCCGTTTTCTACTACGCCAATGTCCTCTACACATCATACCTGCCGATTCTTTCGACAGGCGTCTTTGATAACACCGGCAAGATCTACGACGTCAGCAAGATCTTGACCTCCGAGTTCCTCTTCGACAAGGACGCCTACAAACAGTACAGCAGGGTGTTTCTACCAGTGACGTACATGCTCAGCTACGGCATGCAGTTCGCCGGCCTCGCCGCTCTCCTCACCCATACACTCTGTTGGCATGGCAGGGACATATTGCGGACGTGGAAGAAATCCATGGAGGAAGCGCGCCAAGATAGCAAACCCACGTATCGACCTGTGCCAGAATCATATTCACAACCGGCCTCCTCGTCAACGGGGAGTTTAGGCAGCGAGAACTACACCCGCACCTCGGCCTCGACATCCAACGTCGACAACCTGATCAGCCGCGAAGACGTTCACTGCCGTCTGATGAGTCGGTACAAGGACGCCCCGTTGAGCTGGTACCTGCTCACCTTTGCCTCCATGACGGCCATTGGCATGTTTATTGTCGAGTAGTAAGTGCTCCGTTGCATGGTCGCTGACCCGCCAAAAACAATCTGTTTCTAACTGCCGCAGCTACCCCGTCCATCTCCCCTGGTACGGCCTCCTGCTGTCCCTCTCGATCGGCGCCATATTCTTCATCCCCAACGGCATCATCATGGCCGTCACCAACCAACACAGCAGCATCTACCTCATCTGCCAACTCATCTGCGGCGCCGTGTTCCCCGGCCGCCCCATCGCAAACATGGTCTTCGTTACGTACGGCTACATTTCCTCTGCGCAAGGCATCAAGTTTGCGTCCGACCTCAAACTCGGGCACTATATGAAAATCCCTCCTCGGATCATGTTCCTCGTCCAAGTCGTCGCCACCCTCGTCTCATCCGTAACGCAAATTGGCGTGTTGAACTGGATGTTCGCCAACGTCAAGGGTATCTGCACCGCCGACGCCCTCAACGGCTTCACATGCCCCATTGCGCGCGTCCACTTCAACGGCTCCATCCTCTGGGGCGTCGTGGGACCAGGCGAGTTCTTTGGCCCGGGGGCCATCTATCGCGCCCTGGTCTGGTGTTTCCCGCTCGGCGCCCTCCTCCCCATCCCGCTGTGGCTGTACGCACGAAACAGGCGCCGGAGCGTTATCCGCAAAGTCAATCTGCCCGTGATATTCGGCGCCATGTCATGGATCCCCCCTGCTACAGGCCTCAACTTCTCAGTCTGGGCCGTGGTCTGCTACGTCTTCAACTACCTGATCAAACGACGCGCCGATGCCTGGTGGAGTAAGTACACCATGACCCTCAGTGCCGCACTCGACTCGGGATTGGCCTTTGGCATTGTCGTCGTCTTCTTCGGCTTCGTGTACCCAGGGTTGATGAAGCATTTCAAGTGGTGGGGTACAGAGGTATATAAGCAAGGGTGCGACTGGCAGGCGTGTAGCTATAGAACGGTTCCAGAGGGCCAGACATTTGGACCAGGTGTATGGTGATTTTCCAACCGGGCTAACTTGCATTTTATGAAAGCCATGATCACCGAGTTGTATACATGGTATCGTTTTTTTTTTTTTTTTTTTTTTAAAAGGGGGGGCCGGGCGGCATTTTGGACACGCGAGCCTTTTGGATACGCAAATTTACTTGGAAGTTATACCCGTCTTTGGCGCTACTTTTGTTCCCGATTAGACATAGAACATGATGCACTAAACTAGCATTGGAAATTTAGACCATCTATGAATGCACATCTCTGCCTCACGACCAGCTTCTCGTGTCTTTACAGTAGATTACTATACAGTGGACCGGCTGGCCTGACCAAGCCGCCAACTCTGTACCCCGTGATTCTTCTCCCCATCAAGCTCCTACCATACCTGGTCTGTTATTGTCCATCTTCCCACTCAGGGTTCTATCAGAACAGTTAGTGAGACCGCAGCCAGGATCCAGGTCGAGATGACATCGCCTTACCTTTCGTAGAATTACCAAGCCCTCTAGAGTACCGTTCAAGCTGATGTACTCCTCGTCCTCGAGCTCCGCCCGCTCTCCGTAGCCCAACAGGACGGGTGTGCTTTGTGTCTGCCATCCAGTAATGGTCTTGGGACGACCAGCTTGTCCGACAACATCTACGGCCTGACCGACACGCACGTTGACCTTGAGAGGCTTAAGCTGCTCGTCCAGAGTGACCAAGAAACGAGGGTGCATAGCAGTGACGAGGAAGTAGAGCAGGTAGTGGGAGCCGGCCGTGATGAACTCTTTGGGGTCGATCAGGGCGATCATTGTGGCTAGCAGCCCTGCGGTAGAGACCTGCGAAAGGACCTGGCGGTCGGTGTGGAAGGGGTTGATGGACAGTGTGCCCTTGCCCATGTGCAGTAGGCCCTGAGCAATTCGGACCATGAAAAGAGCATCCTGGTCGCGGTGGTAGTAGCTTGCCAGTTGTCTGAGAAGCTGTGCCAATCGGGCATTGTTGGTTCCTGCGCCGAGCATCCCCATGGCAAATATTGCGTTGATGGCAACCTCCGGGTCGTTGTCATGGCTGTATCTTGAGAGTGTATCGTAGACCTTCATTTGCGGGTTACTTGGACTGATAAGACCCATGGCCAACGGGACGGCCTTTCGAATGTTTGCCTCGCCATAGTGCATGAGATGGCCGAACTGTCTCAGAACCATTTCCTGGCCAATGTCCTCTCCCATGGCCACCAACGCAATACCAATGACGGCATACGCTTGCAGCAGCTCATCGCCTTTCTTGTCATCCGACTCTTCCTTGTGCTCGTTGCAAATATGCAGCAGCTCCTGGATCTTGAGCACTGCTCCAGTGCCTGCCCATGCACAAATCTCTGCCAGAACAGCCGTCGGCTTGGCCATGGGGTGTTCTACCGCCTTCAAAGTCTCCAGAATCACGTCCACATCCTCTTGTCTGCCGAAGTAGAGCAACCCCAAGCCGAGAGCGAGGAATCGAGTCCACTTGTCTGTCAGCTGGTTCTTTCGTTCGTCATCCATCAACGTCGCAATAATAGCTTCGGTAACCTCAGGGTGGGATGAGCCCACAAAGATCAGGCCGCACGACAGAGCTGCCATGGCAGAAATTTGCATGTCTTGTGATGAATCGCCAATAATCGGCAACAGAAGCTCGAGCAAGTCCTCCTTGTTCGAGCCGGCGTATGACAAGCCCAAGCCCATGATGCAGGCGGTTCGGATCAAGGGGTTTGAATGGTGCAACTTCTCAGCATCTCCTAGCAGAGCCAGCGCAGGCTCTGAGTCTATCCGAACACCCGAGTTCATGATACCAATGGCCAGCATAGCTCCAGCCGAAATTTCAGGTTCAGCAGAGTATGTATACTTGTCGATCTTGTCCAGGCCATTCTCGATGTCCCAAAGCAACAAAGTGCCCATAGAAGCGACCGTCGACATCATACCATCAGCCTTGGTCTTCCACACCCAACTCTCCTTTTCGCCCTCTATCAACATCATCTTGTCATTACCAAAGCCAGCATTGACAAATGCGTTGACGAATGCAGCAGCCAGGTTGTGTCTGGCCGAATCAAGATTAGTCATGCCAGCTACCCGACTGCTTTCAAGGTGGCTCTTGTAGATATCTTCAGTACTTTTGGGATCCAAAATATTCAACTCTTTGCCGAGAGACTTGAAGTGTTCCGAGAGCTTAAGATTTGAGGCGCATTCCAAGATGACCTGCTCATTCTCGTTGTCTTCAGGTAGATCCAATACGATTCTTTGACGCGCGACAAGGAAGGCTAGCTGCTTCTTCAGGGTTGGGTCCTCGGCTTTATCGAAATCGGACTTGATTAGATCGACATCGCGCAATCGAATAGCGAGAACGATAGCCTGAGTAAGCTGTTTGTACTCCATATATATGTTGTGGGCGGTTCGGAGGAAAGTCTCGTTGTCTGGGTAGGTGAGTAGATTCACCATGCTGACCATGTACAAGCAGACTCTGGCGTAGGTGTTCTCATCAACGAATTTCGCAATCTGCTCAATGATTTCAAGTTCACTCATAAGATCGACAGCATCGGCCTCCGCATTGCTCTTGATGAAGAGCGGCACCAGAATGAGAGCAAGGTCGATCAGGTCCGAGGTGGACTCGTCAGCAGTAATTCGTTTTCCATAGACCTCGCCGATCTCCAAAGCCAAATGTCGCACATATTCATGTCCCCAAGAGCTAATATCAGAAGTTGGAGCGAGAAGGCGATATTTGAGTGTATCCTGCGTGTCCTCGTCGGAGAAGGTCATGCCAATCACAGATAGCACATCAGCCAGCGATGTCTTGTTCCCGCCGGCAGGCCATTCCGCGTACAATTTGGACAAGGTCTCATAGTGTGGTCGTAAGAACTTCAGAGGCTTTGGCACTGCTGTCATTGATGACGTCGAAGTTTTGATCGAAGTCTTCATTGCCTCTAGTGCTGTCTTGTAGAGTTCTGTGTTCGATTCCTGAATTTCGGACAGGTCAGCAGACGCCGAAAAAAAAATAAAAAAATTCAAGACTCTTCTTCAGCTTCAAGTAACTTACTGTTAATCGCTCCACTATCATTTCTAGTTCGCTTTGGAGCTGCTGGTCCTCCTCACTCAACTCCTCCTCGACGGCTGTGCCTAAATCAGTATCTTTTGCGGTTTGTCAGCATCATCTTCTGCACTGACCATCCTTCTTGTCATCTTCTTTCTTGCCGTTCAAAATAGGCTTCTTCTCATCTTTGGAATCATCCACGGCCTTTCCCTTCCCCTTGTCTACCGCCTTGGGAGCATCGGTGTCTTGAGCCATGTTGACGTTGATGTGATGGGCGCCCTGTGAGAAGCTCCTGCGAGGGGAGGCAGAAGGTACGAAGGAAGACGAAAGATCAGGGACCGGTGGAATCGAGGCACTTGAGAGGTCAAAACGAGGTGTGGCTCGAGAATTCCAAAGACCGCGAGGTTCCGCCGGTAAGTGGTGTAGAGCGATGAACGAGTATGGCGATAGAAGCTCAAAGAGGTCGGCGGTTGAATGTCCTGCTGTAGCTCCCGGTTACGTGAGGCGCTGTCGCCTGGTGCCGGCGGGTGCCCAGCCTTGCCATCCAATCACGTGCTGCCGTGCGTACCCCAGAAGCCGGAACGGAAGCGTTAATCCGCAGACTAGTTTCAGCGATACAGTCGCTATCGATTACATCTTATCAGCGAAACTTCTACTCCGTGCGCCGCGCCAACCCCGAACCAAGCAACCTTCCATTTCCGACGGCTTTCATCATTGCACTAAAACACCCAGTCCTATGATCCTATATCAGCCGCCACGATGAAGCTGGACACCAGGGCCATGAGGCACTTGGCCTCAGAAGACTGGAGAGTTCTCACTGCAGTAAGAAGCCGAATGCGAGAACCCCTCTGACCTGCTGGTCCTAAATTAAGCACAGGTCGAAATGGGCAGCAAAAACCACGAAGTTGTGCCTACCCCGTTGATAGAAAAGATAGCGCGTTTGCGCGGCGGAGCTAGTGGCGTACACAGGAGCATCTCAGCACTGGCCAAAGTTGGTCTCATCGCCAGAGTCAAGGAAGCCAAGTACGACGGATATCGATTGACGTACGGGGGTCTCGATTATCTCGCCCTGCATACCCACGCCACACGCAAAGATCTGTACAGCGTTGGAAACAGGATTGGCGTCGGAAAAGAGAGCGACATCATGATTGTCGCGGATCAGACGGGCACACAGCGTGTCTTGAAAATTCATCGATTGGGCAGAATATCGTTCCGAACTGTAAAATCAAACCGCGATTATCTCAAGAATCGGACATCGGGCTCTTGGATGTATCTCTCGAGACTAGCTGCCATGAAGGAATATGCCTTTATGAAAGCCTTACATGAGGAGGGGTTCCCAGTTCCTGTCCCCTTGGCACAGTCTCGGCATACAATTGTCATGACCCTTGTGGACGCGATCCCACTGCGACAAATTTCCGATGTCCCAGACCCAGCATCTCTTTATGCAGATTTGATTGCGCTGGTGCTTCGCTTTGCCAAACATGGGCTGATTCACGGGGACTTCAACGAGTTTAACATTCTCATCAAGGAGAAGACCATATCAGAAAATGGCGAGGAGTCATTGAAGCTTGAGCCGATTGTCATTGACTTCCCTCAGATGGTGTCTATGGAGCACGAGAATGCCGAAATGTACTTCGACAGAGATGTTGAGTGCATCAAGAGGTTTTTCTCACGGAGATTCCACTTTACCAGTACAACACCAGGGCCCTTCTTCAGAGACTCGAAAAAGAAACTTGCCAAAGCCGGTTTTAAGAGACTGGATGCGACTGTAGAGGCGTCCGGCTTTACAAAGAAGATGTTGAAGGATCTCGAAGCTGCAATCAAAGATCAGGTCACGAAGAGGGGAGAGCACGACATGCCAGGCAACTTGGACGACGACGACGGCGACGACGATGATGATGAAGTCGAATCAGAAGACGAAGAGGACAAAATTGAAGCAGATGATGGCAAAGATGACGGATGCATCCTAGGTTCCGAGAGCGAGGAGGGGAAGTTGAGTGCTGATGCCACTGTCGACGAAGCATGCTCTGGAGCTGTGTCCCCAATTCGGTTCAATGAAGATCTGTCCAAGTTGACAGTATAGCGCCAGACGACACCTAGAGGAAAATACAGTCAACCAACTAGTCACCTGCAAACGCTTGATTAAAGTGATTTGATGCCTGTGATACACTATGATTCGTCAGTTTTGCCCATACGGCGTTGATACTCTGCTACAAGCCCCTTCTTTTCTCTAAGAATCTAAAGTACAGTCTGATCAAAATGTTTCCACAAGGCACTCCTCGATGCCAGAGAAAGACTTGAGACTAAAATGCTCATTGACAGAATATGTCTGCTTACAACTCAACTGGCAAATTCGTAAGAGGATGCAACAAAAAAGAAGTGACAAGCAAGAAATGTAGCCACATGTCTGGACACGAGATAAACCGCAAACGAGAAAGACACAACAAAAGCTAAAATCGACCAAAAAAACAAACATTAATCAGTAATTTCGTCCCGTCGAGCACCCTTGGCAGATGGCGACTTGTTCTCGTCAGAGCCAACAGCGACGGCGGATGAGTCTGCATGAATTGTCACACCTTCATCACTCTCCGACAAGGTGGCTGCAGCAGCTGCATCCGTGTTCGTGTTCGGGACTATCCTGATTTCAATAATTAGAACTTAGCAAGGGTTCCACGCGAAAGAGCATACTCGGATAGTCCGCGTCGGGTTCCCGAGTGTCTCATCACATTTCCCTCTTCGTCCGATGAAGCAGAAAGCCCACTGCTATCATGTCAGTCAGAACATGATAGTCCAACAAAGAGTCTGTTCACCTTCGCGAAACAGGCAACGTTCCGCGCCACCGAGGGGGTTGATTGTACAATGTAGGATTCATTCCCACAAGAGGAGTGCCGTAAGCCCCAATATTGTACTCGTTTGTCCGAAATTGGCGTCGCTCGGCAGTGACTCGCTTGAGTTCTTTTTGAGCTGGAGTGTCGGCATATCGAATATTCATGAGGAGACCTTCCTCTCCAATCCCAACGCCGTTGTACTTTTTGATAATTTCGTCACAAATTTCCCGGCTCTCAAAACTGTCAACCCAGTTAGATTCCAAAGCTCCGTTGCATAGAAATCACGGGTCCATACCGGGCAAACCCAACGCCACGGCTATTGCCCATGCTGTCCCGAAGAATCTTGCTCGAAAGGATGGTGGTACCGAGGAAGATAGTTCCAAGTTCCTTTGTCATTGTTAACTACTTTTCAGTCTTCGGGTAGAGAGTGTTAACTCACCACTTCAGTCAGCGTCTTGGGGAGATTGGAAATGTACAGATTAGTAGAGCCTTCGTCTCCTTCTGCCTTGAGGCGAGAGTTGAAAGATTCCTAGAGTGTATATCAGTATACGTGGGCAAGGTAACCAGTATAGTACCTATTCTTACTCGGGCAAAGCCAACTTCGTAACCAAGTCGGTGGAATCCACGAATGCACATTTCAGAGTCTTGAGAATCAAAAAACTTGGCAAACCCAAAACTGTCACATGTCAGCCCCGCGCTAGGTTGCATTGAACTTCGGCAACTCACCCTTTGCATGCCCCAGTTCCAGTATCAATGATGGCTTTCGATGTTTCGACCGGTCCGAATCGGGAGGCAAATTTATACAGCAGTTCATCATCCGTAGTCGGGTGAAGTCCGCGAATGTACACGTTGCGATTGCCCGGGATACGATTTTCCAGGCTTTGTTCAAGGCTCTTCATCTGACTGGGAGGGGTAAAAACTGCTGGGACAGCGCGAGGAATAGCGGGCTCCTGTTGAAGAAATTCATCGATAGTACGGTCCGACACAACAGCAATAGCAGGCTTGGCTGTGTCGGCATGAAGGGCCGGGAGGCCAATTTGCTGGGGCGACGGAGTCGTATACGCGGATCGGTCAAGATTGGCAACGCGTGGCCCGTCATCTCGCTGGGGAACCGTGCGATAAAAAGGAGTGGCTGGGGTAGACTCGGTCGTGGAATATGATCCGCGGCGATTCTCTAGACCGGGCACATCTGAATGTCCGCGTTCAACACGGGGCTGGGCAATAGCGGCCCGTCCGGGAGTGAGAGGGAGAAAGGACATGGCCGGGAGACCGACATAAGGGTTACCAAATCCACCAGCAGGGATACCGAAGGTCGGATACGGGTTCTCAGTGTGGTGCTGAGCGGCCATGGGAGGCAGAAAATACTGGTGAGCATCAGATCCAACCACATAGGGTTGTGGGTTGTGTCCCATTGGCATCGGAGCAGTACTGCTAGGGATACTCATTCCTCCCAAAGACAGCCCGGAGAACTGATGAATCATGGCGTTTGGATCAGTAGCTGAGTGTGCAGGACCATGGCCGTGGACATTGCGTCCCGCAGGATTGGGGAGATAAGGTCCGCCAACAGTGTTTCCGGCGTCCATATTCAGGTTGGGGAGGGGTGATTTTCGATAAAACGTGGAGCTACAGAGATGGAATGAAAGATCATGTTAGCGTACGGGGAATCCTGAGCCAGGTAAAGATATAATGAGCAGATGCTTAGAGATCAGAAGTTGAGCAACTCAAAGATCAACAGGGTGCTGACCCTGGCTTCAGACGGTCGACCTCGATTGCAAGGGGAACACAGTGACAGGAGTGTCAAGTTCCGTTCCCACCGAAACATGCGTTTGACAATATTCGAAAACAAAAACAGGAGGCTGACTTACTCCCAAAGCAAGAGATCAGCTTCGATTGATGGCTGGAGATGCGAACGATCCGAGAGTCAAAAGGAAGATCTAGGGAGAAGTCGTCAGCAAGTGTGATCCAACATGCCGGCAGGGTATTCATGTCATGTCGCTAAATTTGCAAAAGAGCAGCCCCGCGGGACTTGGTGATGGTTGCTGGCCGGGCAAAGAAAACAAAAAAAAAAAAAAACGACACTAAGCAACAGGGAAGTGATGTATTTGTCACAAGGAGCATGACCAAGGAAGTGGGAATGATTGCAGAGAATGGGATGTGGACTCGCATCTTTTTTATCTTTCTGGTTGCGCGATGACGCAAAGCTGGTGAGAGGCTACCAAAGGCAAATGTTGCTACCAAGACTGGGAAATGAAGCAAGAGAGTAAGTAAGATAGAACAAGCTATCGAGCAAAATAGGCGCACCGAATGATGTCGACTTGCCGTTGAAGGGGCTTCGAAAATCTGGGTTGGAAACGGTGTTGATGCTATGAAGAGAAGAAAAAGAGCAGAAAAACAGGACAAGGAACAGGTACGAGACAGAAGTTGCAAAAGGCATCAGATGCTGCAATGGCGGGGAAGAAGGGAGGAAGCTAGAAGCCAGAAGCGAGAGGCGAGAGGCGAGAGGCGAGAGGCGAACACATGGCGGCACTACTTACCTAACAATGCGTATGATCCGCTGACGAGGTAATTGCGATGGTTATTCTAGGAGACAGAGGAAGGAGTCAGGAGGTAGGAAAGGATGTCCGTCAAAGTCTGGTTGAAGAAAGCAAGCTAGAAGATACTGGGCGCAAGCAAGAGGGTAGTGATGGTTCCTGAACTGCTCGCTCCGGTAGCCACGATTTTCAGACGAGGAGGCGCAGAGATACGAGACGAGACGAGAAGGGTTGAATGGACCCTGAGAGTGGTCCGCGTGATTGAGGGCAGAGTGGCGAACGGTGGATGGGTTTATTGACGTTTGACTATCATCAACCAGATGTCAACGCGTCTTGTCAGTTGCCCAGGAGAAGCTGCCACCTGGTAGGAAAAGAGAATTCGACCAGACTTCCCAGATGTCTGCGTTCTAGTGCCCTGTACCTTCTGGCGGACAGCTGGCAGCCGGCACCGTCTGTGAAGCGAAGTGAAGTGACTCCAGTGGTCACTTGGGATATTCACAGCTGGCGAGGCGAAAAGGCGACGAGGCAAGGAGACGACGGGTAAACCCCAAGTCCCAAGTCTTCACCGCGCGATTGATGTGGCGACGCCGTGAACTGCCCGTCGAGGTCCGGGAGTGTTGCTTCCAAGGCTGACGAATGGATCTCTGTAGTTGCTTTGTATTCTTTCAATCATGTTGTTCTTGCAGTGGCCAGGGTTGGTGTTGATGCCCTCCTGTCTCGCCGTACCTTGATATTCGCTGCCATGCACACAAATCGAACCCTCTGCTTTCTGCGAACCAGCGTTTAAGTATATCGTCGGGAGATAGATATATCGGCAGGATGGGCGGATTGCACATGAAGCAAGCCTCTCTGTTGGACTGAAGTTGCTAAGAAGCAATCATCCATCCATCCCAGTCTGTCAACCGCACCGCCATCCACCTATCCAAGCACGGAGCAAAGCGTTGCTTTTTTTCTCCCACATCTCAGACACCACCAACATTTGAAGCCTGATTCACCTGTCCATGACTGTTTTACTTCTTCTCCCTCTCAACGCCCGAGGCTTCTGTGAGCCATTCGCGCAGCTGACGGCGGACCAATGAGACGCCGCGAAGCCATCAATCAATCGTGCAAGCTCCTTCAGCCCGGTCGAGACGGCGCCTGCGAAACTCATATCTACCTGTGGAAAAATAAAAAGAAAAAACGAAAAAAAAAATGCGGGACATTGCATCACCGTTACTCTGCACAATGATGTTGGTAGTGGCTTTGAGTTACCTCTTCATTCAAGTTTCTTCTGAGCTCTGCCATGGACCGGCGCAGAAGCCCGTTGGGGATGGTGACGAGACTCTTGAGACATCTTGCCACCAGATGATTCCACCCGTACGCTTCATGTTCGACCAGAGTGCCTGCCTGCCCATTCTGATGCACCGCCGTCACCTCTCCCTTTGCGTCAGCCCTCACCCAGCCGAGCCGAGTAGCTGGGCTGGGCTGGCGAGCTAGGTCCCAGGCCTTCGAGAGCAGTCGCTTCACGACGGACGATCAGCAGCCAACTGTCAAGACGTCCTTTCCATCCCGGCCCAAGGGGCTCGTTAATCTGGAGCAACGAACCAGCTTTCGTCTAGTGGCCCGATGCAAGGGAGAGGTCAAGAAGGGCGGAACAACAAGGTGTGAATGCCAATGGCTGCACTAGTAGGTGTCGAAAAAAGAAACAAGCACGTTTGGAGCCGTGACGAGCGGTAAGAGACAAGTGCCACGACCGTGTGAAGTCGGATCAGGATCATCCTTCGTCCTTGTCCCGCGACAGCAAAAGTGTCTAATGTTCGTTCGGGTTTGCCCATCTCCGGCGTGAGACGGACATCGTCCCCTGCCATGATGTTAAAGCGCACCCAAAGCAGAGGAGTTGCGAGTGGACGGCGCGCAATGTTGACACTGATGGCCTTGCCGTCCTGCCGTGTGGCTTTTCCTGCTCCTCTTTATTAACATGTAAGAAGGAACGCCTAAGAATTGACTTGTTCTTTCCTTTTTTCTTCTTCTCTACCCCACAAAAATTGGCCTGCCCTCTTTGGCCAGCTGCACAAAGCAAAAAAGCGTCGTGGGCCGATGGGGAAGCCCACGTAACATCACCACGTTACCCGACACATACAAGCGCAAGAGCACTTGAATCAGTTGGCTTTTGCCAACGGAATTTCAAGCTTCACGTCGATACGGCCCGGTCTTGTAAGCGCTTTGTCCAACGAGAGGCAATCCCATCAGGGTGTTTAAGAGTCGAGAGTGCCGCTTTTCGAGGTTTGCCCGGACCCTGCCGACCATTAATATCCTCGAGCGAAGCAACACATCTGTCAGAAGGTTATTGAACGGATGCTCTAGGTCAAATTCCCGGTCAATGCCAAGCCGAGGGTTGACTTTCTAGTGCTAGGCCGACCATGAAGCAGATACTTACTCCCTCTGCTATGGAATGCTGCGCTAAATATGCCAATACGAGTCTCTTCGTTTAGAAAATTCTTCAAGTTGTCAGCCGACTCTTGTTTAAGCGAGCTGTCAATAATGATAGCGTTGGGCAGCTGTTAACTATCATCTTGCCTCGTATTTGCTGCAAGTATTTGTGTTGACATTCTCCAACGAATGAATTCTTTAACAACTTGCACCAATCTATCCGGACGACCAATAGTAATAACCTCCTCTTTAATGCAACCCCCTGTTAACAGTTTGTATTTCAAACGCAAGAGTTTAGCACTTGGATGGAAAAGAAAACGATCCGATCAAAAGGAAATCGGGTTTTTAGCGCCTTCTTCAACGCCCCTATAGACTTTACACCTACCCGAGCAGTAGTCGGTCGATCTTGCTGCGTTGTCAACTCCATGAGACGAGACCAAGGCGATGGGATAAGCATGTCAAACGACTTGTCTGTAGCTTTGACATAGAGTGTTACAGCTAAGTCAGGTCAGAGGATTGCTTTGCGGTTACACCTACAAATTAGTTGATTATTGATTGCAGCTTGCTATACTATATTAAAAAAAAAAAAACGCCACAAGTAGCGGTTTAGTCCCCAAGAAAGGAATGAAGCAAACTACAGTAAATAAGAGTCAGGTCTGAGAATGTCTAACAGACGGACTGACTCGGATGAGCTTTGCGCTTTCTGTATCTAGGGAAAGTTTCTGTTCGCAAAATTCAATATTGTGATAATCTCTTACGTTGAGTGGATTCAAACAAGATTACTTATCTGTAGGAGAGTAAACTCTTTCCTTAGGTTGAGCACCCACTCGAGTGCTTCACGTCAACGGGCCGGCGATATGTGCAGGCCCATGGCGAACAATTCAGCAGATGTGGACCGCGACGTTATAGTATGAAAATGGAGTATTGTCGTGCCTATTGATATTGATGGATCCCATACTGTGTTGGACCTCCAGGCGTGTCATATCACCACCCGGTTCAAGGGGGTACTTTAGAATGGTCGAATCATCAACCTCCCCGATGAAGGTGCTGGTTCCGGAAGTGAGAGCACGGCGAACGCCAGGAGGACGATAATGGTGATATTCAACAACCTCGGAATCCGCCATGATGAGAGGTGTCCGTCCGGCCGGTTGAAAAGAGCGGGTGGTGTGGAAACGATGTTTATCTACGCCTCGGTATGGGTGAAATCGCCGCACTACCATGGGGGGTGTACCTAGTTCAACCCCAGCGCCAAGGTCCACAAACCCCACGCGCACTCAAAAGTACTTAACTCAATACACACTTGAGGGGGAAAGAGGAGAGAAGATGCCTCTACTTCCCCTTTACGTGTAGCTATCTATATAGGTACCCTTCATCTCTAGCGTGCATCCAAAGAGGCTCCAACAAGGTGCTGATGTGAGGTCTCGCATAGACCTAAGCTTGCAACTGGAACCATCCATCGCATAGACGTTGGCTTGTTTTTTTTTTTTTTTTTTTTTTTTTTTTTTAACTCTAGATGGTCCATGTACATATCTCCAAGATACATCGAACATTGCCAGCAGCCACGTGGCAGATGACCTGCGTAATAAATGAAACCACCCCCCAGCCAAGAGAAAACTCAACACGGAGACTAAAACCTAACGTCG